CTTGAACCGTCACAGCTGTGGTTCTTCTGCTACACATATGATCTCACTCAAACCGCAACAGACATAATCATATATCTTTTTTATGCTGATTGTTTTTGAAAACCCTTGGAATTAGATGATGGGAATCCTGATAGGATGATGATGAGCCTCTTATATACAATTCTACAAGCCCAAAGGACTCAGAAAATTAAAGTAGATTAGCATGATTACAGTGATGAGCCAAACCATTTATCAATGCCTGTTTTTTTTTTCCTCTCCTTCCTTCTCCCTCTCTCTCCCCCTCTCTGTTCCTCGCTCTCCCAGCTCACACAGAAGTCTTCGGCGTCGGAAAGCCCATTGGGGGACAGCCTGGAGGTCACAGCCAACACGAAAACCCGTCTAAGCCCCCCTCGGTGAGGGTGAGAGGTGGCTCGCCGTCCGTCAGCTGGGCACGACCCTGGAATCTCGCACTGCTCTTTGCTGCACTTTGCTTGCAGTGGACCCTGTTTTGAAGCCAGCTGCTTCTAGAAACCACCCACCCAAAATAGCCCCTTTAGGAGCCACATATATAAACACAGACACCCATATCATACACAAGCCATTCATAGTATCCTCACTCCTGTCCTCAGCGTACACAGGTGGATGGAAATAAGGGAAAAAAAAGAAGGTTGGAGGAAGAGAAGAGGACAACGCTATAGGAGACTATATAGACGGGGCTCTTGCAGGAACTCTTAGCCCTGCAACATCACCAGTGTAGGTGTTTGCACAAGCTAATCCAATGCACGCTCATCTACAAAGATAAGGCCTGCTGCTTCTTTTAGGCTGTACGGGGGCTCGACGTTTGCGTGAACAGAACAGGACTGCTTCATTTTGATTTCACTTAAAAAAGCCAACACATACACAGACATGTTTTACTCCAACTGAACACAGTTGTCTTCCTTTTTCTGCTGCTGCTGGTTTTTACTTAACCTTTCAGGCTGAGAGCTTCAGCACACCTACTGCTCCGTCTGCCAGCCGGGCAGAAGAATTTAGCTTATTTGAAAACTCAGCTCATTTTCTTTTCGAGGATTAAGGAATTCATGATAGATTGGTAGATCAAGCCCAGGTGCCTGGCCCAGAACAGCAGATTTGATACACTCTAATGACTGTGTACCTAGGCAGGGATTAGAATGTAATGAGTTCACAGGTAGAGCAGCGGCACACTTGCACGGTTGAATACATTGTGCAGACAAACTAGGTGTGTATAATATGTAACTGTATATAGGTGGAAAGATTTGATGGAGTGTGTGAGGTTCTGAATCAACAATAAGCTCTTAACTGATGGAGCAGAATGAGGTTTGCCTTCTTTTCTCCTGAGCTATGAATGAACTGTTCTCGTCTGCTCGATTTTTCATACAAAACAATGCAAAACAAAAAAACCTATCGAGGTTTTCTCTCTTGAACAAATAAAGCAGGAATGCACATAATCCGACTAAAGCCTATGACAAAAGAAAAAAGAAAAAAAACATATCAGACATTTGGACAAATCTGTAAATTGTTTGTTTTACTAATGTTTGTTGTGCATCTAGATTTGTGTGTTTGCTCGTTGAATTGCACATTAATGCATGAACTACCTACCAAGTTAACAGATTGTTTTGGTAGGATGAGGCCCTTCCAAGATGCATCAAAAACTCATATTATGATTTGGCAGCAAGAGGAGAGTTGGGCTGCTTAATCCAAAACATACAGATTCAAATTATAAACATGGGCAACAACTGTCATTTCTTTTTATTTTTTTCAATTGTTCGTCTATAATATGTACCTGTTCTGACAATAACTGTTTCCTAAAAGGTTCATATTGGTATTGTGCTAAAAAAAAAAAAAGCATACAGGAATACCCTTTAAGAAAGTGGTTCATAACAAAGGGCCAATAGTGGTACTTTTGAGGGCAGATGAAGAAGACTTGGTATCCAGCTAGCTAGCCTTTGCCACAGTGTGTGGCTTCAACTGCAGCACACGTAAAAGGAGATGACGAATGAAATCGAGGTATTCAACCCACATCCACACCCACAAAGAGTTTCCATGAAGAGTTTCTAGAATTTTCTAATCAAAGCACGGTCTTTTTGGACAATGTGTAATGCCAAATTACTTGCAGAAAAAAAATTTAGTTCTTGAATTTCATGTTTCCATCACAGGGCTGGTGATGCCTATAAAACACGACTTTGAGCATCTTTAGCAACAATCAATCAATTAATCTAAAGTGCCAATTTATAATGAATGTTATCTCAAAACACTTTATAGTGATGACAATGATGCAAATAAGTCTATTTGGTTTCTTGAGAAGTACATGAAGTAATACTCTTGTCTTGCTTTTTCTTTGATTTAGCTGATAGTAATGTTTTCCCCCCTAAATATTGCAATAATAATGCAATCACAGTTTTTTTTTTTGGCCATGATAATCATAGGGTGAAAATCTAATTTTGCGACAGCCCCTAGTAGCAGCCATCGTGTAAGTCTTTCTTAATGAATTTATCTCACTCCAGGCAAATAAGCTCTTGAGGCTCTGCACTTACTCTTAAGCAGACCATTCCCTGGAATTCCGACAGAATAAAAACAAGTCCTTCCGTTTGACTTATACCCAATGGCTTTTATAACAATGTCTTTGTCTCCTTTTGTGTGGATGAGGATGTTCCTGTATAGTAAAGTAGCTGTGTGAATGGACATGAAAGCATGGTAAACCATTTGCAGATACAATATTAAACCTGATAATGCAAACAGCTACATGAATACAAAATGTAAGTCAACTTGGTCAGTGAGCGGTCAAAAAGTGGTCAAAGTATGACTTGTTTAACTGCCTGCTCATAAACACAATACTACATTCATTTTCAGCAGTGTAATAATATTAAACATGACTTCAGCCATAAGCAGTGTAAATGTCAAACCTTGTTTCTGTAACCATATTTGTTGAGTTCATATGATTTTCTTTATGTATGTCTTGTTCCTGACTGTCATTAATCACACCCACGGATCACTTACAGCCCTTTGCCCTTGCATGTGTATAAATGTACATATTTTAAGTCACTTGTCATTTGGTTTGTGTCTCATTTTCTCTCTTCTGTATCAGTATGGTACAGTGTAGCTGGGCTCTATTAAAAGTGCTCTGCTTTTTTGCCTGTCTCAGTAGCCTCTCCTTACAGAATATCAAGAAATAGATATTTAATAATATCTGATGCAACAGCAGATGTTAAAAAATATGTTTCTTTTTAAAGAATTACCCTAAACTTGTCCTGATACAACACTGAAATCACAAGAATGTAGAGCATAATTCCAAACTAATGAAAAGATGCATTTGAATCACCATCACACCATAAACGTAAAGAAACCTGATCAAGTGAGCTGTCCAAGGGACCACATTATTGATTTTAACCCTTCCTCACAGACAAGTGGTTCTGGGTTTGAATCCCAGCAGGGGCTCTCCCTTGCAGAACTTCAAACATAAAATACTGAGAGTTACACAATCCTGGACAAGTAAGACCTGCAAGACAGTACGTAAGTGTGGGTAAGCACGGATGAGTAGGTTCTGAACTCCAATCCCAACATTGGCCTTCTTTTGTAGATCTAGAAAGTCAGTACAAAGGTCAGTGGTTTTGTGGATTGAGTTGCCTCCTTAGAGTAAACTGGGTCATGGATTCCAATCCACCCCGGACCAGGAACTTCATGTGAGGTGAAAATGCAGCAGCTTCCTTTGAGAAAAAGATCCTAAGCACACTTCAGCCCACAGTGTAATGGTTATAGCTGCTGCTTTTGGGTGAAAAGGTTTTTGGTTTAAATCCCCATTAGGGATTCTGCTGTTCAAAAACACGGTGACCATGTAAAATGAAGAGAAACCAAAAGGCAATCAAAGCCAGGCAGGCCGGGTTGCAGTGTCTTTAACTGTCTGTCTTTAACATTGACTGACACAGTTTTGGGTTCAAATCCAGCCTGTACGAGGATTTTCGAGTGGGGCACAAATAAAGTGTTTTTCACCATCTATTTGAGGCCAGCTTTTGAGAGGCCATAAAGAAAAGGAGTAATAAAGCAACATGAAAAGGAAGGTTTGGCCAGGCAAACCTTGCAGGGAGATTTGAGCTACTGCCTTTGGGAGAAATGGTGTCAGGTTCAAATCCACTGTTTACAAACAAAGTGCTTCCCTCACTCTTGAGTCTGAGTTCAGGTTTTGAAAAAAAAAAATTGTCCTGGTAAGTAGGCCTGTACTGTGGTGGTTAGGGCTGCTGTCTTTGGGCAGATGGTCATGGGTTCAAATATAAGGCAGGGATAGATAGAGAACAAGGCAAGGCAGTGAAAGGACAAGTAAGAAGGCAAGGTGGTAGGAGGAGGAGATAGGATGAGAAAAAAGGAAATAAAAGAGAGGATAGAAAGGGAAGCTGATATGTGGCTGGTTTAAAAATTTGCTTGTTCATGGGCTATATTTGCTCTAAATTAGTCTCTCATGTCAGCTGAAGTGTTAACACAGTGGTGAGACTAGATACTGTAGGACAGATATAAACACCAAGCAAGCATGCAGGGTGCTAATGTGGGTAAAAACAGACACATGCAGATTTAAACAGAGTGAGGTTATGGACCAAACCAACTATGTGTCTTGTCATAGTGCTCTTTTATGTTTGATTTTTGCTTCACGATGAAAACAAGTTATAATGGAGCTAAAGCTGCATAGGAATAGTTTTCATAATTGGTCCTCAGCGAGCCAGTATCTTTTTTTCCTTGCAGTTATTTTAAAAGCATTTCATGGTGATGTGTCAGGCGGCAGTGGCCCTCAGTGTCTCACCACACCTCTCACTGTTTTTGCCATCAGCCTGTGAGCACGCAGCTCGCAGCACTTTCCTGGCTAAAGCATACAATGTTCACAGGCTCTCTTTTCGTCGCCGTCTTTCACATACACTGCAATAAACACAAAAATCATCACATGCACACATGGGTGATCTCACTCACACACCCCGTCCCCGAGACATACACTTCTACTTGCATGCAGTCTGCATTTGATCCTAGGAGTCTATTTCATGCTTGTTGCTGTGAGACTGAGTGTCTGGCTGGCTGCAGGCGTGCACAGAAAGAGAGCCCAGTCTGAGGATATATCGTGCTTCGTCTTCTTTGCCCCAGCTGTAATTGGACTGCATTGTCCCTGCCTGACAAAACCAAAGCCGTCTGTCGTCCTTTAATAACCTGCGCTGGCTGATGCAGGAAGCTGAGGATGACTCTAAAATATAGAAATAATGGAAGGAAGCTCAGATGCTGAAAGAGAGTTAGGCTGAAGATTACTTTCAGCTGTGCTGTGCTTTCATAGGTCAGCTTTACAAAGACATTTTAAGCGTATGGATGAGTTAGTTTTTCATACTGTACAAACACATGCACACATAGCAAGGAGCAGAGTGGTCAGTGAGTGTAACTGAGATTTCGGGGGACCTGAGGTCACAGCTGCTCAGCTGTCTGTCTGGTCTATTTTAAACACTAGCACACATCAGCGCTTCTGTCCCACTGGCTTGGATGAATCCACACGAAAATGTCCTCTCTCTAAAACACACACCCTCACACAATGAAAAAAAAATCTGCCCGGGCAAAAAGAAGATCTACATCTAATTCACACATGCAGATAAACCAGAGCAGCATTATATACTGTTAAAGAGTGTTAAGATGAATTTTCTGACAGATGTTCCTTGGAGTAAACCCGATGGTGTTGCAGCAGGGTGACATCGCCTCTAGATCGTCTTACCTCTTCAGCTCTTGGAGATCAGGGTGACACACTTGAAGAGGAAGGAGCCAAAGTAGGAGCACTGGAAATAGCTTCTAGATGAGGAACAATCAGGTGAGGTAAAGGGGAAACCAAGGAAGGACCTGCGGCTCCTGTGATCTAAAGGTCTCCTTCTTGAGTTTCAGCTGTCAACTGTATCCATTCCCTCTCTATGAGGCTCCCTGTGCCTTCTTCTCAATAGTCTAATGCAAGCTGTCACTGCCAATTTTCGCCCTGCTCTGCTAGCCAATTAGCATTATGTTCAATGAGCTCCTAAGCTGACAAATTGAGTCTAATTAAACAAATTTTCAACATGACAGACCATCAAGAGGAGCCTTGACAGAGATCAAATGTGCAACAGGGACATAAAAACTTCTTTTTGCTCTCTGTTCACTGATTGGCCTCACTTGTCAGATCTGTTACCTATCACGCATTGTGCAGCTGGCAGTGAGCTGGTAAACACTGCTTAGAGTTGTTATACTTGGTTGAGTTTGTTGTCATTGGCTGTCTGATTGTGAGGAAACAGTTTCGAGGTCCTTACAACAGTTTGTTTTTGACTTCAGAATTGCAAAATTAACATGCAAGTAAAAATCCTTCACGTAAGCAAACCCCAGTAAAAGTTTAAGATTGTTGAAGCTGTCCTGCCCTGAGCAGACAGCTCCCTATGGCAAATCATCGTGGATGCGGATGAACAGCACCCAGTAGGAATGCAATAATGCGAAACAGTCATTCAGCTGTGCAATCAACCCAAATCCCTCCACAATCCTACATGTATTCAACTAGACTTTATTCAGCTAGAGCGGCACACCGTTTGCTTTGGCACTCTTGGAGGTTCTCTGAGGCCTGCAGTTGAGGAGGACTTTCATTACCTACCTTTCATTGTCAGGATCATGTTAGCAAAGGTAGGTTAAAGATCAGGTAGAGCTCTGCGAACACATCCATCTCTGACAAGACAATGAAAGACAATTGAGAAAGCTTGATGGAGACATAAATTAGATATACTTTATTCATTTAAAATGTTACTATTTAGTCAACTGCTGAAAGGCTGATGACCAGATTTGTTGCTCCGGTTCTATTTTGTAATCAAGAATGATTCAACAGCTTCCTGTGTACAGATATCAAAAAATACAAACATAATCAGATGACTGCAGATGGGACCCAGGATGTTAATATAGCTGTGCGCATCCTGTCCTATCTAAAAGTTTTCTACATATACCAAAGCCTGCTGAACCATGATTGGTTGATACAAGTCAGGATACAAACATACAGTACACATGGTAAACTGAAATCATAGCAGTTCCTACACTGAAAATCCAGACCCAAAGTGCAGATTCTATATTTTTATGAGGAAGCTGTACTCACTGTGCAAACCCACATTCCTTGCAGACTTACTTTTTTTTCCTTTTAAAAATGTTATGGTGTTTTAAAGTCTAGGTTTGCATTCAGTTGTTAAAAGATACTTTGCATTTCTTCTCCAAAAGATTAGAAGTGGAAAAACAACCAATCCTAAAACAGGTTTTTGCATCCTGCCAAATCTGTCTGCCATTTAGAGTGGCTTGTTTGGTATAATGACTTTCTGGTGGTTCAGAAAGTCATGATCCATGCTCCAGGGTATGATATACTATGTTTTTGTCCACACAAAAAGCCCCCACTAGAACTAGGTTGCAATGAAGTGGCAAACCATCGTGCAAGCCAGTTTTTAGCTGCTGGCATCAAACCAGCATGTGAACATTAGCTCTGACACATAGTGGAGTATCATGTCTATGTCTAGGGTCTTACTCTTATAAGTTGTTGCTGTTGCAAGCTCTCACTCTAAATAACATCTATTGTCACATGATGCCCCACATTCTTATCACAGAGGAGGAAGGGTTGCTGATGATGATCTATCTCAACCATCAAGTCTTTCTGCTGTACTCCAGTTTGATACCATAGTAATGATGTGAGCCCAGCATGTGATGCAAGAGAGAGCAAGACTTAAGTCAACCTGCAAATCAGTCCATGTATTTATCTAACAGCTCTATGTTTTTCAATGCAGTGTGCATCATTATAATTATTTACATGCCAAAAGAGAGACATTATCTAATCAGTAAAGGAAACAGACTTTCAGATGTTTGTGTCTCAGCAAGGCTGTGTACAGTTCAACTATGTCACCACTTCAAAATGGTCTGTCCAAGAGAAATGTGGCCCTGGCTGCATGAGCTCCTATTCCAACTGGATCAGTGGGATAAGAATTGGTGTGCAGTGTGAGGTGTGATTGAGAAGATTTAAAGGATTTGTGTGCATCGTTGTGCGTGTGTGTGCGTGTGTTGGCTGCGTGGTCACAAGAAGTTGCCAGCATTACATGTAGAATTCTTTCTCTGTCGTGTTTGCTCTACTTGGCATGCTATGAGCAGACCCCCCCCCCCCCCCCCCCCCCCCCATGTCCTGGAGATGGATGAGCGCTGCTGCGAATGTTCCAGGACTCCCTTGGGTGCCATTCCACCTTTCCAACTCACTCTCTCCTTCCCTCCATCTCCCTGCCTTTCTATAAGGCTAAACTGAAATCATACTACCCCTATAAAGTTGTTTGATTTTTTCGTTTGTCTGTCCTGTTAACTCTAATTTCTTATTTCTGTTCTTCCAGGATCACCTGAATACTAAGTCTTAAAGAGAGAGGACACATTTCTAGGTCACAGCATGAATGACAACTAAACTATTTGGTGCATTAGTGTGTGAGCATGTTGGATACATGTGTGTGTCTCAGAATGAATGAGCGTGCTGGTAGCAGGTGAATCATTGATTGGCTCTGATTAAGGATTCAGGGAAGCTTGCTGCTGTCCAATTCTGCAGAACATGGGTGAGGAGGGGGTCAATACAGGGGGGCCTCACCCTCGTACTACACACATCCTTTCAGCCTCATACCAGAAGGGATTTGGATTACATTACTGACACTAAAAACATATTGCTGGTGAAAGTTTGAGTGCTTTTTTTATTGTTGGCATGATGGAGCACAGCCTGTAGAAAAGATGACTTTACTGGAATGTTTTAAGTTTAGTTATTTATCGATCTGTCTAGTTATTCATTGTAGCTAAAATGCTTGACATGGTAGAATATTATAAAAGGAAATGAAAAGAAGCTTTGTTACACAGGAGTATCAAAGTCCAAAATTCCTGATTGTTCTGTGTTACCTGGAGGCCCTTTTGATGCATGACATTAAATCATACAATGCCAAGGAATTTCCGAAGGAGTGGTCCTCCACTCATTCATAAATCTAAGTCCATTTTCTTGGCCTTTGTACATGAGGAAATGAAAGAAACAAAATACATGGATAATAAGGAAACTTTGGAGTCAATATGATTTTTTTTAGCTTTTTCAATATTTATTTTCGATATTTGATAACACATTTCGAAGAAAATGTGAGCATTTTATTTAGTAATTTTTCCTAGAATACTTCTTAGCATCCAGGTATTGTGTTTTCCTATCCACTAGATATCCTGCCTTTTCCATTGGGTTGGGTTGACATTTTCCACAGAACATAGATTAGATTAATATGAAGTTGCAGTTGCTATCACCAAATTACATCGATAATGGCATGAAAAAAATAAGTTTTAAACTAAAACACGAAGGAATCTTTAAAGTAAGTGCAGCTACATATTTACACCACATTAGTGTGATTAAGTCACAATGGTTAAGCCAAAGATTTTATTCATCCCTTGCTTTAGTTAGCAAGCTTCATTTTAATAAATGTAAATAATATTCATCTCTGAGCTACTTCCGTTGACAACAGCAGCCCCTCCTCTGCGCAGGTGTGGAGTTCACGTGCCCTGCTACCCCACTAATTGGCTCCCGGTAGTAACAGGTGTTGTGCCGTAAAATGCATCCCCTGCATCCCATCCACTTGTTAGCTTCTTAAAGTGGAAGAAAATTATGTCATAATTAAAAAACAAAAAACACGAGTATTGGATCATGACAACATGTCAAATGGAGCAGCAAACTTTCGTTCTGTTTTTTATGTCTCTCAAAAATGCACGTAGAGGTGCACTTGGGTATATAAACTGTACAGTAAGCTGTTAAGGTAGAGAACAATATATTTTCCGGACAGCAAATGTACCGAATCAGAGGGCTATTGTTTTCGGGTTATCTGAATAGCCTGAATGAAATCACGCTTTTTGAATCCATCCAACGGTAAGGAAAACTTGGTTCATTTCGCCTTGTTATTTACTTTCAACCGCGCTCCAGTCAGGGGGTGCATTCCATTTCAGGGGTGCATTCTACGGCACAACACCTGTTGACAGAGCATTGACTGTTATGGCGTGAACTGTGAACACGCTACATTTCTACCGGCCCTTGTTAGACGCTTAGCTAACTCAAGTTCCGACTGTCTACAGCTAGCTTACTGCCCTGTTAGTCCTTAACAGCAGAAAGACCGACCAGATGTATCGTTCAAATCCCGGCAGCACAGCAAACATGTTGTAACTTTTTCGAGGTAATGCACTGTTTTAAACTACTTACTCCTGAAGCGTGTAGGCTATGCTAAATATGACAGCACTGTACTGTTAGCTGATGCCAGCTCACTCCAGCCTGTCACAAATCACGTGTTGACAATTAGTAATTTTCTAAAGCCACAGTATGATCTCTATTGTCGTTTTTCTTACAGTAGTGCAGTGGCACAGCTGGTATCATACCACAGGGCTCACAAGTTTGGAACTAAGCTTGGAGTGAGATTGTGGGGGGCAAGGGTGAAGAGTATTGAAGATAATGTATATTAATCTAATAAAGACAACGGACTATAAGGGCCACATTAAGAAAAAAAACATCTTTAAAACTTCAAGATTACTTATGAGAATGAAGTTATAAATTTATTTAAAGTTACCTGTTGTGGAGGAGAGTTGTTAAAATGAGGGCTGTGGGGCATTTACATGAATTGTACTTCAGTATAAGTTTCACAAACAATGAGATACTTAATCTTTTGGTACATTAGCATTACATTGTCATGAGTATCATAACTTTAAAAAGAATATATGATAAATGCAAATCAATTGAGAATTGCTGCTTATGTGGAGGGGAAAAATGTCTGGAAATGGCTGTACAGATGCCAAATCCATCAATGCAGCTGATAGCAATTGCATAGGGCTTTAGTTTATCACATGAGTCTCATATGAGATGTTGAGGCCTCTGCAGGTGTAGGTTACTGACTTGTTGTAATTATCAGGTCTTTTTCGTCCTTATGAAACATGCTTCATTTTGGCGAGTGTCCGTCTTCTTTTGTACTTTGGCTAAATATCAAAAATCTACCCAGATACAGCAATGCTACTTTATTTGATTGGCTTGCACGTGGCACACAGCTTCTGAACTCTCTGGGAACTCACTTGATTCCTACCTGTTCCATTGTAAAAAAGGGTGCAACTTGGGGGACGTCACCGTGGTAATCTAAATGCGTGAGAAATACAATTTGTGGCGTGTGAACGGGTGGGAATGCGTGTGTCACATGCCCAATGCGTGAGACTTGAGAGCCCTGATATCACGTGCATGTCAATTTGAAATCCCCTTCATTTCTGAGGACCTGAATTTAGATTTTCCCATCAGGAAGAAGTTGCGAAAGCACATTTACTCCATTATTTGAATTCATTCAAACATTAAAATGAAAATTAGTTTGACCTGATAAGACTGCAACAGAAATACAAATGCCATACGCATAGACAAGTGTACTTGCCCTCGAGACTAGGTGTCATATATTACTACTGTCAAATAGTCTTGCAGTGAAAAATAATGTGTTCTTTTTATTCAGATGCCTCCAGAAAGAAAATGTCTTTCACTGTTGCCACCTTGTAAAACATGCATGTATGCATGACCGGTCTTGACATCCTGTCACATGCTAAGCCCACACTTGTTACATTAGCTGCTGTGAATAATGCTCTTGTGAAGAGTGTCTTTTGCATCAATAATCATTGATAATTCCACCGGGGTGTGGGTAGTGAACACACAGGATTACAGCTCTGTTTGAAAGCCAGACTGTTTCTCAAACGACAGATTTACAGGAAAGATTTGTTTTACAATCCAGTTTACAGCGCCATATGAAAGGAGTGCTGAGAGAGCCATGAGTCTAAATGGCTGTGTCCCATTAGCAACTTGGTTCTGATCAGAGCGTTGAAGGGAAAAACCAGGCCTGACCCAAGGCTTAACAGCTTTCATGTATGTAAGGTGTTTAAAAAAGAAAACTGAGCAGTTATTCACTTAAAGTTCATGTGATCAGACTTATACAGTCTCATTTAAAAATGGGGTACATGTGAGGAGGAGTAATGTGATCAAGTGTCTGTACAGGGGAGGGCTGCAAGGAATGCTGGAGGAATGTGCGGATATTATGGAGTGGCAGTGGGAAAATAATGAAGGACTCCTCGCAGGGGGCTGAGAACCATGCAGAGACGTGACCTCCTGCTGTCTCCAGGACCCACATGGAGGAACATGGTACTGGTCTGGATGAAGAGCTGCAGTTGAACCATAATAAACCTGAAAAGGTTAGTCAAAATGACATTAATTACATGCATTTACATTTAGAGCACTTCAGTGTTTTCATATTGAGGCTTGTCTGAGGAAAGTATACCACACCAGCCTTGTTATTTTGTCGCATGAGAACGTACCTCCATGAACTTAATAATGATATGGATATTAACACCCTGGAAACAATTACTCGCCTGAGAGTTGGTCATTAGAGGTCACCTGAGTCTTGCATTTTTGTACCGTGAATTTATGAGTTTTCACGGCAAGAGGCAGATGAGGAGAGTACTTAATTTATCCTCCAAGACATGTGACAAATAGAGGAGGTGAAATATTTATATGAGAACAGCATGGAGGCGAATGAACAGAGTAATTGGATAAAGTTGGTGCAGGACTGAGAAGATGTCACAGCCAGATTGGTTCAATGTTTCACTGATTATGAAAGAGAGAAGAGGAGAAATGATACGTTTATGTAGACTAACTGAAATACTTTTTTTTTCACTGTTTCTGTCTGCAAAAGCTACAGTCAGTGAATGATTATTGAAACATTGCAGTTAGTGCCATTATTCAGCGTTTCACAGCTTTTGCATGGCTTTATCAGGAATGAAAAGTAGTTTTTGTATATTTTCTTTATTTGTTTTACTTCATGGTAAGGTGTGCCTCAGTTGTTTGCCTCCTTTCTCAAGTATGCATGAGGATAACTTGGATGTGCTCAGATTACTGAACAGAAAAAGTGCCAAGATGCCCGCAGAGGCACACAAAAGCACAACGCAACACTCCACAGGGGTGTTCTTCATCAACAACAGTGCCTATTTACAAGAAAAACCTCAAGAAATGGACCCTGAACCACACAAGCCATCAGATCTGTTTATTTAAGTTTTTTTACTGAATTCTTATCCCATATTTTTTTACTCCATTCCTCTGTTTCTTTCATTAATTTCACCTCTGTCACTCCCTCTCTAATTTTAATCTACAGTCCCTGTCTGCTACTTTTCCCCCAAACTCACTTCTCTGTTATTCTCCCTCTTGTCATCCATCATACTTCCCTCACCTTATCCTGCCTCACAAACACATCCCCCAGTTCCTCTCTGCTATTTCTCATTTTTCACTACAATACTATCAGTCCACCCTTTTCACTTACCATCAAAGTTTCTCCTCTTTCTGACATCATCTGTCTCCGGCAGCTTGGGAGGGCTCTGAGTGAAGAGATATGCAGATCTGCTGTTTGTGGAGGCTGTGTTTGCACAGACAGACACTGGGTAAATGTGATCAAGGGATGATGAAGCATCCCGAAACGGCGAAGGGACAGGCACCTTGATAAGGGACAGGCACCTAGGGAAAGGAAACGTTATAACAGATCTAAATTTAAGTTTTGTGTATGACTTTTTCTGGTTTGTTTTACAGGCAAGAACAAAGGCACGATCATGTGTTTTCATGAGGGGTTGATACAGAGATAGGAAGAAGAAAAACCAGCAGAGAAGAGAGAAAATGGCAGAAAAATGGACTGAAGAAAAGAGAAAATGAACTAGAAAAAGAGGATGGAGAGTCGGTGAGTAATGCATACACACTCCAGCACACCGGTGAATGTGCTGAACTCAGGCTAATGGTGACATAAAAACCCAGAAAAGAGGAAGAATCGATGCTATCTGCAAGAGCCCAGGATAGGACTGGTTTTCAGGGGAGGACACAGTGATCTTCTTCTGAGGACTGATTACATCTGTTGAAAGAGTCTACTGATATTTACATAGTAACTTAGCTAAGGCCCCACTGCGGGCCGTGTTAGCAGGCCAAAGTCTCTTTACTAATATTGAGTGTGGGTGTTTTACATTAGATCTGGGTGCACCCTGCTCATTTGGCCTTTAATATCTATATGAAATGAAAAAAATATTTTGCAGTATTTTGTTCTGGTTATGTAAGCTGAGGAAGCACAACATTATCTAAATATGAGACAATGAGTATTTTGTTATCTGTATTGCCAGAAAAAGAGTCCAAAAATAACGCATATCCAGATGTGATTTCTATAGAGTACAACGGGAATAACAGGAGTTTCATGAAAGAGTTCGCTTGCATCTGCTTTCCCTCATGCTTCTCAGAGATATTGATCCAAAGGGGGCATTCATCCATTGACTGAATCTAAAAGAGGACCATTTCTATAGTTTTCAATCAACTCCAGCAGCGACTTCAAAATAAAAGCATCTCGTTGTTTGCATAAACGGTTAGATTAGTTTGTGAATGTTTATAGCAGCAGCAGGTTTCACAATAATTTTGATTGCACAGAAAGAGAGAAAATTACAAAACACCAGGGGCTGCAGTTTGACAGCAGTTAATTTGTGCAATCAGTATTTTTATCAGTCAGTGCTGCATTCGGGGTGGCAATCCTGACGGGTTTGAATAATTTGTAAATACTGTGGAATACTGATCACTAAAAATTGGTTGATAACGTGTCTTTTCATGCATCTCCTGTCGCCTCGGTAGCAACTTCATGTGATTATGAACTTGCTTTTTTTATCTTCTTTTACAAACTTGATGAATATGTTAAACAGATTAATATTGTACAGGTGAACATTTAGTGAAAAAGGAAATATATTTACTTTACTGATTTATATGCTTTTATATGAACCCAGTGTTGCACCAGGTATTATCATTTTTTTATGTGCCTTAGGGTGTAGGATATTGTATTTTGCCACTGTCTGATTCTCTGATATTTTCAAACTCATTATGGTCGATACCATTATTAATAAGGATATGCATACCCACCTTTCCTTTTTACTGTCAGGAACACCATGTCTCTCCTATAATAGAATTGACATGTTACTCTTATTGTGACAGTCTATTTAGAATTAGAAATACAACATGTAAACATATGATTCTTGTCTCTTTTTTTACATATAGACTTTCAACGATGTGTCTGCTGTCTCTTCTCCACACTTTATAACACACTCCTTGCAGTCACGTATGGGAAGCATTCCATTCACACGTTTACTCATGTAAACTGTTGCTACATGCACATATTTTTCATGGGGCAATAGTAGCTCAGGTGGTAGAGTGGTGGTCCAATAACTGGAAGGTTAGTGGTTCGATTCCCCCCCTATCCCTAGTCTGTCCATTGTGTCCTTGGGCAAGACACTTAACCCACCTTGCTCCCAGTGTGTGTCCTCCACTGGTGTATGAATGTGAGTGTTGTGTGGTGGTGGTCGGAGAGGCCGTAGGCTCAAACTGGCAGCCACATTTCCTTCAGTCTGCCCCAGGACACCTGTGACTACTAAGGTAGTTTACCACCACCAGGGTGTGACTGTGTGAGCATATGAATGATGTTTCAGTGTTTCACTGAAAGCGCTTTGAGGGTCTCTGATAAAGCGCTATAAAATCGGATGCATTATTATTATTATTTAACAAACCTCTTTTTTTTGCTAGTAATCGTTACGGCCGATTATATATTCCCAAAAATGGTTGTTTCCACCAATGGGATATTTAATTTCTCTGCTGATACTAAGCTGATATTGTGCTATACTTGTAATAATATGCAGCATACAGGTAGTCTTGATGATGTCATCCTTGGTATATGGGGGGCTCCATATAAGGAAATGCTGGCTCAACCTGACTTTGATAGACCTAGAAACAGACTAAACAGTGGAGCTAAGGTGGACATTTAGCTTCCTGGCATACAGCCACACCCCCAATTATGCAAATCTGTCCATATGCTTTGTCTTAATCTATTCAGATTATGTCTAGACTAAGAGTAATGCATACTGTTTGTATAGACATTAACAGGTGAGCTAGACTATGACCTGAACTCCATCTCCTTGCTAGTTTCAGACTTTCTTTCATTTCCTCATCACTTCTCCAGAATGATGACTGACATCTTTTAGCCTCACAACCCCTCTTCAAAAATCAATGGAGGATACGGCTGTGACTGTTTTGATGCTCTGAAGCATCTAGGTTCTATTGTGGTTTTAACACCAGAAAGTCAGCCGAAGCTCATGGTACAGGCTTATAGACAAGCGAAGATCACAGTTGTATCATTACTGTAGTCAGCATCAGGGGAACACATTGCACAGTGAGCTATGCTTTACTGACCAAGCCGGCATGGGAAGAGCAGTCATTCTGTCAGAGCTATTCCTGGCTTCGTTGAGTCACTGTCACTGAATGTATTTAGAGGAAGAGTGGGGAAGCTCCTCACCATGCACTCTCTCTATAGAGATGTCCCGCTAAGTGTGAGTGGTAAAACATATATAGTATTCATGTCTAAAAGCAATGTAATTTTCACTAGAAAAACTCATCACGCCCTGAAAAACACTCCCCACATAATTACACTTTACTGACAGTTGCTTAGTTTGTTCGCTCCGTCACCCCAGACTCCCCCTCTCTTTGCTACCACTCTGCCTCCCCTCTGATTCTCGCCCCGGTCTCCCAAACTTCCCCCCGGCATCCTGCTCCTCATTAGAAGGCCTTTCATGGTCAAAGCCAATAAAACTTCAATGGGAGGTAGCCTGAAGAAAACGTGGCTGCTCCGTGGCTTTACAGAGCGTTAATTACACGATCCCCTCACCAGACAGACAGCAGAGGGCCAATCAGTTTCTTTAACAGCGCTACCGACCTACGGCCACATGTGGGACGCAGTCAGACACATAAACTGGCATTGCACACACACGGAAGAAATGTGCTCAGACACATGGATAAAGGTCATGCTTACACAAGTCCATATATGATACAGACAGACATATTATCACATATACTCTTTGAGGCCACCAGACTCATTAACCTCCCGCCACATGTTCTCAACTTTGCCTCCAGCATCAAAAGAAGCAAAGCCTCTTTAATGTTCATAACACAAACAGTGTTTTCTGTCTGCTGTACGGCACAATTACACAACTTTCACTTACTTTCACTGAGTGAAAGTGTTGTGCCAAATTTGTCTGATAACACGCACAGGCTGCAGATTGTGAGAGGTTGTCAAGCAAAGGTGTAATTCATGCCTTCTCATTACAGAGCTGCAAATAATGGCACACAACCGTAGCTATTTGTCAGTTAGTGATACGTGATCTGCTGTCCTCTTTGTTTTGACTCATCCACTCGTAAGGAACCTACTAATTATAGAGCAACATTTCCTGTTGTATTCATAAACAATGTCTGCAATCATAAATAGATTGATTCTGAGGCAGGAAATGACTCCTCTTACCGTGTGGCGCTCTCATTCTCTCTGTCTTTTCTCTGTCTCCTTCTGTTGCTCCTCACTTGTGTTTGTCTCGAGTTATTTCAGGCAGCACTGCAGTTTTTCCATGTGTCACAGCGATAATGTGCGGTGGCATCTTCTTCCGCAAACAGTCTTTAAAAAGCATTTCCCACAGGAGTGACACCAGCAAACGCTGTCTGATTTAATTTCACACACTGGGATGACTAAAAAGACATTATTTAAAGTGAGAGTGTGGTCTCTCTTGTTACTCTAACACCCTTCTACAGGATACAATCAAAGAGTCAAATTACACCAGCTGCATCCTTAGTGGGTTTTTAATGTCCTTGTAGGCATATAACATCAGTTCTTTTCTGTATTTGCCTGAATTTTTGACCCTGCACTTTCCCACACATGAGCATTTGGAACTGGTGCTATTTCCAAAATCATCAACGAGCTCATTTCTTTATAGCTTAAAGACCTTTACAATCTGTCGGTGCTTCATTCGCCCTTTTCACATGGTTCACACTCTTCTAAAAATGATCTGAAAATTACAGGAAAGTCCACCCTCAAAGTTATCTGAAGTTGCTGATTCACAAACACCCTTATTAATGTGAAGTTTAAACCAGGCAGATAATGGTTGTTGTGGGTGGAGGTGTCTCAAGAGGCAAAATTACTCTGCTGAAATCACAGTCAGTATGTTTACATGTTAAATTGGTTCATTACCTTAGTCTGATTGGGACTGGACTTTTAAAAAAACATGTAAACACATTAATCAGAATGAAACCGCACTCAATCAAAATTCTCATAGTCAGACGAACATACCTGGATAATGCAGTTGGAGATAAATTTCCACTTGTATACAGCTCAATCGGACTAAAACTCGTCGAGTGTTTGCACACCAGCTGGAAGTTACATAGCATGAATGCATTGCTAAGAAGCATGGTATTAAATAAAACCTTAAAGGCATGGTTGACGATTGGAGAGATTGGTAATCGTTATGAACCTCGTTAATATGGCGATCATGGTCCTATAATTGCGATCTCCACAAAGTGAAGAGAAAAAAGAAACGAAAAAATCTGTTCACCCGAGCAGGTGCAGGCCTGCAGAAATATTGACCAATGGGAGCCATATGTCCCAGACAGCTCCCATTGGTCAATCTCTCTCTGTTACATCAGTAACTTTTATTAGTCTCTGCAATGTCAACAGGGAAGCTGTCCAGGCAGCTGCAAATGGTGCTTGCTAGCAGAACCATGCTTAGCAGACAAAGAAAGGGAGGAAAAAAGACTAAACTTTTCTATCCTAAAAACAAACAGTACAGAGCTGTAAAAGTAAGGGCTGCATGCCGTTAACTTTTTGCTAGCATGTTTTGCCAACTGTTTTAACTTATAAAACCATAGATATGAATAATAGATACAACATGCCCTTTGTGAGCTTCGTGCAGACGTGGCAGCCATCTTGGCGGGGGGGCATCATTCTTATTAAAGGCAATGCATGTACAATGAAAATAAATCATAACTTGCTCATTTTTTAACTGGTTTTCATAAAGTTTGCTTTATTGTCAGTGCCAAGACGTGGTATTAATACAGAACATTTGATTTTAAAAAAATGTTTAATCAAATGTTCTGCACTAATAGCACATGTTTTGATGTTGGAAACAAAGTAAACCGGATGAAAATCACTTGAGAAATGAGTAAGTCATGATTTGTTTTCCATGTACATCCGATGCCTTTTAATAGAAACGTCGCCCAGCCCAAGATGGCTGTCATGTATAGCACGTAGCTAAGCGGGCTGCCAAGGCGCACTGGCGTATCTAGTCTCCTATTTATATCTGTGCATAAAACATATACTGTGAGATGTCCTGATGGCAGAAGCTGAATGGCAGGATGTCGCCACCTGCCTCGTTGGAGGTAGACATGTCTTTGTCAATTTGACTCCTGTCTTGTGCTTGTAAACTGGAACAAGGACAGAGGTACAGTTAAACGATCTAATCAAGCTATGAATGCAGCTTGATTTAACTGTGCAGGTTAACACACTGATTATACTGAATATTGTGTCTTCAGTATCTCCAAGATGGTAGGCAGTAAGAGGGATGACATTTTTCGCCTTCATATCAAATTGTTAAAAAATTGACTTATTTGCAGCATCAACAAATAGGTTGAAGAGAACATGCTGGAAACAGAGAAGAGTATAAAGCTGCTTCATTATGCGCAGCAGGTTACATGACTTAAAGTTCCTTAACCTCGCCCACTCACTCACAGTGAGTCTCCCTGGCGTCTTTGAGAAACTTTATTAGTGGCCTGGTGGGAAAACTCCCAGGCAAAGCCAGGGTGACAAAGTTGGCTGTTTGTGTTTACAGCGACTCAGCCCACACTGAAGATTTCTAATAGTTTTGGGGTATTTGGTGCTTGTGAGATGACAGCTGTCCAATAGGAAGATAGCCCTGGGTTGGAAACAGCCTGAACTTGGTGAACTCGCTCCTCTTTGTTATGGATATATTACTGCCATTGGCCATGAAAAGAGGCTTCCTGAGCCTTGAGCTTGGAAATGAGAGTCAGTGATCCCATTAGAAGTAATGAATAAACGGGAAAAGCATGTACAAATTGAAGCCTGCTATATAAACAGAATACTTTCCCCTAGAGATATATGAAGATGTATTTAACCAAACAAATCCAATAAGATAAACAGCACTACTATAGGGAAACATTAGAGTCAGTTAATGAAAACATAAAAACCTTGACTTATTGTATTTATATGACAACACTAGTGAGAACCATGTGCTGAAATGACTCAGGGACTTTTCCAACTCACGTAAAGAAACTTGGATAATGAAGGCATTGAGCAGGTGACAGGTAACCTGGGCAGGTACTGACTTGTGCGTAATTATACCTTGAGGAGTGATAAGGCGCATGTATGCACTCAGCAGAGCGGAGTGCGTTAAAGAGAAGTGTACACAGTATTGACCTGTATCGGTGGGCGGGTACATGGGGGTCGAAAGGGGGCCCACTGTTCGCCTGTGACACCTGGCTGGTGGAGACCAAGCCGTCCGGACTCGTAAAGCGCATTCTTTCAATGAGGGAAACAGACCACTTTGGCGTACTGTAAGATACGGCACAAACCACGTGTGCGCACTTGGACTGGCGCTCAAAGAAAATGACAGATACTGATAAAAGTAGATTCACGAAATGAAAACCTGTTAGACGGTATTTTTATTCTGCAAAATGTCTAAAAATAACAACGATGAGCCAGATTAAACAGAAATGGCAGGACCTCTCTCTCTCTCTCTCTCTCTCTCTCTCTCCCTCTCTCCCTCGCTCGCTCTCTCGGGCTGCTCCCCCCTCCCCTCTCTCTCTCCCGCCTCCCCCCTCTTTCCACAGAGTGGCAGCGCTGGCATAGCATCGTTCAGAAAGCTGGAAACGGTCTGCGGTGCAGTAGTTGCCTGTGCGCACTTCTTTCCCCAGCTCTTACCGGGCCGTTAGAGCCGACAGGCGCGTGGCGACAGGACCCGACTGCACCGACAGGGCGCTTATTTCTGAATCAGTTGCAATAATTTCAGCTGAAAACGTCAGCCTTTTATCCCTTCTCTCAGTTTCGGTGGACAGAAGCCCCGTCATTGTAAATGAGAGAGTGGAGATCTGCAGGCATCCCGGGCACAGCGTGAGAAGATAAAAAACTACTTGGGGAAATTAATAAAGCCGCTGTCCTGTCGCGGGAAGAGACGGGACATCTGCGCTGTGAAGAGTCGCTCCTGTGCCGTGCAACAGCGCGCGGAGAGCAGCCACAGACTCCGCAGACGCACTTAAAGGGCAGGAGGGATAAAAGAAGGTGGAGGATATTTTACGCACAGCAGCAGCAGCAGCAGCAGCGCTCGGTAGCTGTGATTGACACGCGGCTACTCACTGGAAGTCTCTCGCTCCGTTTAGGACTCAGCGCAGTCGGATTTGCACTTGACTAAGTCCACAAACAGCAGCCGGCCGGGATGGATTCCTTCATCATTGTGGCTCTGGTGGCAGTGTGCTCTCTAACGGCACCAGCCTATGGGGACAAAGGGACCAGCAAAGCCAGGAGTTGTTCGGATATCAGGCAGTTTTATACCGGGAAAGGATTCCCTCTGGAAGGAGTCCCTCAGTCTGAAATATCAGGTGAGCTTCTTTAAATATCCAGTTAAAGAAAAGTTTGCTGTTTGCTCTTTTGTCACAAAATCTGATCTTAACCCCTGAACCCAGATTCCCTTGAAGGATAATTTAGCTATCCAAACACTTGCCTGCTGTAATTGTTTAAGACATGATGTGTTAAACACACTGTGGGGTATCATACAGTTGCTATGAACTCATTGCCACTGAGAACCATAATCCCTCTGCAAGTCCCCCCTAGGAATGTAGTCTATTTTGGGTCCAAAGTTGCACCTGCAGGAGCACCATTTTCTCTATGTGTTGGTGTGCAGATCTGACATATCCTGCGTGATCCTAAAATGAATGGCTGTAGGTTGTGCACTCAATGCAGTTCGCACACATTGCTGCAGGACATGGACTTAAAAATAAAACCGCAAGCTTAAAATGTAACATGTTTGTAGTTTGTTTTGGTTTCAAGGGGGAAGCGAACCCAGTTTCTATCTTTATACCTCCCAAACCTGTTGTCACACTTATTTCATGTCCCATGGTGACGCTGAGGAGCTGTAGCTCTAGGCTATCTCTCTGGATGAAACACAGCTTTGAAAAGATTTTAACACAGTAGTACAGACATGTCTCAGACAATCTGCCTGTTTGATCTCTGATAAAAAAAAGTAGAAGAAACTCCTTTGAAAATGTTCCCACAGTTGACATTTTGTTGAAACGCAGTTGCAGGATCAGCACCTCTCAGTTTTCCTCTCACTCCAAACTAAGCTGCTCCTCCTGAAGACACTCCCTGATCTTTCATCTTTTTTCAGCTGTCTGGTGTTTGTGTGGGGGAATTCTTCCTTATAAATTACCAGCCAGTCACTTGACCATGTGCTGCAGCAACGCAAATACGCTGTTGCTCACTGTGTCATTCATGGTCTGATGTCAGACAGTCATGAGCCCCTCTACAGCCCAGATGATTACATGTGTGCCTTCCCTGGAATTTGCTTTGGCATACATGAACACACACATAAACACACACACCTACGCACAAATACACACACGCACACACATACAGTTTACTGCATTTTCAGGTTCTACAGTTACAGTACGGTACATGCATAGACAAGACGGGAGACTGAGTGTGTGTGCTTACACAACAACTTTCCAGTGCGCAGATTCTGAGAAATATAACTCAGTTCTGTAAATCATATTTTTTTAAAGAGAGATTTATGAAAATAAACGCAGAGAGCCTATATCTAAAGTGAATCAAGGCCTTTCACAAGCAAGAAATTAGCATAAATGTTTGCCTTGTACTCGAGATTTTTCTTCTTTATGGTTTTTCCCGTAACCCTGCTGCAATTCCTCCCAATCTGATAACACTCCCTTTCTTCAAGCTGCCCCTCGAGACTCAGCGTCACTCACCTTTGCTATGTCGTCCAATTCATTTTGCACAGAGTGCTACACAACTCTGACAGCAGATAAACTCTCCTTCCCTGTGTAGGCAGTAATGTTTGTCCATTAGTACAGGCCTGAATGCTGCAAGGGTGACTTTCTACAATGTTCACCTAAAGGTCACACATTCTGGATGATCCCAAAGTGGCTACTGCTCTATTTCCCGATAGCATAGATGGCAGAAAGTGCATTTTGTCTTGGGAGAAATACTTTTTTTATGTACTGAAGGGTCTACTTTTCCCCCTTTAGATGTCAGGTATTTCCTCGTTACTCATCTTAAGTTTTTATCCTCCCAGAGCTGCAACTTTGATGCCTTATAGGAGCTTTAACCCTGTTTCTTTGAGGGACATGGTATCTAAAAAAACAGCTTCAGATCTTACCCGGTGATTGCACTTATCAGAGAGACTATTAACTTTGAGGGTGGGGCAGCAGTGCAATAGAAGTGTAAGCTGATGTCGTCACACTGTACATCAAAAAAACAATGAGGGTGAAGAAGTAACTGGACACTTCTTGAATTGATTGACCACACCGAATAAATCACTTGACAGAATTAACGCCAGCCTCACTATCTAAGAAATCCCCTTTTCTCCTAAAACGTCTGTAATCCATAATGTGTTAAAGAGCAGATCTGTCTTGTCATGACACTAGCTATCCCTCTTGTTTTAATCAATGATGAGGAGCTTACTTAAGTCTGGGGTCAATGTATTCTTAGTTAGAACAAAAAATAAGGGAGTGAGACAGACACTAAGGACCGGGAGGAGATAGATAGAGGACTGAGAGAAGTAGAGTGACAGTGAGAGAAGAAGGGAGATTTGGCTTTGGCAATATTTCTCCTTGTGCCCCCACCTCTTAGCTTTGAAAGCATAAATAACCACTCATCTGCTCAAGCCTGACACATCAGTAAAATATGCAAGCTTTAATTCACATTTCCAAGTTATAAGACACCTGAATGTTCATCTTGGATCATCTCTGACATTTGCAGCAGGATATTTCCTGCTATGACACCAGGGCCTGATCAACCAAATGTATTATTGGCTTGGCCTGACTCAAGGTCACATGGTGAGTACATCATCCCTGAGTCAGTCTGGGGACAGACAATGAGGCACAACTGCATCCAAACTCTGAGAATGATGTCCTCGCAGCACTTTTCAAATCCTTTTCAATGCTGCAGCCCAATTTACGAGATAAAACTCCCTGGCACACAATGTGTAGCGAATGAGCTTCAGAAGTCAATATTAAACTTCATTTTTAGATCCAGAGAACTTGAAGAATCAAACACAGAGGCATATGCAAATAAAGCCCTAGCATAGTATGAAAAAAGAGTTTAAAAAAAGAGTTTTCTTCAGCTGATGTTATTTGAGTCTTAAATTAAATTCCAGGAGTTTGATTAAAATTGTGCTCTTATTCTGTGCCTCTGTTTTTCACAATTACATCCAAGAGTTTCAGTTCTGCCGAGGTATAATAATCAGAAATTCCCTATCCTCTGAACTCAATCTCAAACTTCATCACAGATTTACAGAACTTTTTAAATCAAACACGGAGGTAGAAGCAAATAAAGCCACAGGAACAAGCAGCCTTTGGTTTTGAAAGATGACGCCTGTGCAGAAGTAGAAAAAAAAAAACTGCAGTTGCCCAACCAAGCAGATTAAAACATTTTTTTTTATATCTGAAAGCAGGATTAAACAAGCTACAAAAGATGTTTTAAAACTTTACACCTCATTACAATTATTGTAGCAACTATATAGGGGATGATATTGTTGTATCTGTTTTGATAGTATCAAAGTCAAGAGGTATGCATATTTTGGTTTCAGTAGGGGTGTGGTTGATTTAACTGACAGGCTAGCAGGTTGTAGTTATTTGCCAGGATTAGGATCATGGTCTCAGTTCTACCTCTGCTGGTCTCTGAAGTAGTAAGTTGAGAAAAGCAATTAGGATATGGTGACTGTAGTATTCAGACTTCATAGTGCCTCTTCCATGGGTTACATCTGTAAGCCTGTGCCTTATTTGTGATGCATATGGCCAGCAAAATCTGAGAGAGCTTTTTTAGAGTGTTAGTCTGAGCTAATAGGATTTTTTTCTCATTTAAAGCCCAAGATTTTTTTCCCAAAAGATATGAGTTCATCTTCTCTGCCTTTGTTTCCTTCATTTGCTCTATATATTTGGATTTATGAGGTACAAAAGCCAGAGAATTTCCAGTCCTCTGAACTCAAAACTCAGGTTTTTTAGATCAACAAAACTACTGAGATCAAACACAAAGACATATACAAATGAATCACTTCATGAAAACACTGTTTAAAAATAGCTTAGCTAATATGATTTGTTTTTATTTTAACTCCAAGTTTGTTTTTCAGAGAAATTAGCTCTTATTCTAAAGCTCTGTTCTTTCATTTATGTTTGTAAAGTTACTGAATTTATGAGGTTATAAACTAAGTTATTTCTAACAGTACCATCCCTGAGCACAGCCCCTGTTTGATTATGTTCAGTCAGCGGTGAAAGAAGATTCCTAGATACTGTTCTCACATCGATACGCCTCATATAACAACTTGGATAGTTCCCCTTTCTTAAGCAATTTGCCCTGGAGAAAAGGCACGCTTAAGAAAAGCTCTTGAGCTAAGGGTGAGCTGTTTCGTATCATTGTGCTGAGGTGGTGTTTACTGGACCTTGAGAGTCGTATCACTTCAGCAGAAATGAAAAGCGATGGCCTGTAAGCAATCACGTCAACTGATTGATGCTTTTAAAATGAGTAAGATGGTGCTTGTTTAACTCCTGCGAGTGATATCAGATTTGGAAACAGCCTTTTAGGTCGCTGTTTACCAAAAACGGATGATTGATTTTTATGATGCTCATCTGTCTCTTCCTCATGCTGCCCCCTCCCTGCCCCACCCCATCATTACAGCCCGGATGACTTATCTTTTTGTCTTTCAGGGGATGACATCCTTCATCTCTCTGTTTCTCTCTCTCTCCCTTTCGTTGGCCCTCAAAGAAAGAGGCACCAGACGCCCTTTGAAAGCAGCTGGCAGCCAATCAGTGTTAGATGTACAATGTCACATAAGCCTACACAAAGAGACAAGCTGCATGAGACATCTGCAGGAAGGCTACTAATGTTTTTCTATAGCACTGGCTTTCCCGTGCTGTATTTGTGTTTTTGTTGATTACCGGTTGCTACAGGCTGACTGTGAGTCAAGTGTCAGCTCTAAGCAGTGTGTGGCTAATGATACAGCAGGTCTGCTGCTCACCAGGCCTGCATGCTAAAAGCTGATGTTTACTAAAGACAGACTTGCGGCTGGAAACATGGGCTGATCTGTTTGGTAACCCACAGTGATGATTATGTCAATGTTTTAACCCGTCATCCTGACTGAGAATTTGGGTTTAAAGCTGAAAATGTGTAAATAGTTACAGTGTTGTAGCTAAAATTGAGCAAGAGCTTCTCGTACAGCGCCGGAAATTGCCAACTCCCTCGCCTTTTTTACTAAGTATAGTGATGGGATGATGGCTGCTGGAGTGTTTTTTCCTCTACTCCTCCCTCGTGTGGGGATATGGGTGTTGAGTTAACGACATGGTTAGACTTCATTGGCCCCGCCTGTTAGCATCAGAGTTGTTTGCCATTTAAACAAGCTAATAATCATTTTATCATTGTAGGCCACGTGTCGGAGCTGCCACTAGTCAGGTCTGTAGCTGTGTTAATAGTGATTGCTATAATGCTATAATGCTGTAGCATCCCATATTTACACATTATAGGTTTGAGTAAAACTTTTTTTTTCTGAGTTTTTTCTTATCTTTAGGCTAGACAGCTTCTTTAAACTTCAATTTTTGTTTCAACAAGTATAAAATTTGTGGCTCTGGAACAACCCCAAGGCAGACTCATATTAAATTCAGACAGGAATCTATAAACAAGACAAAAAATATAGCAAGCAAGCTAGGCATGTGTTGAAATAAAACAAAAACAGCAAACACAACACCATATAAAAATATTTTCTTTATTGAAGTGCAGAGACTTCAAAAATTTGCATGGCGCGCGGCTAATTTCACCATCCCCACTGACCAAACTCATATAAAACTTATTTATTTCCTTACAGGCTTATGTCTTCCAAGGTTGTTTAATGTACAAGTATTTCAACCCACCTACTGTCTCATGGCATATAATGTGTTGACATGGCAACAGCATGAGCCACATAGTAAGCTCCTAAAAGTAAAAGAAACTGAACGGCAATTTAAAAGAACCATTCTTCCATGGATGTGCTTACAGCATTTTTTTACTTACCTTCAGTTGCTTGAAATCCCTTAGACCTGTCCATCAGACTGTTTGACCTGAGGTGGTACCTCATTATTGTCCACCAAGGCTATGACTGTACTCTCATGCCTTCTCTAGTTGTTGAAAATATCTGTTCGAGATGTAATCATTTATTGACCAATCTTTTATTGATCAAATTCAATACTTAAGCATGTTGCAGTTATCATTTATTAGATAATAGATCCTTTGCCAAGTGTCCCAAATTGAACTTTACTCCAGCAGGGGGTGTAAAGACTTAAAGCTCCTGTACAGAACTTCCAGTTTCTGTTGGTTTTGGTGCCCCCTGTGGTCAAAAGTAGTACTTCTTTTAGTGTAGGTAATGATGTCCAACAATAACCTTGAACTACTGTCAAGGCTATGACTCACTTTGAATGTTTCTCAGTTATTTTATGTGAGACCTACCTCTTCACAGGAGTTACAGGCTCTTGTACAGTTATGGTATAGAAATAGTTGGTCACGTCACTGGTGGTTTTGTTTGCTTTTGAAGGTCATACTGAAGTATCAACGTTAATTTTAATCCATTACATAACCAGCTGAAGACTCCAAACAGGAGCTTTAAGTTGATGTTCTTCATTCAAAATCCCCCCAGGGACATTTTTAACATTATTAAATAGGATATGGCGGAGACAGACAGGAAAGAGGGGGAGAAAGAGATGGGAAGAGGGTGTGTATGCAAAAGATATATATATATATATGTAAATGCAGACAAAAGGATTTATCAGCACATTAAAATATTCATCATTTGTGCTAGAAAATTTTAAAATTAAAAATCAAAACTTTTATTACATCTCCAACTGATACATCCAACACAATGTAAAATACATACAGAAAAACTAAATGTTCTCTCTAAAAAAAAGAACGTTCATATCAATTAATTGCTCTGTAAATGAGTCACTGTGTCTTTAATAATAGTAGCTTGTTATGTACAACAAAATTAGTGGTTTATTTATAGCAGTACAATATAATTGAACCTCAGGAAGTACAACCGTAATACAAAGCAATTCCTGTAGATATGAAGTAATAAAACCAGATACAGAGCAAACTTAGCCATTAGAAGTAAACACTGCTTGTGTGATTGTGTGTTGGGATAAACCGGCAGTGTTGTCATTGTGTCCACTTTGGACAGTGGCCTTATCTCATCTCATTAATATCCCCGCTGATATGCTGTTGTTCCTCTCCATATTGTGGATAACTAATTGGTGGAGCTGAATTACATATTGCCGCCATGTGAATGGAAGCCATTAACTGACTTGGAGATAAGAGAGCCGAGGCTTATTTGAAGGTTAATGTCAGCATAAAGCCTCTGTGCATCTGTCGGCCTTCCTCTGCGCACAGATTAAAGCAAAAGCAACAGTTGTTTCCGTATCACAGAGTGCAGGCTTCATGACTGGGCTGCAGTTTAAAGTGTGTGTGGATCCCTGCTGCAGCTCTGGGCTCCTGCCTGTGCCTGTCCATGTGCAACTGTGTGTATGTGTGTGTGCATGCATCTGTGTGTATGTTTTCCTAGCGAATGAATATGCTGAAGTTGTTAAAATGCTGAAGTCAGTAAGAAGCCTCTTGAAGCATTAAGCCATAATGGGCTGCAGGGAGCATGAAACAGACCACAATGTGTTTGATGTTCACCAGAGAGGGAGAGGGAGAAGGAGAGAGAGAAAAGAGAGCAGGGCTGATGGACTGTTGACTGTGACGTGGGCTGCCCTGGTGTGCTTGCTTTTGCCAGTCCCTGCTCCGCCCTGTGACCAGCTATGAGCAGGAAAAGCAGCGCAAATAGACGGAGAGAAAAGATAGAGTTAAAAGCAAATCGCTTCTTTGAAAAAAACGTGTTCTGTGCCGCATTTCCTTATGTAATTGTTTTCACTCTCAGGCCTGTGAGAAACATGAAAATCTGGAGGACAGTCTGTCCAAACATGTTATGCTGCACTGAACTCTGGGTAGTGTGGGAACGAGGATGGAGAAACCTTTTTGCAGTTTGCACGCATATAACCTGTTTTTCTAGTAAAGCTTAAACCATGAAGCAGTTGCGTTAAAACCGACTCAGTATAAGCTCTTATAAACAAAAGAGTTGCAATTTTCTGTTCTATTTCCATTTAACAACACAAGTCAAACGCACTTTGACTCATTTTTGGACGGGATTTGAAAAATATTTCACCCTTCTCAGTCCTATTTCCTGTGACTAATTTTAGAAAATGACTCTGACAAGTTCCCCCTGTGTAAAAGGTAAAAGAAATCCAGGTCCAGAGAGCCTGATAAAGGCTTTTTTCAATATAATGCACTGACTTCACAAGCCTCAGCTGCCTCCTCTTGGACCAGCATGCATTTCAGCTGCTGCCTCTCCTCTTTTTTTCTAGTCTTATGCTCCACATGTCTTTAGTTCTCTGTCACTCGAGAGTAAGATTTGACACGCACAATCCCCCCCTTAAGCGCACACACATTAACACACGCACAGATGACAGTGTAGGGCAGTCATTACTGTGTGCGTGTGTGTGTGTCAAAGGGTGCTTGTGTGGTGTGTATTGTTCCTCGGAGGGCTGCAGTTTGTTGGTGTATGACTCCTCTTTTGTCTTCACAGGAACCGGCAGTGTCAAAAGGAGAATTATTCCTTCATCACTGCAAGCCCCTTCACTGTCTCCAGCCTTGTGTGTGTGTGTGTGTGTGTGTGGGATGCAAATGTGTGTGCTTGTGCCTGAATGTGTATGTGCGAATGAGAGAGGATTCATTTGTGTGTTCAACAGATGTGCAATGACTTCCAAAGCCAAAGCAGGAATGATTTTAAACCACTTCCTTCCCATTTGCTGTCATTATGTGCCGAGTCTGTGTGCGTGTTTGTGTGTCTGTGCCCTTTTTCATCAGTTATGTAAATGTGTGTGTTGTGGCTCCCGTCCCCTCCAGCAGCAGGGATTCTGTAGACTAGGTGAGTATTTGAAGTGACAAGAAACTGGCTTCGGCTCACAGCGGGGCTCCAGCTAGCTTTCCTCTCGCTCCCCCCCTCACCCCCCCTACTGTTTGACAGATGGTACAGACCCAAACCGGGACGCCCACTATTAAGTGAGGGCACGCAGTATGAATTTTACAGAGTGGCACGCCCTATACCGGCATACGCATACACACATACACACACACAGTGCAGACTGTCTGCAGCTGTGGATCGGAGTATTTGTGGCACTATGGCAACAGATTCAGTGGGCAGGAACGGACAAATAAACACATTTGGGGCTTGTGTAGATTTTATGGATTTTGATTCTGATTGGTTAGTCGTGTTCATGTTAACACAGCCACTAATTTATGGGTATACTTAGGGAATTTTGCAGGATTTTCTCATAGAATACAGTTGATAGCCTTTTTTTTTCTCCATACATAAAAAACTGCTCTCGTCTTACGTGTATTGATTCTGATGGTTTCATAGGAGTACACTGATTTTTTTAAAATCAAATTTGGCACGGTGAGAAGTTTTTAACAGCTTGAGGAACAGACTGAAACTGATACCGATGCCTCTTAATGTCCTTCAAAAGCAAACAAGACCATCAGCAACAAGTTTGATGATTCTCAGTGGTGATTTTTAATGTATGAAACTGCTGCGAGGCATAAATATCAAACCGGAAGATTGACAGCAGGCTAAAAAAAAAAAGACTTCTTACACAGCAGATACTCACATTGAGTGATACATTTACATTTACAAGACAACAAAATGAAAATTTTTGTCTGAATGCACTCTTTTCACTTTTACAGGACAATAAATAAAAGGTACAACTTTGTCAACAGGGGGCGCCAAAATCAACCCTAAACAAAAGTTCCTCACAGCAGCTTTAATCACCTCTCAGTTGAGCCATGAATTTTACATATTACAATTTCAGCAAGCACTTTAAGTCAAATCTGTAATACTGTTAAGAACGATGTTTGCTGCTTTGTTAAAAGATAAATCGGAAACTGAGCTCTGGACTATGAGACAAAGTATAAGATAATAAGACATTATCTTGAAGACAACACAAACGCAGTGGACATGTTTTATTGTCCTCAACCATTTTATAAACTGATATACAATCTATAAATGAAATATTGAGCATAATTATCATTACTCCCAGCCACTGTTACTGAAAAGTAAAAAAAATAGATGTATGTTCGGACTAAAATGAAGCTCATCACATTACTTATTTAAATTTATTTACAGCGCTAAACGCAAACAAAAAAATGTTTAATTTACCATCATGGAGATTAAGGAACACAACAAAACATGAAAACAAGTTAATTTAATGCTAACACAGTAATTATTTAATTCTTCATTCTGCCTCTCAATGAACTTTTTCCCTCTGATTTATACTTTTACCAATTTTAACGGCTCTTGTGACCCTTAGCTGCACTTTTTAGACCGCCCTCCCTTTTCTGATCCAGCTCTCATACCTGAAATAATTGCCAAGATAGATGGATATTCTCTTGATGCCGACAGCCTTCAGTCTCTTATCTCTGAAATGCATAGAAAACTAGGAAATAGGAATTGAAGAGATGAGAGATTGCTCCTATGTATAAAAAGATTGGAGCAGATGATAAAATCAGGAAGATGTCGTCTAAATGTTGAACGCTCCGAAATGTGTCCAGCACCTTTCTGCTCCAGCTCCTGGCGCAGACAATACAGATTTAATAAAGATAGGACACACAGGAGCAGCAGTACACACCTCCCCTCTCCTCAACTACACACTTTCCTTTGATAAGCAATCATTTCTGCTCTGCTCTGTTCAACAGTGGCCCTTTTCTTCCACACGGAGGTTGTTATTAAAGGCACTACATCCGCAGAATAAAACAGTGCAGAGGTAGCCGCGCAGATGCTGGACCGCAGGTTATCAAGTTTTCTGTCAGCGTTTGTGCTTCGGCAGATATCCCAGGTGTTCCCAAGCTTGCGAATCTCATCTCTGTCTCTACTTTCCCCACATCTCCCGAAAGTAGACAATATAATTCTCCACAATCCTTTTTATGCGTGCTTTCAAACTTCCCAGTATACAATTTTCTTTTTGTCTCTATCAAATCTGTTCACTGACAGTTTTTTTTTTTTTTTTCAATTCTTCATTTTGGAGGAATTTATTTTAAAGCAGCTCAAGGCAAACGGCTCAACACAATAGCCTTGTTTTGCAGTATTGTCACTCACCGTCTATAATTTCCTGGAGATTTCCTCTAATCGAGATAAACTGTTTCACACTAGTTTCCATTATCGTAATTATTTTCTCCCCCCTTCACTCTTCCTCTCTCTCTCTCTAAGTCCTTTCTGCCCTCAAGGCTTTATCTCTCTCATTCCTCCTCTATCTAGCCCTGCAGAGGAAGTTGGAGATTCATTTATTTTTCATGTGGAATTTACTGCATGCTCACAGTTGCTCTCAGAAGGGGTTGTTAGTTTGTTTTCAGCTACTTATCTGGGATTTTTATGACTTCATATCTGTGATCTTATTTTACCATGCATTTTATGATCAGCGCATTAAAGCCATGTGTTTTGATTCTCAACACTTTATTGGGCTACACATGATTGCAAACAAGGAATCCTCTTCCCCTCGGGTTCGATGTGTTGGAATAAGCTAAACTGATTCTTAAAGTGTTCTCTTTTTAAAGCCAGTGATGTGAGGATTCAGTAAAAAAATCAAATTCTGTATTGCTTTACTTTTACTTCAAAATGCTCCTGTGGGAATCTATTTTCCCACACTCACTTTAACTGTCCCCCAACTTCCTTTCCTCCTACTTTGAATGTAATTACAGTGAAATCTGTGTTTTGTTTTATTGGCTTCCTGGAGGCCTAGCACACACTGTTTTTCCAGGCTTTGGTTCTCTGTGATCCCTCTGCATGTCTCTCTCCCCATCTGGTACATTTTTGGGATCTCCGCTGTATAATTGGCATGAACTGCTGCACAACCGTCGCCCCATAACATTAGTTCTTCTAGAAACCAGAATACACAACTGGGGTGTTGCTCTCGTAGTCCCTTCATATCGCCTTCTCTCTCGATGTCCACTCCAGCTTCGATCTCCTATTCAATTTTTGTGCTTCCTCTGCACATTTTTCTGTAATTAGATAGTTACATCTGGTTTTATGTGACTCTATTCCTCAAGTGTTATTTGTGGCCAAGGAAAGCCCCGGGTATTTCATAGTGGTTTGCTTATTCGGCTTGACCATGCTCGGCTATTTAGATCCCAAGGTAGAGACTGAAGACGTAGCAGCAGGAACGACCAGAGGATTACTGAGGCTTTATTAGAAGAGGCGTGCATAAAGAAAACTCATAATTACAGAGGGGAGGTTTGTAATCACTGTCAATTGTCATCCCGTTTGCTGCTACAGGATCAGCTCTTTATGACTAAATCCTTTTTCTTGTATGCACCCCCTTCTGTCTGTCTTGCCGCCTTCTAGCACTAATGCTAGTCTATTTTTCATGTGTCCTGATTTCGAGGGAGAGTCAGAGAAACCATTTTTAGCTATCACCTCAATACACACTGTCTATGGCATCATATTCCCCCGATGCACCTGACACTGTTTGCACTAATGGAACTAGTCTCCACCTTAAAAAAAGGGGGATATATAGTAAAAAAAAACAAAACTGAAAACTGTAAAAACTACAGTGTACTACAAATGTATGAGATAAAGAGTTCATGTGTAAAACTCACTGCGAATTTAGATCTGCATTCACACTGTTTATATTTAAGAGCTCAGGTGTTCTTACTGAAGAACAAACACCTTTGCCCCCCTTCTTCACATCCTCCGGGGTGCGGATGGCAAACAGCGAGCTAATGAACTTGAAATGACAATGACTTATTTAGCTTGCATTTCTTCTGCTCAGCTGTAACAGAGGGCGTTTCGGTTGGGCCCACTCGTCATCGTCTCATTCGTCTCGTTATTCGCTCTCCCTCCATCCCTCCCTCCCTCACTATTTTCATCTCTTCCTCCTCCTCCCCTGCAGAGTCTTCTCTCATAAATATTTTACATCTTCTAAAAAGAACTCTGTCAACCCACGCTCGGTGCATGGCTGGCTGCCTTGTGTGTTTGTAATGCGTATAATGTGAGTGTGGGGTACTTTTCAGTGTGTATTAAACATATGCTGTGCAAAAATCCGAGTGTGTGCTGCATAACCCTAATGTGCAGCTCTGCTTGCGTATTTTCATCAGTGTGCGCACACATAATGATTTCAGTGCACCAGACAAGGTGACTAAGAACATGTTATTAAAAGCATTGACACGCTGGCATATAGAACATCGTATACATGCTGTGATCTGCTGAGCTGTATGCCAATCAATGGTGACTATAATCATAATTAATTTCACTGAAATATACGGACACTGAGTGCCTCCTCCAAGGTCAGCGTGGAGGTAGCTGTTGAGGAAAGCTTTAATCACAGGGTTTTTGTTTTATGTGCTTTTCTGAACCTATCTGAAACCTACAATCAGAGACCTGCTGGCCAAATGTTACTGCAGTAACCTCTAGCTCTCTGCACACAACAGAGAGTGCAAACACAGAGGGTGGTTTTTAAGGCAGAGCATGTGCCCACCTACCTCCAAAGTGTTTCTCAATGTGGCTGCAAATGCACAAGGTGAAACGTTCAGTGCAGCATCTGTAAGCTGTCAAACTAGCATAAGCTCATGACTGAGTTTGGATGCTTCAAAATGTTGATCTTGTGATTTCAGTGTTGTTTACAACATGACATTGACCAAGTTATGTGTCTGTACGTGTCTTTAGACCAGCCTGGATTAAACACAAAGCTTTTTACTTTAAGTGTGAGATGGAGGTTTAATTTTCTCACCCCTTATTTCATCCATTCTTTGTTTTCTTTTGTCTTGCTTGATTTTTATTGAACCACAGAATATTTCATGTACTCTTATTGCCCCCCCTGCCAGAAACCCAAAGTACTTGGCTCCACTCTTTTTTGTATTGTTTCGTATTGAATTATACCACACAATGGCATGTTCAGTTTTAATCTTGCATCTGTTTGTGTTTATGTTTATGTCTTCTGAGAATCTTGCGTCGAGCATGTACAACATCACACTAAATCCTTTTCCCTCTACATCTTTAGCGGAAGCAGTGGCGCCTCTGCTGCTCCACTATTCCTCTCCTGGGCATCCCTGTTCCCTTCACCCCTCTTTCCCAGCAGCCTCAGCTGCAGCCCAGGGGCCCAGGGCATCACTCAGTCAAATTGAATCACAAATCCTGTTGGGCAGAGGAGACTGTGAGGCTCAGGATGAATGGCTCTGGTGTGTCATGTGATGTCTGCTGATGAATGGCCACGGCCTGGAGGACAGGGTGGCCTGAACCAGGGAAACAGGGCCCAGTCAGTGCGGGTATTTTTGCAGGATTTCAGTTGTTGACCCTCAGTAGAAGTTTAAGGTATCTCATCATGTAGCACTTACAGATGATCTCCTCCATTAAATAGAGCCCAAAGTGTAAAGTATGTTTTTTTTTGGGTTGTTGTTGAAAGTTCAGTTAGTTGGTAGGAGTAACAACAACCTACTTCCTCTGTTTTGGTGCAGGAAAATGTATCCCTCTTTGAAATGTGTTTGGGACGCTGAAGTAGGAGCGTCAAGGCTTTGATGTTCCGTATTGGGGTGTTTTGATGAGAGAGTTGTGCATACACACACACACACACACACACACTGTGATGAGCTCTCACTGTAACAGCCCCTCTCTTCTTCTTAAACCTCCCGTCCTTCTTTTTCCAAGCACTGAGTGTTTGAGATACGAGTAGAGAATTGAGACTTTGTTCCTTTCCTCCCCTCTTATCGTCCTCTTTTCCTTCAAGCTTTTTCTCACTCTCTCCAGCCTTTTTCACCTTCTCTCAGTCCCTTTGCATCCCTTCACATCTTTCTTGGCTTAGTTCCCTTGAAGAAGCACAGCTGTGGCACTCATCGCAAAGACCCCTCACTTTTTTTTTTTTTTTCTTGTGTTCTTGTATAAATTGGCGGCCTGTCGTTCTCAGGCTCTGTGCCTGTTGATTTTGGGTGACGTCAGTTACTGTTTATGCCTCGGACACAGAGCTGATTCTGCTGTTTTCTTGGACTGCTTTAGCTCAGGACATTCAGCCTGTGTGTGTGTGTGTGTATTTGTGTGCTTATCCATGTTTATCCCTAACAGGACCCCTCCCTCGGTTTTGTATAACTGACCTGATCATGACCAAACTCTTATTGATGGAGGCGTGTGCATGTTAGACGAGTGATGGATCAGTATTTGCACTAATGTGAGCTTTTAGTGACATTACTGAAGTTGTAATTGTTTGTTTTGGATCACAACCAATACTGCTTTATCACCAGACACCAGACTAAAACCTGATAATCACGGTAGGGATGGGCGATAAATTATCGTTCATGATTTATTGTCAGAAAAATCCCCCACGATAATTATTTGCCATCTCATGATAAATGTTAACGCAAGTTGATGACGTAAGCTCACAGCCGTAACCCACACAGAGCAAAATAACAAACAAACATGGCCGAATATGGCGAAGATTGGGGCCCAGACAAGTGCAATCTGATATGCCTGACATCAGACAGTGGATCTGTTGCTGTTCACTCTGTGCAAAGAGAGTTTTGAATAAATATTGAAAGTGTTTCTACATTTCAGGCTTGTTAGATGTCTACATAATTAGTTCGTTTTCTACATAACCTACAACTTAAACTTGTGGTTACTGTTATAGATTGGAATTATTATGTTTTCTATTGGGACAAAATTTATCATAATAAATTTTTGAGCCCATATCGCCCATCTCCAAATCACAGTGAGTTTGTTGCTGGGTAATAAGGGAGATCATGTATAGTAAGCATGCATATTAAGATCCTTTCAGGCTGTGATCTTGTTAGGATTCTGATTTGTATAATCACCCATTCACTATACATGATCCTGTTTTTATATTGTGTTATCTCACATAAAAACACATTAAAAAACAATTGAAAATAGTAGAAATCTCATAGGAAAACTCAACTAAAATACGTTTGTGCAATCCCTACAAAAAAATTAACTCCCTGCTATTGTGAAATGAACTAAAACTATTCTGTTTGGGTCTGCATGAGGTTCAGTTTTAAGTTCAGATGACCTGCTGAGTTGCACAGTATATTGTGGTTTACATGGGTCGACTTTAAACTATCAAACACATGAGTGTGTTGGCCCTCAGTTTCCCATCGTGAATACTCTTTGAGCCAGCCTCGCACAGTTACCACTCCATGCCTGACGGACACATAAAATCTCCTTCCAGAAAACATATTACTGAGATTAAGTTTAATGAGCAGTTAGTCATGTGTTTTTGATGCTTTCGGAGATGGTTTTGTGGTGACTCTTTGTAGCCAATATGGGCCGCATTAAATGTTTTGTGGTGGTGTGGTATGCAGAATGTGAAGCAAATGTTTTTGGAGCATTTTGTTAAACACTGAAATAGTTGGTCACAGAAATGATCAGTCAGTTTAAAGAAACATTTGGAGTGTTGCAAATGGAATCTTGTTAAAAGCATTTACTTGGGTGGAAGTCCCCAACATGTGCTAAAAACAGACTCTACAGCACGAAGGTCTGCTTGCTTCTCTTCAACTCAAGCTGTTATAATTTGCATATTATCTCTCACTTAAGCTTGAATAAAACTTTAATGCAAACTCTCATTATAATTGTGCTTTCTCTAAAGTACAACTGATGGAAAAACTGACTTCTAACAGATACTGAATGTGTCTCAGACAGTCCTCCAAGGACATTGCCCAGTTGCGAAAGGAGAGCACTTCAGCCTTTCTGATGAGCTACCTTCACTGTCAAGCTGTTCTGCCTCCCTTCCTGCTTTTCACATCCAGTTACCTTTTTTAAAAGCACTTTACTCTCTTACTCTCAGTTTGCTTCTCCCAAATAGGCATGAAAAGTTATTCTATGCGGCAGACTACCATCTCTTCTGTAGCCAAATGACATGCAGAGCTTGTTAGAGGAGGCAGCTTTAACTGTTCGAACCCCCTGCCTCCTACATCTCCCATTTTGCAAATCGTAGCTAGGCCCTCTTCTCTCATGGGAACAAAGTGCTTAATGCACCATTATACTGCTATAAATACTCTCGTCCGTGGACCGAGCTCACACTTTCTTTTGTAATGTGATTATTTTTTTATTCCACCTACTGTCATGGGCTTTAAGTGTGCTATTAATGTCCATCACTTTTTGAAAAAAAGGGAAAGAGATGAAGTAGAAAAGAGAGTGAAAATGGAGTCCTCCTGTTTCAGATGACGGTTGTTTTCCTGTCCCATGTGTCTGATTACTACTAAAGTAAAATGTAAATGGACAATGTGGCTGTTTGTAGTTTTTGTAGCATTTAGACACAGCATCCCTGAGCTGTAAGTGTTTTCGCTCCATTGTGTTTCTCTAATTGCCCTCAAAGCAAGAGTTTCTTTTGATTAATGTACAGAAGCGCAATATATGCAGCACTCTTTCTTTAAAAAAAAACAATATCTTTAATGTGGTTAGGTTAAAGAAAAATACCATGTATTGTGTAATCACAAGAGCTGAACAGAAGCTGGTGCTTCTGTTGGTGTGACCTGTAATTGAGATGCTTTCTTATAAATGCAGCTCTTCATCTTTATATGTCACCTTGAATCATCAGTAATCTGTCTTCCTTAGTCTTGATGAACTGGCAGTGTCCAGTTGCTTTTATTCTCCTGAAACGATCGCAGTTTGTGACCCGAAGAGTGGTGCTACTCTGAAATTGGCTACCACCTCTTAAAGTGCTTTTGTTAAAGGGCTTGTTAAGACCACTTAAGACACAGTCAGTTCATTTTACGTACTTTATACCTTAGTCTTGGCATCCACATGGCTTCACTTGGATAGAAAGGGAGGGTGAGGTAATATAGGAATTACATTATAATGTAAACATATCTAATGACATAGTGTTTCACAGTAATCCATATCCAAGATAGTGCAGAGAGACATTGAAAGAAACCTGCTGCACATAACTTTAAATGGGGGTATGGTTGGGTTATGAGCGTCATGAGGAATTGCAAAAAAGTCACTGGGTAACAGAGGTGATGTGCTAAAAGACCTAGGGCTGGGCGATATGGCCTCAAATCAATATCACGATTTATTGAGCAGTTCACCTCGATGACGATAACTACTCCACATGCTGCTCACTCCCTTCCACATTAACTTCGTTACTTCAGCTGCCGCTTGAGCTGCTAAAACTTTTGAACCGTCCTCCATCTCCTCACCTGTCTTTCCCTCTTTGTTACGGACTGGGTGGGGTGGAGTCACATCTCTGACGTAGGACAGTGCCTCAATGGGACCATAGCCTACCTACACACATCCAAAACCAACTTAAAAAAAAAAAAATTGACACGGACTACCGATGCGTTGGTTATTAACGTAAATTTCGGTATCTGTAAATTTTCGATTTATTGCCCAGCCCTAAAAGGACTTCATTCTTTCTCTTTCTCTGTTATTCTTTTTTAAACCCAGCATAAGGCAAAGAGTCTAGTACCAAGAGGAAGAGTACCACCTTTTAGACTTTCCTCCTTCAGTAGCTGAGGTGCCAAATGATGAATAAACAAAGCAAAAGCAAAAACAACAACAACAAAGAAAGCTGTGGCTCTATTCTGACCAGTCAGTGTTTACTCCCATAGATCCCTATCTGGGTCTCTGTCTCTTTTAATTGAGTTCTCTGGGATTCTCAAACTCACAGTTTGTCCACAAACACAGCTTCAGTCCCCCCCCAGTGTCCCCATGAAGTCCTGGCGCCGACACCCGTCTGAAGTCCTGTAAAATAAATTCACAGCAGGCACAGAGGTGTGTCCTCTATGGCTCGAAAGTTCATGAAAATGAGCGGAACAGCCTGTCCTTAAAAGATGAAATTCAAGGCCGTTTTAGTGCCTCTATGCCCTTGTGGAGAATATCCAAAGGTGCATGTGTCGTCTTGTCCTTTATACTGTTTCTGCCTTGTTTAGCAAACAGAATCTGTCATGGTTTTTATTGTATCTGGAGGTGTTCCTGTGCTCTGTATGTAGCTACTGTAGGTGTGCATGTGTATGTGTGAGGAGAAGATATCCATTTTTATGAGGGGGTCCTTGTAGTAAAACCTGCCTGCAGCACTTGGCTGCAGTAGCTAGTGATACAGACATCTGCCCCGGCGGTTAACTGGCGACTTCCCCTGTAGTTATTATTGTAGTCTGTAAAGGGAACCTATCGTGCTGTCTGGAGACAGCCGCCTTAATAAGACTCTGTCAGGTTCATGTTCCTTTCTCTGTGTTGAAAGTCCCCCACCCCCCCTCTCTTTTTACCTTTCTATATATGTTTTTCCTTTAGAGAGAATCTGAGAGGGAACACTGGCTGTATGCTCTTGCTGCCTCACCATCTTCAACCTCTTTCTTTCTCAGATCTAGCCCAAAGCAGTCTTTGATGTTCAGCAACCTTTCCCTCCAAAGCATTGCTGCTCTGCTGCAAAAATTCCCACCCCATATCTTTCCCCCTCTCTCTTTTCCTTTTCTCTTTTGCAGGTGAAAATAAACCTGCCTGTCATACACCTGATTTTTCCTCCTGTGACACCAGTGTTCAGGCAGCTGCAAGGTAGCCTATGTTTTTGCTTGAGCAAAGTAGCAGAGTGTGAATCTTTCCTGCGATTATAACACTGTTGAAGCCATAGAGGATAGGATTACGGCCTTTTGCAAGTTCATTTTTAACATTTCTAAGTTATTCACCTCTGGTAACAGGGGTAATTGATTTCAGTTTGTCATGTGCATTACACCAGGGTCCCACTTCTATTGCATCACCAGTCAAAAATGACTTTTTTGCGGGTGTTTATAGTTATGTTTAAACCCTGTGATCCTGACTAATAATCAAAAACTCACCATCTTCTTCTGCATATGGTTTTTACCACACTATGATGTATGATGTAAGTGTCACATACTGCAAGTGTAGAAACTGTAAATAAATGCTAACACTGGTCCTGCTAGACATCTATATGTATGCTCACAACAGTAACATGCACTGAGTTGAGCAGAATTCACCGCTTTAAATTCAGTCTCGTTTCACAGAGCGATATCTCTGGGGGTACCTGTGATGGCACCAGCGCCGCACGTATGTTTTTAACATTCTGCAGTCATGTGACGCACAGGTACAGACTCTACAAGCACACAAGCACAACAGTTTATTGGAGATAAATCCATGACAACAAGATATTCCAACAATATATTGGTCAGCTGTAATGTATGTGTTACATTTTTCACTCAGTTCGCCTGGATAAGCATACTTGCTAGTCCTGATAGCCAACATGTACAACTCTGATTTTTAAAGACAGTCTTCAAAACATCATATATAACGTAGTTTCTTGAGACTTTGTGTGAACTGTTTCCAATGAGGAGAGAGTGAAGTCATTAGCATCTAGGTAATGATAGAGAATCTGATGTACGTAGCAACTCTTTCAAAGAGTAAGGAATGTTTGCTTCAGCGTGGTAACAACTATACAGCTCAGAAAGGTGATAGTATCACAACTCCAGGCAGCCAAGAAAATATCTGCTTGTTAGGTACTCATCATAGAGAAAGAAAATCAATCTGTGGGAGGAGATCATCTGTATGTTGCTGCTCAGCGTTGTAGCAGATAACAAGAAAAACAAATAGATGGTATAATAATAAAACAAAGACTGACTAAGTGACGTGATGTATTGTTTTTGGATATAGTGCCTATAACATTGTGCTATCTGTATTGTTTTATATTTTAATGTCCCTTTCTTTGTTTACAAAGGGGAAAAAATATAGCAAACTTTATATGAAAAAAAAAGATTGAATAAAAACAAAGAAAATAAATCCAATAGCGCTACTTATCAAAATTCATCAGGGATAGCCAAAACATTGATGTGCAAAAATGTGTTCACATTTGAACCTGTTCTGCCCTTTAATTTAACGTGTCAGAGAATTTAGCTGTCAGACCCATTCCTCTCCAGTCAGGGCATGCAGCTCAGAAGCATACTGTACACATAACCTCAGAAACATGCATTGACACACATTCACATGCACACCTGTCTGCATGAACACAAAAGCAGACTTGTGTGCCATGACTTCAATCTGAGCAAATGTACACGTGTTGAATAATATTATTTTATGTCTTGGCCTTTTACTCTTTTCATTTAAGGGGGGGAAAGTCCCCATAAAGATCAAATGGGGCCTGATCTGACATGTCGGCTTTGGAATTGCTGGGTGGTAGCTGACAGATTTGAAGTTAATTAAAAGCGCTCTTTTGTCCGTTGACTGATGCCAGTGCACTGCAGGATCTTGGTGATGGCGATGAGCATAGGCGAAGGGGGGCACAGAATGGGCCACACAATGGTGGGCTTTGTAGGTGGCTGTGATGCCGGGGTAAGCTACATGATGTCAGGGAAATGTTGGCCTCAGGCCATATATTCAAGTCCAGTGGTCCCCTCTCAGAGAGTTTCTTACATCTTCACATAGCTTCCAAGGAAGAGGAAGAGTGAGGCGGGAAAGTGAATGAAATCTAACTAGTAAGTGGAGCTTGAGTACAGCTGACTGCTCTACTGAGGAGAAAAAAGTAGGGCAGTAAAATGTATTTTGATAAAGGCTTAAGTGACACTGATAGTACGACTTTGTCACACTTTTATCTCAAGGCTGCTCGTACTCCTTGGAGCTGTTTTTAAGATAACATAATTCTACTATAACTAGGATTTGTTATGAGGACTGAAGGCACACTCATGCTGGGCAATCTGTACTGTACTCTTGCAGGTTTGAACTCTAATAAACCCTACCCTGCCTCAGCCCTGGCATGGTTGGAAAAAGTGGACTCTGGCACAGTTTGGATGCTCATGCATGTACATGAGCACGGCACTGTGAAACCCTTGATATTTTTTCTTTCACCCCAACACCACACATCACATCAGCATGGTGCTACAGAAAAAAACAGTACTGCCTGCAATGCATTGGTCTTTGTATGACATGGATAATATGCGAAAGCCAGTTTGAGTGTGCAGGTGAAGGGACAACTGTAGTCTTAAAATGGACAACCCAGTATGAGTATGCCCTTAAACTTATAGCTAATACAGTTGAGCCACAAACTAAAAGTGCCTCTTTCACCCATGTTAGCATCGTCACACTTTTAAACTGTTTTTGTGAGAATTCTTTCACAAGACTCCAAATAGTCCTGAGCCTCTATCCGCCCTCCTATCAACCACATCAAAGCTATCCTCAACAAGTTCAAAAGTTGAAAAGACAGCTCCCACTTTGTTAGCCTTCCTCGCACGGTTAGTTTAGCTTTCCTAAGGGCCGAGACGCTAGAAGAAAGAGTAATCCTGGCTCATCAGTCTGCTGGATTATTGTTGGGTTTTTTTTCTTGGCAAGGCAAAGTAACTTCCTGGAGGCTTGTTCAGACAGTGGGGTTGCCACATTACAACATGTTCTTTCACACTTTAGTGTTTGTGTGGAATGAACAAACAGCTTGTTCAATAATGAGCTTTAACACTGTAGTTTTTTTTTGTCTTTTTTTTTTTTTTTGTCTTGGGAAAGACCGGCTAGCTGTGCTTGTTGTTTGCAGTCTTTGTCACAGGCTTAGCTAACTGTTTTTATTACAACTATACAGTGATGTCAATTTTGCTTTCAAACTCTAAATAAATGATTGTCCCAAGATGATCTTCTCTAACTGCAAAACAGTTAAAGATGTATGTAGAGATCTGGACCGTAAACCAATAGAGGTGTTCGCATAAAAACATATTATTTTTATTATAGAGGAAATGTTGAATGTATTTAAATTGGCTTTCTTTAAGCTACCAAGAACTAATGGTCGTGGAAATTTCTGCAGGTTGGATCGGAAATTTCCAAGACAGTCTAGCCAAAGACCTCCACTGTGAGGACCAAAAGTTGATTTGAAGCCTATCAAAATAAAAGCAAATATACCCAGAGTACTTTTTTTGTTGTTGTTGGAAGTTAGCTCGTAGCCTAAAAGCAATTAGACAGGGAAGTACGTCTCGTGTGAATACGTTTTATTTTTGAGGCGTTATTTTATGTTTTTGTGTGTTCATGTGTTCAACAAAGACAAAATACAAAGCGGGATGACTACTTCAAACAAACTGAAGCTCATGAGAGAAAACGTCACCTCGGGTCTTCTCGGTGGAGGTGGGTCCTCACAGTGGAGGTCTGTAGCCACACCCCTCTCAACATTTCTGATCTATAAATTACGTTAATATCAGAACCCAATACTGATACTGGATCCGATCGGCCCTATCCCTACTTGCAACCAAAATGGTTGCAACTTTAAGCCCTGTGGTGGTTTTGCAGTGATTCTGCTGACTCTGTCATCATTTTCCTTTTTTTTGACTGGCATTGGGCCCGCAGATAAGGCTGTGAGTCACAGAGGAATGACATAGATAACCACAGAGGGCCCTTCAGTCCTTCCCTCTGTCCTGTTGTCTCTATTTCTCTATCCTCAGTCCCACACACTGTCTATAAATTCTCAAATTCTTCCTTTTTTTTTTTTTTGCTCTCAGCTTCTCTTCCTCTCACCCTGGTTAAAGGGATAACCATCTGCCCTTTCAGAAAAAAAGCTGTGCCCTATCAGTCTCCCTTTGGCTTTCCCCTCAGCTTTCTCTCTGTGCTTCTCCTCTGCCTTTAGCCCGGCCTGGTCGAGGGATAACCATCTAGCCTTTCAGCACAGGCCAGCTCTTTCTGATGACTGTTTTTTTCCAGTGATGGAGGACAGCACAGAAGCTTTGGCCCTCTCACTCTGGTGCATTTTCGTAGCTCAGGGGCAAAGAGAAGTCTACACCATTTATTTCTGAAATATTTGGACTCTGCTACATTAAGAGACTTTTTCTGTGGAGTACAACAGGTCAGTTAATGAAAACCCACTTCAGTGAAACAGAAATTCGACTCAACATCCGCTCAAGTCAAATATTTTCCATTAATAGTTGCATCTGGTCTGTTAGCTAAGTACAGTTTCTCAGTTGTCATACTGCAGGTGGAAAGATTTGACAGCTGACAACAAGAATGAGGAGTAAGAACTTGAACGGGTGAGATATTTTGGGGTCTTGACAGAATAGAAGCTCAAACATCATGTTTGTGAAAATGTGATGTTTGCAAATCTGATAAGTGACTAACAAAATGTTGGGATAAAAGAACCGGAGTCGAGCAAGACGACAGAGTTCCAAGCACCGTGTTTAGAGTAAAGCTCGGCAGAAAACCATGAAGTCGTGACAAGTAACAGGAAATCATCCGAAACTTTGAAGTAAACAGGCACCAAACGTTGAAAAAAAGTGAATGACAGAGTGAGTCAGAAAGAGAGAACAACAGAGGCAGACCGAAAAGGAGGAGAAGAGGAATGCAAGAAGCTGAAGAGCTGCTGCACTTCCAAGTTCGAGAGTGCAGATTTGACAAGCATTTAGGATTTCTCTCTCTCTCTCTCAAAGAGGAACCTATGAAAAGACCTCTTTCAGGCCCGGACTGAAAAGGGGATTAGACGGAGGCAAAGTGAGTGAAAGACACAAACATTCAGTTACACATCTTGTGCATTTACCTGTCAGAGTGCTGCAATAAAGCTGCTCCCACGTTGGGAATGTGCCAGGAGATTTCAATCCTAAAGGCCTGAAAGGGCTGTCTTTGAAAATTTTAACACCAGTGTGCCTTTGTGCCTATGTTTACTAAAATACCAACGATTACGGCAAAGTCATACTAATATTCCTGTGATGTGTACTCACCTCTGATCTTCAGTTTGCAGTTATCAACCCCCAGTGTTCAAGAATCAAATCATCTAGTCTTTGAGGTGAATGCATACCTTTCCTTCTGTCTTCACAGTGCTGGGTTTAAGTATGACCTTTCAGCATCAAAGTTGCACATCAGTTCCAACACTTCTGGATGTAATTCCCCTAACAGCTATGGTAAAGAGGAGCAATTTGCTGTGGTTCTTGCTGATTTGTCTGTGAAAAATGCTCGGATTGTGCTGCTGAGAACATAAATTCCAAAACTGCAGATAATCTGTCTGCTGCCCCTGTCAGCAAAGAGAACAAACTAATGATTTTTTACATCATTAAACTTGCTCTGGTGCTTCAGGGGTCATTGTATGAGCAGTTAGGCTTGCACTATTACTCTGACAAGTGCTAATCCGTGACAAATTTAAGGGTGTTTGAGATCCGCAGAAGTGTGAATCAAAGTGTTTTCTTATGTTGTTGTTTATCTCTTTGTTTGACAGCGATCGAGTGGTTTAGTCTGAGCTGGACCAAACGGACCTTCTTCCAGGAAAGGACTTTATTGTTAGTTCCAGTCAAAGATTATTACACCACAGCGAAAGCATTTGAGAGGAGGTCATCAAGGGCAGTCAGTGTAACTCCTGGACACTCAGTTAACTCTGTATACTTCAGAAACTAGTGTAGCAGCCGTAGTGTACTAGTACGACAGAGTATTAGGGCCACATTTAGAAAAAAAAATTAAGACCTCGAGATTAATTTACAAGAATAAAGTCATAATAAAATCATTACTTATGAGAATGAAGTTGTAAGTAATGATTTTATTACAAATTTTTTCTTGTAAGTAATGACTTTATTATGACTTTATTCTCGTGAATTAATGACTTTACTCTCAGTCTTAATTTTTTACCCTCAATGTGGCCCTAATACTCTGTCGTAGTACTAGTGTAGCAGTGAGCAGTTACATAATATAAATGTAATTGTAAATAGCTGCTTAAGTCCTATTGATGTCAAATGTAATAAATCAGAGACTAGCATTAGAGACCCACAGTCTTTGCAGTTATATGAGGGGTTCTTTGTGATACTTTCTCATGAAGTTTGAATCTTCATTGGTCAGGAGATGCGGTGTAATGCTAACTACTGTTCTGCAGTTAAAAGCCCAATCCAAATCTGTTCTGTTATAGACTCACAAACTCTGAATTTCGTGCTCTGCGCTGTCCAGATGATGGCAACACTGACAGTCACCATATTGGAAATGGTGACCCACACTTACTCTTAGTCGACCTAAAAAAAAAACAAATTATGCAAGTTGATGGATACCTCTTAATCTTTATATTATTTTTACAACCTTAAAAAAAAAACTATACAAAATTATACAGAACTATAAAGTAGGGGTTGGAATTTTTGCGTATTATTCTGTGGTGGATTTTCTTCCAGGCAACGGGTGACGGGTGATAGTGTGTCCCATCCCTCATTTTTATTGCATCTTTAGGCCCCATAAACTCATGCATAGGCTTTCAGGATCCAGCAGCGACACCGATACATTTCACTTTAATACTTAATTAAAAAGTCTCCCTAATGCATAAAATTTGCATATGTGTCATGTTCAAGTTTTTAATCAGAACCCCAATAGACTTTTGTATTACAAATTATATATGCTTTTTCTTCCCCACCATTTATATAATTATGTTAACTGAACTTTGTATTATTACCATTACTATTTGTGTATGTCTGTGTTCTGTATTTCTTTTCCGTTTATTTTGATTATACTTTAGTTTGTACTCTCATATAGTTATAACTATGACGACTCTAATTTTATTATTATAATATGTATTTATATCTATATTGTCTGTGTCTTTTTCAGCACTTCTGTTTATTGAGCACTAACTATTTACCGTATTTTCACTCTTTAATTTAAATGAAGAATATCATTATTTAAAAAAAGAACCCCTATAGATTATATAGAATATAGAACTAGAGAGATGTTGTAAAAGTAAGCCTAAGGTCAAGGTTCACCATCTAGGTTTATGTCTAGGTTTTTCAATGCCTGACCAGATACCAAGAACACATATCTATCATGTATATCTATGGTGCCCTGCTTTATTCTAAATTTAAAGCTGCTCTGTCATGTTTACTGCTCCAGCAGCAGTCGGATGACTCAGCTTCCCAAAAGGCCCCTTGTCTTCTTCTTAACAAGCACACAGGCACAGCTGGTGGTTGTTGCGGTTTCTCCAGTCATTTTGACTAAAATGGTCAAGGCCCATGCTGCTTTGCATCAAGGCAGGAGAAGTGACATCAGAGACGGTGGCCTACATAGAACAGGGATCTGGTGGCCATGTTGTCTGGGGAAAGCTACTGTGGCAAATGTTGCTCCACGACGTTTCGTGCGGCGTAATTGTGGTTTGCTGAGAGGACACGCTGGCCAGAGGCGAGGAGGAAAACAGAGACCACAGACTTAATAGTTCTGACATTCTCTCAGCATCTTCATCTTCACTTTGTTCACTGATGCCGTCACTCTCCAGTTGTTTGTCTTCTCACTTCTGTGTCTGCCTTCCTTTCTGTCCTATCAAAATGTGTCTTCCACTTTGTCCTGTTTTTCTTTTGTATTTTTTTGCCATGTGACTCTCATGTTCACGTTTGTTTGCCTTTTGCTCTCTCGGCCTAGCCATGTCTGCCTGTTGTCAAGAGACTTCACTGACTCACAGTGACTAAAAGGGGCCTGAAGTGCTGGCCTGTCCTGACCTGACTTCAAAATAGACAGCTTGGCACGCACGCCATGCACACACACAACATTGTCGAAAAACAGGGCCTCCCTTGTACGACTTCAGTTCCCATGTCAGACCGTCTTTTAGATCAGGATTTTTAATATGACTCACTGGTTACGGGACTTTTGAGTGACTGCTTAAGAACAATCCATGAAGCCCAGAGCCATCTCCTTAATGTGTATGATTGTCAGCTTGCAGGAACATACATGCTGGAGTACACAGCTTTCAATTCATAGATTAAAGCATTACAGCATGTGCTTTGTTGATTAATCTGACTGCAGCTAGATTGTTTGTAATGACGATTCAAAGTAGGGGCTAAACAGAGAGGCAAACATGCAAAGTTTAAACCAATACTGCCACTAAATGGTTGATAATACTTTCCATTTTTGAATCAAATTATTCAAAATATAATGATTGAGATAAAAGAAATTATTATATAACCCTACAGCCATTAGAATCTGAGCAAGTGTGGATCTGCCTTTGGAAACCTGGATTCCCTGGCCAGATTCCCAGCTAGAGGGTAAGGAAAGAGAGGGAGGGGAGAGAGATGAGTGAACTCAGGGAAGGACTGGGGGACTTACCTGAGCTTTGATCCGATGACTAAGACAGAAAACGTCACTTTTATTCTCTCACAGATCTACAATCAGATCACCCAACATTTAATACTTATCTGACTCATTATTGAGGATTACTGGAGACCTCAGTGAAAACTTGACAACCTTTCTACCTGCCTTTGAAAACAGTTGAATGGGAGTGGCAGGGGTGTGTGCTCGTGGGTTAAAAGCTGGTGATTGATGCTGTCTGTGACAGCCTTTGTGCTGTGGCAGCAGAGGAAAAAAGAGGCGGATTAAAAAGTGGAATAGCATTCAAGGCTTCCATCATGTGTGCCACTTGTATTCTATTCAAAATGCACTTTGTTCCTTTCCATCTAAAGATCCAGAGTGAGAGAACAGACCATCTATTCTTTCTCCTGAGTGGAAGCTGGAGGCAACGATCTAAGCTGACTACATGTGGAGTGGTTTAATTATTATTATCATTAATGATATTATTCTGTAACTATTGTTACCCTTTTCACAAAGGTAATTTCTGCAATTCTAGAACATATATTACTGGGTTTTTTAATGGCATGAGCAGTATAACTATCCAGGGATGAGACAGTGAATTTAACACAATGCATACTATTTTATAAAATATGCATGGTGCAATTTCGAGAGCTCATAGTGTGAGAAAGAGGGAGAGAGCAAAGAGGTGAGCTTCAGAGCGTCAGAGGTCTTTGCAGGTAACAGCTGCGCCTGCAAATCCCGAGTAGTGTAGTGCTGAACAGACTAGATGATAAATCATTTGCTAATGGAAAAAAAACCTGTACATTTTAGTTTTTCTGCTGCCCACCATATTTGAGAAAAGTTCTGTTTGCATGTTGTACTTTTCGAATCCAAAATCAATCCATAAAGAATTAGCCAGGTGACTGGATCAAAAATGTTGATCATGCTCAGGGATCTGTCCAGTGATTAACAAGTCCAGGCATATAATATCTGGTGCAAGCATCACCCCCTGCTGTTTTTTTAAGACAATGAGCCACCTAAATTAACCCAAATTAAGACGTTACTGTCGCCAAGACTCACCAAAATCTCTGCTGATTTAAGAGAAGCTGTAGAACTAGGCGAAATATTTGGGCAGACCTCTTTCACTGAAAAGCAGTTTTTTAATTTAAAAACATGAATGTAATCCATTGTAAAGATAGAAAAAAAAAAAGATAATAGCAGCCTTATTTTACGACCCAAAGAATTGTTATATGTGAAGGTCGCTTTAGCGTTTCAGTCACCTTTTCCTTTCGTTCTTTTTTTCCCCCCAGCTTTTGTTTGCGCTCAATCTTTCACAGCGTGTCTTTGGTTTCTTTTGTGAAAACTTTTCATCCCCTCTGCCTTTTCTTTCACATCACTCCAGCTCTTTTTATGTGCTCACCTTTCCATTTTTCTCCCGCATGCATCTCTCTCGGCTGCATCACCAGGCGCTCTCTGTGTCTGTGGCTCAGTCCTGGCTGAATGTGTTCTAGCTCTTGTTGCTTTGACAGGCCCTGACAACAGCAGGTCAGCTTTTATCTGTCAGCCTTTCCACCTCTCAGCAGCACAGAGCAGAGGGGAACTGGCTGCTTTGTTTGTTCTTTCACCATCAGGAGACAGGCCCGCCACAAAGGGAAGCTCGGAAGTTTATAGGTGTCGAGCCATGAGCACTCTCTCACACACAAGCTCAAATACCTGCACACAGGCAGGTGTTTACAGTGCTGCAGGGCCCCAGGTGTGAGACAGATAATTGTTTATTAGTGGTTTAACAGTGGATGCAATAATAATAATAATAATAGTAATGATAATAATGATGATGATGATGATAATTAAACTCCCTTAACAACTTCCCCAAGACACACTTTCCATGCAGCATCAGCATTGACAGTTATAGCCTGTAGACCTGATCAGTTTTATTTTGTATAACCTTTAAAAAACACAAAAAAAGAAGTGACATTTATCAAAAATACATTCATGCTGAAACCTGCTATAAAAAGTGTCAACTATATGTTTTTATTTCCTGTGTTCTCTGTAGATCAGCTGCCACAAAAACACTAATAGCATTCATTGTCACTCAGACCGTACAGAATCACCAGAAAACAGTCTTTCTAAATGCCAGAGGGTGAACTTGCTCTGCATGTTTTATTTTCCTCTTTCTCTTGTTGCAGTGATATTCCTGCTCCTGTGGTGCTGTTTCAGACATGTTGGACATGTTGCCAGAAATGTAACAGATTGCTACTAAACAATGTTGGCACACTTCTTTTGTCTTTTCCTCTTGGCTTTGTCCACTGATGTATTTTACCTCGACCCAGTGCTCCCAAACAGGAGAACTCAATTACAGAGCAGGGATCTTGAAGCTCTTGCATCTCGGTTTTTGTGGCTAATCTCCTGCCATCTTCTAGTCCAAAAGGAAACAGGATTTGCTCAGTACGCATCTGTGCTGTACTGAAAGTGTTGTACCCAAGTGATAAGTCCATGTATCTTTACAGTACTACAACACACACAACAAAGCCATAACAGTAGTCGACAAAACTATGAGAGTAAAACAGGAGAGATAAACTGCTCAATCAATTGGCTGATTAATGGCCTGAAAATGCCTCTATTCCATACCCAATTATGGCATCTTTACTCTAAATCGGTCATGAGCTATCATTTCATATAAATTCTCCTGTTATTGGTCGGCCATGTTCTGAAATCTATAGCATAACCCAGTGTATTTATCTTTTTCGCTGATTCATTAAAAATCTATCCATGCTGAGACAACCATGGTCAGATGAGAATGTAATGTGCATGGAATAGTTGACTTACACATTTACACTTTTTTTTTGATTGATCCCTATAATTTACTTTTTATTTTTATTACTTTCATACTAAATTCAAATAGAGGGGAAGACATTTCAAAGCTCCTCATGGCAGTGTTTTACTGGCCAACATTTATTTTGGCTGTATCTATTCAATAAAATATTTTGTCAAGTTTAGCAATTTTGCTTTTCATGATGTAGTATTTTATTATTCTTATCATTAATGTAATTGTATTGTGCGGTTGATTAATAGTATTGTGTCGAAAGAAAGAAAGAAAGAAAGAAAGAAAAAGTATAATATCGGCATTATTAGTTGACCATCAGCCAACCTGCTTCTCAATATCAGTATTGGTATCAGCCTTTGAAAAACTGACATTGGTCGACCATTGGTAAAAATGCTCACATGAGAATAAAGACCATATCCATGATGTGAAACTGGTCAGTACAGCAGCACAAACGTTACACATAACCTTACAGTGAAGGATAGAGGGCTCACAGATTAACATGTCAAGTGCGTACTATCAAAGCACATGCTGTAAACTACAGTTATCCACACAGGTACTATACAGTAGAATTAAAATGATAGTTTTGTCAGAAATATTCACAGTTAACACTGTCTTGTGGCTGTTTTGAAGTAGGCAAAGTTGCAGGTGTATCATGTGAAATCTGTTCATGTTATTCCTCCTCATGCTGAAGACTTTTTTGTCGAGATTTAGCATCGCGTGCAGTTTCTTTGACGGGAGGCAGAACAGCCAGTCGTCTTTCGTCTGCATCATGTGACAGGATGCGCTGTCTGATGTGAATCAACTGTTGACACTTTCTGTCGAGGACCTTTTGCTAGATCATTGGTGGAAAACTCAACCCCACACACACACACACAAACACACACTCACATTTCCCAAAACAACATACACACATTCTTGCAGACAGTAAAAGGAGGTCAGCCCTCTGCAGCCTGTGGTTGCTGCTTTTATTTTGAGATGGCTGAGGATACAGAATGTCTCAGATATGGTTCAGATACACATCAACCTCCGCAGATCAACTTTTCTATTGACTTTTTCCGCTGCCCGTCTCCCTTATTTTTGCTCACAGATCTTATGATCTGTAAGCAAGTCAGCATAGAGAAGAGCTCAAGTTAAGGCATGTCAGTAACAGGGTGTAGCTGGGATAGTGTGTGTTTGTTCTGTTTGTACAGTATATTGTTGGATGTGTTTTTCTTGTCAAGTCTGAGTAAATTACATTCTCCTGGATTTTTAGGTCAAACTGACTTAATCTCAAAACACACACGGTTAAAGAAAACGGTGGGAATGGATAAAGTGTTAAGATGACAGAATGAAGAAAGGAGGGTGTTATAAAGCAGACTGGTTGGAAAAAAACTACAACACTACATCAACCTTTTTAAAAGGCTCTGTAGCTGTACCTGCTGAGTGAATAGGACAGGTCTCTTCCACAATTTAAAGCCCTTTTATTCATTAGTTATTACATTAGTATTTATTTATTTATATTGTCAGAGATGGCTTTGTGTGTGTGTGTGTGGAAAAAGAAGAAACCCACAATAAGCAAATCAGCTTGTGTAGCTCTGTGGCTGCCCTATCAGAGTGGTCAGTCAAGCATGTTTCTCAGGACTACAGCTACTTAATTACTAAACTGGTTGTAATCCATCATGTTCTTTCCAAATCACAGCTCCTATTAGAGGGATGCAACAGGACAGGAATAAATACTCCAATTTCTGTCTGACATAGCTCAAATTTCACAGATTGTGTTGTTGGACTCACACTTTAATTTACTTTCACTAAACCATGTTTCTTAAATTAGGCGCCCCATTCCACTCTAGCCCATTTCTCTCACTTACCCACTCACGCTCTCTCTTTTCTTCTTTCCTAATCTATCTCTTAACAGTGACACTATCACTGCTGTACCAGAGGCTGATGTTACAGCACACTGAAACTATACCAGTGTTTCGGTTCACAAAGTATCAGTTCTCATCTTCTGAACATGACTTCTCCAAGGGGACTTCCTCCACACTCTATGCGGACGTCAAAGCAGCATTTCAGCTTAATATAGTGAAACTGAAAGACCATATTCCCCAGTGCACGCTACAAATGGAGTTGCCTTGCTTGCAGAGCTTTTACAGGCTCTACATGTACCTGAATGTATCGCGCATGAGCATCTCTGGCCTTGTTCCCTTGCAGTTATCCTGCAATGAACCAGAGTTTTAGTTTAGTCCAAACCTTGAGTCCTGAGACCCCAACGTTCAAGTCTGAGTGGAGTCTGAGTCATGAGAGAGGTTGCAAGTCAAGTCTGAACCTAGTCATCACCTGAGGAACTATGACGGAGACCTGTGACTCATTCTAAAGCATTGAACTGTTCAGCTCATCATGGAATAAGATACAGTAACACAGGCAAAGAGCGTGGTTTGGACCTGCACAGAAGATAACCCTATATAAATAAAGATTAATTGGTTGATAGATGTGTATATTTAAAACTGCAGTGAGGGACTATCAGTTTGTGTTGATTTTGGCAACCCCCACTGAGAGAGATGTACATCTTATCACTGAGTTGATCTTGCCCTGTGCATGGGAAGGTCGTATTTTGTAGAAACAAGTCTAATCCCTTTTTTTTTCAGCTGTCAGATCTGTAACCTTGAATATATAGGGTAGCTATTTTCTTCAGTGTACTGTCAATTATCTGGCGTGTCCCCTTCCCCTTTGCAGTGGCTTCGGGCATCTGTAATGATCAGTCTTGTTGCTAATGGTCTTAATTACAGGTTTTCCCTGTCCGCTTCTTGATGCTCTGAGATTTTGAAAGCCATAAGACACACGGCTCCTCTTGAGGCATCCCCTCAGCTTGAACCATTGTTAAATAAGACGGCATGTGAACACAGACGCTGGTGGACGCACATGCTAGCCCTTGCTCTAAACTGCATACATTTCATGGCTCAACTGTGAGTGGTTTGTGCTTGGGCTCAAGTCTATCACAAGTCCTGAGCATTACAAAACTGCCATGCACTTTTGCTCAAACGTTCAAGTCAAGTCTCATTTAACTCATGGCATCTTCTGACATTTTATTGTTGAATGTCATTTTCATTGCAGACTAAATCTCTGAGATTGAATTGTGTGTAGTTCTAGCCTAGCTAAAATGACAGGACTGTTGCAAGAAGAATCGCAAGAACTGATTTTTTTTTTTTAGCTGCATGGAGGTCCCCTCGTGATGTAGCTATAGCACATCTGGGACAACTGCAGGTGTCCCTTTTTCCCTTTGTAGTCCAGTGGGTCAGTGGATTTCGACTTAGCTGTGGGAAAAAGGTTAAAGAAGGAGAAGTGAGAAACAGAATTAGCTGTAAGATCCGGTAATGATTCCTTAGAGAGAGGAACAGAAACAGGAGATTCCAATGTGGTGGCGCACTGACATTTGCATCCAGCAGTGGTAAGACAAAATGTCAGGATAGCACACTTCCCTTTTTGCAGTTGCATGGTTTCATAAACATATCATAAAGCTTTACAGTATCCTCTCTCACCCTACATTGGTCTTTCTTTGCTTGTCTCTCCATCCCTCTGATTCCGTTTCTCTCTGGCCTGTATTCAAGGATAGGCTAACCACTGTTCAAGTTTTCACAGCTTGAGCTATTTAACTCCAACCGACTAATCTTCTCTACACGCTTCATATTATTACATTGTCAAATTATTCACTCAGCTATTCTTCTCTATTACCGTCAAAATGAGAAGCTGCTCAAACTTTCACTAACACTAGTCTGAATCTGATGATATAAAGCAAGGTTCAGTGGAATATTAGAAGGCAGTGTTATTCACTCATCTAATAACACAGTTGCATTGTCAGTACATCAGTTTATACAGTCAGTAAGAAGTGCAGGTGGTCAGATAGTCAGCTTGTGACTGAGAAAGCAGTATCAGCCAGCAGCAGTAGTAATGTGTTATTAATGTGTTGTGTGGCCGCCACCTCGTCTGGCTTGAGGAAGCTATTTATGTGACCTTCTGCTTGGCTCATATTACCAGAGTGGTGAGCGGTAAGGTTAAAGAGAGCAAGAAAAGACAGACAAGAAGGCAGACAGAATACCAGCAAACAGGAATGCAGACTGGTAGCTGGTAGACAGAGGGCATAGTGTTGACTGGATAGAGCATTTGTCTGGTCTTGTTTGTGTATTTAGAGTGTGTAATTTAATTTAAACTTCTGCTGTCAAATACCCCTGTTGTTTCTTCTCAAATTAACCCTAACCCTTTGTTTATATGCACAGGGATGAGTGTGATTCTTGATCCTATATGAATGTTTTTGCTCTGGCAATAAGCCACCTAACAAGGGACATGCATGCATGCACTCTTACCCATGACTGGGTGAGGCTCCTAATCTTTTAGTTCCCACATGTGCGCACACGCATGCAAAAACACACATTAGACATCCACCAGAGTTCATTACAGTGTGAGCTATGCAATTGCACTCAGGAGCCTTCGGCTATATACTGTATGCCAGCATGGTGGCAGTCATTACATTCTATCAAATATGCTTAACAAGAAAAGTGAGGTGATTCTGAATACCTATTTGCCTCCTTTTTCTGTGCCAGCAGAATAAAACTTAAACAATTAAACTGAATCTCTTATCTTGCTAGTTGCAGAATAAATAAATCGTTAAACTAGATAATTTCCTTCTAGATAATTTAAAGAAATTCAGACCTTGATACTTCCATATCCACAGGGTCCTCACAGTGGGAGGTGACTATGTTTGTTGTGCTCTTACACTTTGATATATTCCATTTGGTTAAGTTTAGAGACCGTGAAAGACTCAGGGAAGAAGTCCTCTGTAATGGTGACTGTTTAACATCCCCAAATGAACAGGAATGTTTTGGCAAAACAGTCATGTGAAGGATACTGTGTTGTGATTTACATTCAACTAAATATATTTCCAATAAAGGTAAAGTGAAAGAAGGTGAACCAGACTTCTAAAGGGAATATTTAAGTTGATATTTCTGTCCTTATTCAGTTCTGCAAATGACACTTTCATACAAAAATTAAGCAATTGTAAAATCTTTTCAACAGTACTGCTGTTGTTTTTGTAGTATTTTGTCACAAACTAACTTAGAGAAGCTCTTACCAGGTCTGCTGCTGTTACCTGGACTGCAGGACTGGGTCTTACTCCAATTCTCCAAGTCAATTACAGTTAGGGTCTCCCCAGGGTGCTCTCACGTCTGCTCCTTAAAACTGTCAGTATCATCCAATTCTAATGGGGCACTCACACCAAGCTCTTATAAAATCATCTACTCGCTTAATTCGCTCGAATCTAGATGCATGAATGAATAGTATTTACTCATTTGTGCTAACTTTAATGGTAATCCCTGCCAATTCAACCGGCGGGATCAAGTGATAGACAAAGGGTTTTTAACAATTTACGAGGTAATCCGACCTCCACACTCACTTGCCTCCAGGCAAGCTCCGTTTTATTCCAGTTTCAGTAATTGAAAGAAAAACCCACACACCAACACGATCAGGTTGTCCTTCATTTTAGATACCAGTGAACAACCGTCCGTTTTCATATGTCACCCTGCAAACTTTGTGCTGATTGGTTATCACAACGCTCAAGTCGAGACATTATCAGCTCCCACCCGTTTCGCTCTGCCAGAGTAGTACAAATGTCGAATGGCATCTTTGCATTGACTTAACATGTATTTCATTCGCGCAAATGATTTTACTCGTGCTTGGTGTGTGAAGTAAAGCTCAGACTCAGACAGAGTGTATTAGTTTTGCCACAGTGTTAATAGGCAGGTGCTGGATATGTTGTGTGTAATCTGGCTTTTCTTTGTGTCTCTTTTGTTGTTGAAACAATATTATTTTAGGGACAGCAAAGATTCAAGTATCCAACACGGCCTGTTTTTTCCTGGTTTTGACCTGCTGGGTTCACTCAAACTTCTCATGGACATTTTACCAGAGAACAGGCAGGAAAAGTCAAGATGAGCAAATCGGGTTGTTGACACATACTCCAGCAGCCAACCCCGATAATGTGTGGAGTGCAGTCAATGCAGGTGTTTAAGGTTTTTGAAGACAATGTTTGTTTAGGCTTTTTTCTTCAAATTGATAGGATAGTAGGAAACAAGGAGAGAGAGTTTGGAATGGCATGCACCATACAGAAACTGGAGTCAAACTTGTGACTAGTGCAGCAAGGACTTAAGCCTCTCCACATGGGGCTTCTGCTTTACCAACCAAGCTGAACTGGCGCCTTGTAAGAGGGTCTCACTATTACTCATGTGGACATACCATTAATCTGATTCAGCCCTCGGATTAAAACTCCATATTCTGTTGTTTATTTTTATCATTCTCATTCCAGCAGCTGTTTGTGGTTTTTGGTGATAAGTACAGTATGGGAACTGGCTCACTCTCATGTTTTACTCTGATCCTATATATTAGCTGTACTCATTAAACAAGATGTGAAAGCATGGTGGCATGATACATAAAATGAGATTTGAAGCAACTTAATGACTATTGCTGTGCTATTTATGTGATTCATCAAAAGAGACTAATCAAAGGTGCTATTAGAGCACATGAAAGGTGCCAAGAAGTGATTTGAATGATCTTTTTCTAAGAGATACCCCCTGTGTTCAGGCTGATTAGAGTCTTGATTATTGGCCTGTTTGTGTGTTTGACAAGCAAGATCAATCAAGCAGTATGTGCAGTTCATGCCAGGTGACACACCACTTTATTTTGAAGTCAAATATATGATTGTGTTATTGATTTAGTCGACATGGGCTCAACTCAGACTTCTGGAAATGGTTGTTTGAAGCAGTTCTCACTTTTGTTCTCTGAAATTCTTGGTCGACTAAAACCCTGAAATTTTCTATGAAAAATCAACTAATGGGGGTGTGGGGGAGTTCCGATCCTGACAGCAAACCCTTCTGCGGTGGGAGACGACGCGGCTCAGTTGGGTGAAAATATACTGATATCAGCAGAAGAAGGCAATAAACCCAAATATTATATTCAGCAAACCACTGGACGTTGATCAACGTGGACGCTCTTCAATCTTCCTGTCTCCAGCCGGCCTCCAATGGGTTGGGCAAATCCAAACTGGTGAAAACAAGGGGGGTGTTTTGAGACAGGCTGTTTTCTGTGAAACAGGGGTGCTCTGAAAACTCCCCCATGAGCACTTGGTACGTTCCTCCTGATGAAATTATCCATAGACTGCAGATTGACATGGAAAAAAATCAAGTCGACCAATCAGAATTTTGGTCGACTCAGCATTTATCAGTCAACCAGTGACTAGGACTTCACAGCCCTAATAGTTATCATAATTATATTGGATATACAAGCTGTTGACAGGTGAAAAGAGCCAAAATGATTACTACAGGGAATTTTGTGACACATTTTTATGAAAACACCAAAACCAAGATTTAAAAAAACTGAAAGAAACAAGCTCCCACTGCAAAGAAGACAAACTCCTCCTGTTTTGTTCGCAGACTCCCAGACAAATCACCGAGACACTTTGGCTTTGGCACATTCTTAATTTCCTGTTGCCCCCCCTCCGCTCTCTGCGTTTCCCACCGTCTCTGAAAGCCTCTGACCGTCCCTCCCTCTCTCCCATGCTTCCTCACACAATGTGCACAACCTTATTCTGCCTTCCCACATTGCTGTTTAATAGGAGGCTTCCTCCCTGGTGAACAGTGATAAGCTAATGGTCAGGGAATTGCTCACCATTTAGCGGTCGCATACGTCAAAAGAGAGGGGAGAGAGGAGTGATGGAGAGCTCTCGTGGGGTTAAAGGGAACAGTTACTTCCCCTCTAATATTGCCCTCAGGCTTGGATTAATGTTTGAATGTGTAGGTGGGTGGGTGGTTTTAAAAATGTGTGTAATCTTAGCAGATTATTGGCTTACTACCTCCGCTCTGATTGGCCTCACAGAAGGAGGCTGATTAATGCAGAACACCTACTCCAACAATTTGAATACATTTGAATAGATCCTTTAATTTTGAGCAGATCTTATTCGTGAGTGGTTTTGATACACTCTCTGCACCAACTGCGTAGTCAGCTCAAACCCTGTAATTCAACTTCTCTCGTAGGACGTGTAGGGACTTATTATTATCATAATAGTAATGATTATTATTATTATTAACGTGTTTTTCTGGTTTGTCATGCATTCCCTGAAGTTTTTCAGACAAAAAGCACAATTTAGAAAGAATTGAGACAGGAAATTTCAAGTAGAAGGCTTGAAATTGGTAAATGCAGGGGCAAATCTCTAATGTAGCGAGAGTGGTTATGTGAAACATGCTTTTAAGTAGCTACGTGTAGAAAATGTATTGTAGACACAGAAAATTGGACGTCTCAAGTGATGGCATTAGCTGGCCTCTCTGTTGTGGCCCTTTAGATGAAGCCTCCCACCAGCACAGCTCTGCTCCAGATTGAGCTGTCCTCCTCTGCTGATTACTCTAGTATCCTCTGGCTACCAGGCTGAAAAAGTGTGTGTGTATGTGTGTGTGTGTGTGTGTGTGTGTGTGTGTGTGAGTAAAAAAAGAGGAAGAGAGTTGAAGTGTAAAAGCAAGAGAGCCAAGTCTGGTTGTTAAGGATATATTTCCTTTGCACTTTGATCGAGAGTGGCTTGCTGCAGCACTCACCCAAACAGGCACACAGACTCACACAAACACACACATACACAAACACACACATACCCACACATAAGCTTCCTCCAGTTTACCGAGTCAAATGGAAGAGTGTCCTCTGTTAAGCTCACTGTTAGCTTACCCAAGTGGAAACGTGTTGCTGCGTTACAGGTGACCTTTCCTGCAGTGTGAGTGTGTGTGTGTGTGTGTGTGTGTGTACAAACTGCATACATGTATGTGTGTGTTGTGTTCACGATGCAGATGTTTGGAGTGCATACTGACCCTGTGAAGAGGCTGTTTCTGCCTGGCTGCATCTGGAAGTCTCACACCTCCTATCCTACGATCCATGTGTGCGTCTAAGTGTGGATTCTTGTCTTGTGCACAGATGTCCTTCAAAAGCAGTGAAGGAAATGGCCACTAAAACCAGTCCAGGCATTTAAATGACCATCCCAGAGGATGACAGATTATATCTGACCCATGATAGCATTGTCTGTCCGCCTTCCTTAAGCTTCTCCCTCTTCCTTTTTCTTCCTTTCATACTCTTATCTATACCTCCTCATTCAGTTTATTATTCCCACTTCACAGAAATTGAACTCAAGTGGGTTCAGTTTCTCTCTCTTGCTGCGTGAGTGTGACTCACTCCACGACCAGTGAGAAGGTGCTGAGAGATGCTCAAAGTCACCCTCTCCCCTGATCTTTGCAGCCTTTCCCTCCGTTCTCCCCCTCCAAGAGGAAAATTGCCTTTAATTGCTCCACTTTAAAGTTGGCCTGGATGAGACACTTGAAGGACAGTTGCAGAACATTTCTCGACTCATAATCAGTGAAGTGCATCGCAACTAGTCGCACTCAGGTTGACTGTAAGATAAATCTGAGACGCGCATTATGAGGGGGTGGTTCACAGTGATTACTGTAGGTACAACTACAGTAAATGAAGGTGAGAAGCCTGCTTGTAATCATTGAGCCAGTGCACACAGGAATCGGTAGCTTGAACAATGAAGAGTTTGCCAAGATCGATGTTATTGACGCAGGCACTGTGCCTATGGACTGGCCGTCAGCTGAAAGTCTACCAGGTGCATGCTAATGAAAGCCCGAGGGATGTGAAATCATTAATTGTGCACTTACGTGTGTTGACCGCATGGATTTGCCTTTGTGCAGACCACGTTGGGTTCGGAGATATGATTATGACACTGACATAGTATAGTTATGCTAGAGTGTATCATCTCTAATGCTTTGGCCTGAGGTGTAGACCTATTAATGGAATTATTGTAAGACTTAGTTATAGATTTGTTATTTGACTTCTGCTTATTAAAAAAGGCTAGAACAGGGGCTATGGTACTTCATATGACAAAGCATCACAGTTAGAAGATATAGAAGCCAATAAAGATCCAATCCTTTTTTTTAAAGTTATGCAGTAAAATCTGGATGCCTTTCAAAGACTATTTGGCAGCAAATGTAAAACTCGAACTAAAAAAGCCAAAATAATGATCCACGTATATAAACCAAGTCCAAGCATCAGGTATATTTGAAAATAAAGGAAAGAAAATTCAAGCGGCATCGAGCAATGTGGAGGGATATAAAAACACATTTGGCTTCAAAAATGAGATTTGGGGCTAAGAAGAAACGTAGCTGGCATTGAAAGAAGCTCTGGCCCTGAAAACAGTAACTCTTAAAAGAATAACAGAGGGATTCAAAACAATTTTGTTTTATTTTTTGTGAGTTTTTCTCTTTTTCTTTTTGTAAGTTTCTGTCAATCTCCTCTTCTCCTTTGTTCAAACTTTGTAGGGGAAAAAATCTCCGATAGTTTTCCAAACTTTACTTTGGAGATAAGTGAGACCAGACCAATAATGAAAAATAAGTCAACTTTTAAAAAAATCAAAATAAGCCAATAAAATATAAATGTGAAAAAATGACAATGTGGCTGCTAATATAACATTGAGAGTATCCATTCAATGAGAATAGAGAACATACAAGAGTAAGGAGCTGTGCGATGGAGAGGGACCCTCAAGCAAAGACGAGGGAAAAAAAAGGAAAAGAAATGTATTGTGAGATGTCAGTCGAGGGCCTGTAGTTGCTAAGGTAAAGTCTAAGATTCAGTGACTTATTGTACGTCTTTAATGGAAGTAACTGCTTACAGAAAAAGAAACAATTACAGACTACTTTCTGTCTCTGAACACCTTGTGTAACAAGTGGCACTTAAATCACAGCAGAAATATCAGCTTCTTTGTTATAGACTCAGGGCCAACCACTGAAAAACAATGTTTTTTTATTAACACTGTTTTTGACAGTAACTACTGTTAATGCCTGAAAACACATTTGCAAGGTACAGCTTTACTCATTTTTTTTTTTAATCTGAGTGTTTGAAGTCGGAAATAATTCCTCCACAGTAGAAAAACAGTGGGTGAGAACATCAACCTTACAAACTTCATGACATTTGATCAAAATCTTAAAAAGAGCTTTCTGTTTGAGGGAAAAGTATTATACACCCACATAAACAAGAACACACACCACAAAAAGAAGTGACCTTGGGGCACTGACTCACAAAGTGTTGCTATTCTATCTGCATATTTCCCACATCCCTTTAAACGTTTGTATGTTTTTGTCTCTGTACGTGCATCAGAAGGTTAAGTTTACACTCCTTTTCAGAAAAGAAAGGTGTAATCAATTTCTTAGATTTTTGACAGAGCAATCTCAACCCTTTTTTTTTCATCCCTTCACCTGAAATGACACATTTTTCTTTTGTGTCTTTTGATCATTGTGTTGATGTGTGTTTCGCCTTGAGTTTAGGCCATGTTTGTGAGTATATGTGTGTGTGTGTTGGTTGGGGTTTGTGTCTTAAAGTTGTAGCAATGGGAGGGATAAAAACTTCAAAAGTAAAAATTTTCAGAGTGAGCCAAAGTATTGCATCATACATGATCTGCTCTCTTCACCTGCAGACAAACATCACCCACATAAATTTAGTTTGCCCCAGGCTGGGCTGCGCTGATGTGGATGACGTTATGTCCATCTTAAACAATTTGCTCTGATTTCAGCTGCGGCCTGACTGCACTTTAAACACACTTTGACAGCCCCTGTTTAAATCCTCTCATATGGTTTCGAGTTGTGTGTATGTGTGTGTGTTTACTCTTACAAAAACAGCAAGCATCCAGATCTTTTCTACTTCCCTGCTTCCCAGACTTTGAGTGTGTGTGTCTACGTACATGATTGCAAATGCATGCACAGGCATGCGTGTCAGAAGAGCTCATTAAAACTGTATGGGAGCTGATGTCGTACTCCTGCTCCACTGCTCCCATTTCCACAGAGCTCCCCACATGTTGCCAGGTAATCAGGCGGGCGCCTACATGCGGCTCTGCGCCCGCCACTGCCAACAAGCTGAGGTTCAAGGTTATAAACACAGTCTCTGCAGCTAATTTCTAATGTCATATTCATGTTTCCTGTTGAGAAGCGATTTAAGAACTGCTATCCACAGTTTAGTAAAGAGCTGACTGAACCTTTGAAGTTCTGAGTTTGATTTCTTTTGCTCACCTCTTCTCCTCTTTTCACCCCTTCCCTCGCTCTCTTCCTGTCCCCACCTGTCCTCCTCACAGGGGAGCACCTGCGCATCTGTCCCCAGGGTTACACCTGCTGCACCAGTGACATGGAGGACAACCTGACCACACTGAGCCGCAGGGAGATGGAGGGACTACTCAAAGAGGCGGGTCGCTCCTTACAGACCTCGCTCACAGGACAGTACAAGATCTTTGACGGTAAGAGATTGAGCAAATGAAAAGTAAGACTAAGCGTGTGCATGTTCCTGTGTAATGTAGTGAGCTTTGATAGCATATAGTCGCGCTAAACGTGTCTTTATATTTTAAAGTCTTCATTCAGGTCATATTGGACCTACACACTGATGCGGACATACACACCCACACAGACTGACAATAGTGTAATAGGAAAGTTAAAGACCTTTCATTATGCTGTCTGCAGATTGATGTAAGGCATTGATTTATTGTCATGCCTCAACAGAGGAGGCTGGCAATGCCTCTCAGTGGTGTTGACAGAATGCAGAGCTGTTTTATTCTTTCAGTTATTGGAGAATCACGTCTGCATGATCTGATCTGAGGAAAATTTGACACAAAGAATAACCAAGTTTGGTGGTGTCCCCATGCTACCGGGGGACACTATGCTTGCCTGGGTTTGAGTCGGTTTTCAAACAGGGAATATATTCAAGTATTTTGAAGTTAGCGTATATGATACTGGTAAGTAGGGCTGGGCGATAAACTGAAAATTTACAGATACTGAAATTTACGACAATAACCAACATCATTTTGCCCATATCGGTATATTTGGTGTCAAAAAAAATAAATGAATAAAAGTTGTTTTTGGATGTGTGTTGGTGGGCTGTGGTCTCATGTCCCTTTAAGATGCTGTTCTACGTCAGAGACATGACTCCACCCCATCCAGTCCATAACAAAGAGGGAAAGACAGATGAGGAGATGGAGGACGGTTCGAAAGTTGGAGCGGCTGGAGCGGTGGCTGAAGTAGACAAAGTTAATGTGGGAGTGGATGAGCAGCTCGTAGAGTAGTTATCTTCCGTTTATCATTACCGAACCCAGCCCTACTGGTAAATCTTTAGAGCAATATTTAAAGATCCTGTTGCCTTCATAATTTAACAGAGGATTTGGTATTTGTATGTCTTTAGCTACAAGGCCGTTGGACCGTTTTTAAATTTTGGAGTGCAAAAACGTTGTCAAAGTTAGGGCTCCACTGAAGTTAAACCAAGACTCTAACTCTTCCTAAATGTGTGTATATTTATGTTAACACTGTTCAATGTAAATTGAAAATCATAAAGGAGTATTTCAGCCTCAAACGGCCTTAGCAATCATATTCACAGTATGAATTTTAGACAGTGTATAATTATTTGTTTCATTTTGCTAAGCGTTGGCATGTGTGTCACCGTTGCCTGGCAGCTTTTATTTATTTTTATTTTTTTTTTTTTTCATGAGCTTTTACAAACCTGAAAACTGTCCTTATCTTAACAGCAAATCCATTGGGTTACAAATAATAGCACTGAAAAGGGTAAAATATCAGAACGACATGTCATCAAGAAGGAGGATGAGTGTGACAGAGGTTTCAGCTGTGCAGTGGAGCCGTGCTCTGACTGAGTCTGACAGTCTGACAGAGAAGCCAGGACCTAATGGGCCCTATCATACACCCGGTGCAAAGCATTTCAGGGTGAAGTATAAGTGTCATGGTTATTTTCCGCTGCCAGCCGCCAGTTTAATGCCCAGCACCCACATGTAAGCAGCAATGAGCTTGTGCCCACATTGGCACCTGTGGGTGTGTTGGTCCTAAAATGAGGTGCCAAAATCTCCAGACTGAGACTGTTGCCAAGCTCTGCGTCATGCCTTCTATCAAACGACACACACATCGACGAGCCCACACACAACTACAGAGGCAGTTCTTACAATCATTATCTGCTAACTTTGAACACTAAGTATACTTTACACAAAACAAAGTACAGTCGTGTGATCTAGCTATAAAAATAGATAGACTAACAGCCTAGCATCCTTTAATGTAAATCCCATTAAAGGTTGTCCAATACTGTCAGCATGTCCCAGTTTTAAACTAATTAATGAAGTTACACTTTGTCCTGTGCAGTCTAGATTGTAACTTTATAGTGTTCTTCTCAAATAAACTTGTTAATGATGCAAAAATAATGGTGTTAGATTTAGGACACGGGCAGGGGCAGCAGATGGAGAGAAGAAGAAACTGTAAGATAAACAAAAATAAGCACACCTGTGACAAATTCGCATGGTTGTGTGCGGATAAATATGTATATGTGCTCACTGTGAGGACATAAGTATCCAAAATTATCAGTGCAAGTGATGTGCAGTGTTTGACCCAACCTGATAGTGACAGCAATACTTTCACTTTCACTCTTACATTATATTTTAAGTTTTTTTTTGCTTATTAAAATCAAGATAGATTCTCAAATCAGTTCGTTTTCCTGCAGATTTGCACATTTTCATTCCATTTCCCTGCGATGATCCGATTGATCATGCTGTGATTTATGCTATAACGAGATTCACTATACAATGACATGCATATTTTAATGTTATTTTATCCGAAGAACAAAGATGGAATAAATTAGTTTTTAATTTGACCCAGAAAATGGTAGAATATCATTTGATTCCGATGTGCGTTACTACAGTAGTGCAACAGCCATCCTAGTAAAACAATTTCAATTCTTGGAGTGTAGTAGAGAAGAGTCAAAATAGTTCAAAACAGTATGCAACATAAAATCCAGACCTAATTACATTGTCCTGAGTGAGAGAGAAGAAATCAGAGAGGCAGCGAGAAAGAAGAAAGAAGGGTGTTCAATCTTAGAACAATGGAGCACCGAGGCAATTATTTGTGTCTAATGACCTGCTCCAGTTAATAGAAGGGTGTCTCTGTGCTCCACTCGTTCCCCTTGGCCAGTTGGTGACAATGTATCTGTCAGCTGGGGCTCTGAGCTTGGCTAGTTAGGCTGACCTTTTCAGATCACAGTGATTAGTAGCAGAGTGGCATTTCTTTACTCTCCTGTGATCCCTCTGTGTACTTCTGCCTCTCAGCCCCTCCTCTTCACTCAGGGGGCTGTTTCGGTGCCAAAGGGGTGTCACCCAGTCAAGCGCACAGAAACACAGAAACACACACATTAACACATTAAAACAGACTCTCACAAAAACCGTCCTGGAAATTCAAATTCTCTTCAAGTGAGTCGTTCTCATCCCGTTAAACTCCTAAATTCTTGAAATCTTAAAAGGCCTGCTTAATGATCACCGTTTTAAAACACAGACTACAGACACACACTCAAACAGCACTTAGCTGCGACCTCTAAACACTTTAAAAACTGGTAGATAAATACAAAAAGAGACACGCCATGAGCAAGATAGCTCGTGTTGCCTAACAATGAAGTCATCTGGCTCTCGGTTTTGTTGTTGTATGCCTGCCAGATGTGTTACAACAACAGATTTCTAATAGCTGCTGTTTTGAAACAGAAATTACCAGAGTGTTCTTTTTTGTTGATTTCATATCAGGCCACAACTGTTTATCCTCTCCCCTCCTCTCCTCTCTTCTCCTCTCCTCTCCTCTCCTCTCCTCTGTTTTACATTTTTTTCCTCCCCCCTGTTCTGATGTCCCTGTATCTCACCCCAATGAGCATCAGATGGGGAGAGCCGGAGCTGATGGAGGGAGGAGAGATGTATATGTGTGTTGGGACCTTGAGGTCTAAAAACCATCTGTTGTTGACTGTGTCCTCCGAAGGCAAGAGCTGAGCGATAGACTGGGGTTAATTGGACCAAAATACTTCACGTTTGCGGCCACATGATCAGTGAAAATTTGGCAGGATGCAGCGATTCTTGCTAAAGACATCCTGTTGTTAAACTTTTGCTGTTGAAAAGTGCAAAGTAAGATGAATTACCCCTGTTACAAGCTTGAATAGATTCCCCCTTTGCCACTTTAGCAGACGATTGATAGCACAATGATTGTATTTTTAAAGGGTTTTTGACTCATAAATATTATTACGAGGAGCATAATCCTAACCAATCAGGTTCATCTATGCAGTGACATTGTACCCGGCTGCCAGTCCCTACACATCTGGCTGTGTTTAGCAGGGTGTGGGCTAGCTAGCGCCATGTGGCTAAGTGTAGGGTGTTACTGTTCCAGCCCAGGCAGGCTCGGCCTTTTTAGGTCCAGAGACTTTGGAAGAAACTCCAACCGAGCAAGCCACAGATTAGAGGACCAGCATACTCTGATACAGCTGGCTGTGAGCCTGCGAGTGTGTGTACTGTATAAATGCGAGCAGTCGGATATGTGTGTATACGCATGTGTCTGTAAGTTTGTTATTATGTGTTTGTCACTGTGTGGGTGAGTGAGATGGTTGTTGTACACAGTGTGTGTGTGTGTTTGTGGTTTGCACTTAGTTCTCTCAGTCCCTTCACTGTCAGTCATACTAGTACATAGTAAATAATGTCCTACATTAAACAAAGATGAAGTTTATTATAGAGGGGAGGGCAAAGATGACAAAGAAGAAAGAAGACAAGGAAGATGGTAAGAGGTAAACAGGTGGAAGAGGAGAGGGGTTGCCAGAATGAGAAAGGAGAAAGGAGAAAGGAGGTGGTGTTACATTGAAGTAAGAAGAAAAAGGTCAGAAAGGACACAGAGAGTGATGGCACCGAAGGGAGCAGCGTGTTAGATGGCAACCAGGTGTGTTAGACAGACGGAAGCCTTAAACCTGGCAGGTGGTGTTTGGCCTAATGGTGCCATCGCTGGCATCTGGATTCACTCTTTAGGTGTGTAAGTGCATGTCTTTGTAAGTGTGTGTTTGCTATAACTGCTGCCTCAAGTATTATAACGCAAAAAGAGGCTCTTTAATATGTGCTGAGTTGGATTGATCACTTAAATATGCAAAAAGATAGTAAGAAAAAACACAAAGAAGAATCTCTAACATTGTGTTTGAGAGTTTTTAAAGTCCCACTCTAATCGTTCTTTTTTTTTATTACTTAAACTGTTATCAGTGGTCTATAAATTGGGATTATTACATTTTTAGCCAAAATCACGTTATCTGTGTCATTTTTAAGGGCTTTTCCTTTTTCAAACCTCCAGTAGATCATAAGCAGTTCGCCTCTGAGTCCTGGGCAGAGATGGTGCTGCTCTGCACACTTCTCTTCGTGTTAGCTTGCAGCCTAACATTGCCGGTGTAATAGAAGTAGCAGGTAACATAGAAGCTATTCAGCTCTCGGACACTAATGTCTTTAGAGGCATGATGAAAACTAATATCATAATTAGCTTTCTTACAAGCATTGCAATCCGCTAGCGCAGACGTTTGTTCTGGGATTGTTCTCTCTATTTCTCCGAGCCTAGTTCTGGGGGCGGAGCTTGGATTTTCAAGGTAGGAAATCTCACTGTATCTGAACCTGCTGTTTGGGTCTGCTGGAGATTTACAGCGATTTGAATGCAGAGATACTCAGAGATGCAATTTCGCACTTACTTTTCTCATGATATGTCCTGTAGTGTCAGAAAAATGCCATATGAACATGTAGACAAGAAAAACACGATTTTCATTGGAGTGGGTCTTTAAAAATGACTCCACTGTAAAAAGATTCTGTATTCAAATCCTGACTTCTTACTAATGTTGTCCTTTAACCCCAAACTGTGTCTGGCCTGTGACTCAGCCCTGTAATAATGAAAGGCAATCTTAGACATATTTAAACATTGCCTAATCGGATTGTTTTTAACAGCAGCTAGCAGCATGAGTTCTGAAGAGCCGAAACAGAAAGTCAGAACATTTTGAAAAGTCCTTTTTTTCATGCTTTGGATTTGCATGTTCTTTGTCTTACTTGACAACACGCTGAAATTTTAAGGGTTTCCGCTGTTCCCCTAAAACACAGGACACTGCGAGACTGAGGGAACGTTTAAAAGATCAAATAATTTATTATGTTCATTACAGAGTCTGTTTTATGTAGATACGCAGCGTTCAGGTCAAATAAAGCGATCTCATTCTGATCTGAATCATCAACACACAAGTTTAAACACACATTCAAGTGCTGGCACAAATATTTATAAGCAGCCAGACTGTTATTGGATGATGTTTCAGCCGGTTTTAGTTCAAGGCAGATCAGCGGTCATAGAGCTTAATCAGATTTGAAGAGTACTGGCTGGTCCGCCGGCATATTGGTACACTCCTTTTAAGATGACCAGGCAGCACTTGCTTATTTATTCATTTAAGTCGAGCTCTGAATATCTCCCAGCTGGCCTGTTAAGCAACACCGTCTCCTCCCATGGAGCTAAAACTGAGGCTGAGTGATCCAAAGGAATGAAATCAAGCACATTCACATGTACCCTATCCGATTTGGTAAACAAGGGTTTAAACTTGGATGACAGGACAAGTCTGCAGGACCATTAGTGTTTGAAGCAGTCTGCACTTGTAATAGAAATGTAATGTTTTTGATGACAGCTCTGTTAACTATGAGGAGTGTTCACAGTTATTGCTTATATGATTGCTTTTACAGTCAGACTTTAGACTTATACAGAAAGTGCTGCCTTTGTAATGCTGGCAGTTCAAAACCACAAGTGCATGTTTCCTATTCTGCTTTTAAACTGTCAGAACTAGACGTGTTGCTATATTTTATCCTAGTTCTGGGATATGCAGTAAATGTATATCATGTGACTCCATATGGTGAATATTCTTGACACTTCTCTGCAGACTGCTCTGTCACGCATGTTTGTTTCTCCTCAAATAACACAAATGAGACTTCCTTCTCTTAATTGATAGTCAGAGAGTAATAGGAAATATTTGCCACAGCACACTTCTTTTTTTTGGTAAATAGTGTAGCAGCTTGCTGGAAGCTCTGATTCTGGGAAAATGCAGCACTGTTATGCCAAAGAGAGCACTTTCCGTAATTTGCAAGTGTGGAGCATGATTCTCTGGGTTGGAGCGAGGAGAAATCGGAGCATATGAATATATTTTTGTCGTGTGGTTGACTTGCTTTACATTCAACTGTGCATTTTTATGACACAATGAGGATAACATTACCACAAACTACGGCCTTAAAATTGATCTTAAATTCAATGAAAGCCACAGCTAAAAGCATATTTTTGATTCATTTTACTCACTGTAATGTGATTGTTTTCTATCCAGATTTTATCAATCAGACTTTATTTTTAAAGCCCTTTTTTATATAGTTATAATGCAACACTAAGCGCTGTACATTAAAAGAAAGAAATTAATATGAAGAGACCTCCACACTGAGAGAGATAGGGTTTTGTTTTTACATCAACTGAGTATATCACAGCTAAAAGGAAATTCAGGATCGCTCGTGATCGCTCATTTTGGTACCAAACTGTTAAGTCACAACAGCTAACATAAATAAATGAATGAAACCTTTACTGCACTAGAGGATAGAAACACATAAATGACAAATACCTCAAAGGCTGTACAAGACAACACATAATAAATATGAAATAAATGTATCTGTAAAAGTACATAATTAAAGCATTGCATGGTAACCTGTGAGTAATAGCAGGTACAAAGTTGAAAAAAGTACATAGCGCAAAGTTCAAAACAATAGCGCCAATTTACTAACTTATACCATAGACTGTTTATACTATGGACATCTTGGTTCCACCTTCCGCCAGTATGTGGATTTGAAGCCGAAAAGCTCTCGGTATTTCAGTGATTTTTCTCCGCTTCCTGAAACCAACATTGCGCAGTAGTGTTGTACGCACTCCACCACTTGCACAATAGCATTGTGCGCATTTGGCGAAAGAGTCGCCGAAAGCTGCTGTGATGACACTCGGTTCAAACAGCGTATCCCCGGGAGAGCTACGCAATCTTCGTACGCCCATAGGCTGTATCGAGTGTCAATCATGGAAAACACAACCCCCCCAAATAACTTTTAAAAACAGACAGTCTATGGCTTATACTAGCTACCAATGGATACATTGCAACAGCTAGCATTAGCATTTACCCATTCCTAGCCATTTAACCTGACAACTGCCACACTGTTCATAGGCTAATGATGGTATTACGAGGAATCTATAGATATACTAGGATATGTCACACCAAGTAACACATTCTTACCTTGGGTATAAATCACTGTGTGAATAATCTGAGGTCAAGGCCGGTTTCTCTTTTGCCCAATTTGACCAAGTGTGATTCTTTTAATTTCAGCCATTTTACCTCAATAAGGCATCATATTTGATTCACACTCCCACCTCTTGCCGCCCACCTTCTTAATTTCCTGCTTTCAGGGTCACCTCTGATGATGTCACAAGAGACAAGGACATCTGCTCCCATTGTGGAGCTTGATTGGCTCACTTTATCTGCATGCAAATCACGTCGGTGGGGACCAGGAGTGGCCTAATTATGCCAAACACACTACTCAATTGGAAGGATGGGGACTTGGAAGGATTAAATGAATGAAAGAAAAAAAGGAAGAATAAGAGAGAAGGAAAAAGGAATGCAAAGTTCGAAAGGACGGTAATGGGGAAAGAAGTGGAAAGTAAGATGAGATAGAGGGAAAAAGGACAAAATGATAGTGAGGGTAAGGAATGGTATGTCGTTTAGGGGGAACCAAGCAAAGGGAAGAGCTGAAAATGCTGAAAAAGGGAACCAGATGGACAGAAAAAGAAACAGGCATGGGTAAATTGTGCGTAATACTTGCCAGGGAAAGTCACAAGAGAGAAAACGAGACAGAAGAGGAAAGACTACCGCAGAGAGCTGCTTGATAAATGACATGCATTATGTGATGTGTCGGCTTGTTTAATATAAGCCTCCTTTTAATAGCATCTAAATGCTGGCTAAGGGGCTTTCAGTGCTTCTGGGGCACAGTATGTGTGAGATAAGTGTTGTTATTGATGGAAACTCAGCCTGACATATAAACAGTCTAATGGCTCCCAGATCATCACTTGTGAATTCAGCGTGCCCAGGACAACAGTGTTTGTTTATGCCTGTTGTGTTTATGTGTTCATTGTCCATGCACAGGTGGGGAAATAACAAAGAGGAAGGCAGAGGATGCTGGGTAACTGTGGATGGAGGGTGGTTATGGTTGAGAAAGTAGGGATCAAGAACCATCTGGTTCTTGCTGAAGAGGCTGTGAGTGGGAAACAAAGTATGGGCGAGCATTCCTGTGCATCAAATGTTGGTTTTGGGTTTTCTCTGCCTTTCCTTTCTACTAAAGATCCCAAAGTTTACCTAAAAGACGGGAGGGCTTGTTTCTGATCTTTAATAGGGCATCTCAGTGCTTTCTTTAAATTATTTAGATAAACCAATTAGGACAGTGGTAAGGCTCTGGGCTATGGTAATGTGTGTTGATTTGTATTTCTCACATCATGCTTTAAGTGAAAGTCTTTGGAGTGTATTTACTGTTTGCCAAACAGCTTTTTTTTCTTTTTCTTTTTCCTTTTTTTTTTTTTTAACCACAAATTTTATGCATGACCAAATGTCTCTTGAATTTTTTTGCACTTTTTACTGAATGTTGGCAGATTCATGAAATCTAGATATGATGGCATTGAGCTCACAGGTGGTGTGACAGAGATACACAGCCTTAAATCAGTGACTCTGAGTCACATGAGTGGTTACAAACCTCTTTAAAAAGCAGTGGAGAAGTTGTAAATACTCTCCAGAGTCTAATGCAGCCATCAGGTCGTCATCATGAATATAAACTGTGATTCTGACCAGAGTAAAGCACTTAAACTGTTGGTACTGTCTGCATGCTTGTGCGTCAAATTTCAGCACACCAATGCCACCTGATATTCTCCTCCTCTCCTTTTGGCATATGCAGCATCTTTTGCTCCCTGTCTCTCTGCCTTTCTCCTTCCTGCCAAAGAACCAACCCACTAATACGATCATTGAGCACTTGTCAAATGAACAAATAGAATTAAGGCTGTCAGATATGAAAGAGATATACAATTGCTGCTTTTGCAGCCCTGTTTTTCCCTCTCCCACTCTCTTTTATTCTCTCCACGATTTTCCTTTTCTGTTCAATCCTCTCTTGTCTGGTGCTCTGCCAAAACTCAGTTTATCTGACAAGTTACTCATTTAGTGTTACATTAACGGCCTTTAACTGAGGTTACATTATGCTTAAGCAGACATGCTTACAACAGTGCATGAAAATCTTTTTAGTTCTCTCTACCGTTTCTCTGCGTGGGTTGCTTTTCCTGTCAGAAAAAAAACAACAAAAAAAACTTTGTAATTCAAAAATTAAGCCTTGCCAGGAGTTGGATTGTATATTTGACTTATTTTGCAGTCCTTCTGCGTGGTCCCGGGTGCTTCGGATAATTTCCTGCACATGTGAGACAACGTCAACTGCCAAATGGAGGAAACAAACTCAAAAATGAGTTTTCACAGGAGGCCTGAAAGTTTGGTGAGAACAGACAAGTTGTAATAAAGAACCAGCGAATTCTTGCCTGAGCGTGATTACTTCATCATCACTTGGTTTTAGACCAGACTGTTCAATCAGGCTGTGTGAGCTGTTACTTTATTAGACAGTGGCAAATGTTTCCTGACTTGCTAAGCTCCCAGTATGAGAAAAGTGATTCTGGATTAGTTTGGAATGAGCAGCACAAGCCTCGGTCAGTTAATACAGCTGTGTGAAAAAAGTAACTCGGGATCAGTCAAAGCCCTTTGGTGCGAGTGATTGACAGCTGGATGAACATCGGCGATCACAGACAATCTGTCGATAACTCAATTTGACACATAAGAAAGAGGAATGAGGAGAGAGAGAGAGAGCACTTGAATGTAGAGGCTTCTCCTCTGGTTTAAAGCTTTGCATTGATTGGTAGAAGACTAAGAGAGTGTGGGGGAGTGTGAAATTCTTAAAATATGATACAATGCAATATGAGGGTTTGTGTGAGCACTTCTCTGTGTGTGTGTGTGTGTGTGTGTGTGTGTGTTTAATCAGGTTTAGCAGCAGTGGGATGAGAGAACGTAGGACTGGAGTTAAAATAAGCTCCTGACATGTCAAGGTGGCCTGGATGTGAAGCTCAGAGTGATTACAAATGAAATCATTAACTCCCCTCTCACCGCAGGAAGAAAGTCATTAAGACACACATGCCTGACTTGGCTTGTTCTCAGTGTGTGTGTGAGTGTGTGTGTTTGAACTGGAGGAATAAAAGGCTGCATGTGCAGAAGGAGACTTTTTGTTTCTACTATCATGTGAAAGACAAAACTGCTGCAGTTATTAATGATTATGAGAGTAAAATTGTTAATGATTATGAGTGTGAAGTTAATGTGGTATGGAGAACAAACAGCTCAAATCTTATTACACAATCAATTGGGATTTATTCCAACAATATTGCAAAATCACATATGAAATACTTAAACCTATCTTCAAAACAATGAGCGTTGTTTTGCAATAAATCCGACCCAGATATAGTGGCTTATAGAGTGAAGTTATTAGATAGACAAGAAAGATTCCCAGGAGGATCTTAGAATGAGAACATGGAATACACAATAGGTTGGATAAGTTTCTTTTCTTTCTTTACATATTTACTTCCAGTGTTGGGCAAGTTACTTTATATTGGCAGCTTAGTTACAGTTACTAGTTACTTCTTTCAAAAGTACAATCAATTATTTTAAGTTACTTGTTACTTTCAAGGTAAGTAGTTACTCGGGAAAGTAACTTTATTTATTAATTTTTTTTTACTCTAAATTCTCTTATTAATGTGTTGCCTACCTTACTGGATAGCTAAGGAGGCCGCCAGTCCTCTGACTTGCTAAATCAAGCTTTCGTTGTTTTTCTGGAGTGGCTCCTATTTTAGCGTCAGGGAAGCTAACCTTAGTAGCATCACCCGTGTTACCTTCAGGGTCTTTTTCAACTAGCTTGGTGGATGCGTGTTGTTTCTGAAGATGTTTCATCAGATTAGAATTGCTTGTCTTTGATGTGGCTAGAGTTTTCAAACCTCCACATAGATTACAGGTCAAAACAATATTCCTCCTTTTGTCTTTTACTGTCAGAAAAGGAAAATAATGTGCATATTCCTATGAGAGAAATCCCACGCCTGGACTGTTGTCGACTGCTGCCACTGTTGTTCTCATTTATTCACTTGCACGTCGCTGCGTCACATGTGCTTCAGGTCCACCACGGACATCGCGGTCCTGAAGTCACGAGTAACGAGCCTGTTTAAATCGCAGTAAGGATAAACGCGTTACTGATTTCGACAAAGTAATTAGTTAAAGTTACTGTAATGCATTACTTAAAGGGATATTCCGGTGTAAAATTAATTTAATGTTGTTGACCCCTTGCTTCTCTAGTTAGACCAACTTTAGTAAGAACTGCACAATAGCAATACACAGCGGTCTGAGGAGCCATAAACAAACCTCAACCAAAACACCACTCTATAGCAACAAATAATGCTCAGAACAGCACCTAACTTCATCAACAGTGCATATAGGGTCCAAGCCACTGCACTAGCCGCCAAACATCTTTTTAACTTTGCCATATTTTTCTTTAGCAAACAGACTAAACACAACTCAACCACTCTCTTCCAGCAGCTACTTGTTTGTAGCAAGACCTCAGGCCAGTCCATGACGGACCGCTGCGGGGTGACGCAGCTCAAGGAAGAACATTTATGATCATAGTCCTAACACTGTTTACTTCAAGAATTCTTATCCTGATGAGGTTACTCTGATTATTAATGGTCCATGCAAGCAGAGCTATTTTCAGCTTTTGTTCTAATTTTAAATGTGTATACGCAGAGCAGGTGCAGTGATGACTTCAGGGTTTAAAACCCTCTGAAATCCTAACTTCGTTGTCCCCTTTGTCCCCTCGACACCTGGTGCCTCAGGACAGAGCAAGCGGCTGCCCTCTCCCATTACTCCTCCCTCTGTGAGCAATCACTGCAGGAGAGAGGAAAGGAGGGGCCTGAAGTGAGGCTTTGAGGGATGACAGAGGATTGGGGCGGGGGGGGGGGTAAAAGAAAGGGGGGGTAAAATAAAGGATGTGGTTGCCTGTATCATGGAAACACAAACAGATGAAGAATGAGAAAGGTCATCTCCACACACAAAGGCACATGCACGCACACTCGCGTACAGGAGGCTTTGTATCATACTAATGATCGTCATTATTCACCTAAGCTGAAGGCAGAGGAGAACTGGACGGGGGTGCTACCATTTACCAAGATCTGGTGTCCACGTGCTGTGATCCCTTAGAGCGCATATAGAGACAAACATGCCCCAACCACTTAAGGTCTGCCAGCATAAATTAACAGAGTTTGTTAATGGGGCGAATAACTTTCTGCTCAATCACCTGATAGCACATTTTCTGCTGAAAGTCATTTCACTTAGCCAAGTTTGGGGCTTTTTAACAGTAAGGCTGACAGTACCCAGCAGGAATGAATTCTAATGTGGATTAAAAGCAAAGCTGCACCTGTCATAGCTGCTCCCAGTCTGTCTGTCTGCTTGCCATCGTGCAGGATGGTGTGTGTGTTTGTGTGCGCAGGGCTCTGATCCGTGTGTGCATCTGTGTACAAGCGAATGTGCTGTCACTTTGAAGTTTGTCTCTTTGTGCACGTGCCTTTCTGCTGACTCCTGGATGTGTGTGTGTGATTGACGTATCTGCAGCTCTCCTGGTACTCTGAGGCCAGCCCAGGGCAGTGTTCACAGATAGCTTGAGTGACAGGAGGTCAAGGAACAAGGGGATGATGTGTCATCTCGCAAGGCGGTCTTGCTACTAAACAAATGCTGGACGTACTGGCCCTGCATGTCAGAGGCAGTTATCTCACTGAGTGTAATATTCCAAGAAATGCGGTGCGTCACACTCTTAAGATGTAGGCTGCATTTATTTGTTACCAATTGCTCTGTGCTCTGCCTTTTGTAGCTATAATAAGGAGATTATGAGAAATGTTTTCTCTGCGTTTTTTGAAAACTTTAGCATCAAACTTTTCTGCCCTCAGGGAACGGACATGTTTTTCTCTACCCTCATTTATTTATAAGTACGCAATTCTAACTGGGTCCTGCACTGTGCTTGTCATATTAAAGGAGGGCTTAAAACCACATAGCTGCATGTTTTGATTTGTTTGCTGCAGTTTCTCTAAATTTAATTTGCTGATTTAGAAACAAAATAGAAATGCCACATTTAATTTCAGTCCAATTATGAAGTTCAAAATTAAAAGTTAAAAATGTTTTTGCTTATGTCACACTTATAAGCTGGCAGAGTTTTAAGCAGTGCAGCAAAACGCTAAATTTTTGAGCTCCTTAGGATCACATATTTATGCCCAAAGCTCACTGTGTAAAAAAGTGAGTGAGCATCAAAAAGCATATGGCTGACATTATGCAAGTAGAGTTTAGAAATAATGTACACAGTCATGATTCTGGGCATGAACCCAACTGAGGCAAACGTCAAAGAGGAACAATTGGTCATGGCACATACTTATGTGTTTGCAGTAGGGGGGGGACGTGACATGATGGGTCAGAATATGAGCTTTCTAAAATGAAAAAAAAAAAAAAAGACACTTGAATCCCATCATGTCTCCAAGATGACTTAAGTGCATTTTTCAGACATCAGGTTAGACTTTGGAAGCTTTCACTAAGCCCAGAATGACCCTTAAATGTAACAAAAGCAAGGGTATGATTTACAGTAAGTCCCAATGAGACTGTCTGCTTGTGGAATTAAAAATAAGTCCCTTCAACATAACTCCTCTGCTGAAAGTAGACCTGTGTGTGAAAATGCCAGAAGACAACAGCGGTGAAGCAGACTGTCTGGTGTTTATTAATGAGTAGGGAAGCAGAACACAGATACAGTATTCACCAAGGCCAGTGCTTAGATAATGCCAGGCAGATGGGTCAGGATGAGCTTAGCATATTAACATGTTATGTAACTCCAAGTGCTGTGTTTGTCTTCGGGCCCTGCACATGTGGGTGTGGGGAGGGAGCTTTGCTGCTGTGTAGCTTAACTTGGCGATTCCATATGTTGGCTTCAGGATAACCTTTAAAGATGTGTTGTTTTCGTGTCATGACTAAGCGTGTTTGTGTAATGGGTTTTTTGTGTATGTCATGATATTTTGATTTAAAAAAAAAAAAAACAGCTTTGCGAAGCTAACTCCCCCACAGGGTGTCCCCTGTGGAGGCCATAACTTTCCCCTTTCTTGTCCCCTACTGATGTGAGCTTGTGGCAGGTAGAGATAAGACACCTAGGGAGTAAACACGGCTGTGGGCTGCAGCTTACTGTCTTTCTACCACACACACACACACACACACACACACACACACACAGAGACTTACATATTCACGCACACTTGCATAAAAATAGATACATATTATCACACATAAGGTTTGAACTCATTGTAAAAATGCAGAGCAAATATGTGCCCAATCGTATTGATGGATGGATAGATGGATGGCTCTGGCATACATTGTTGTGTTGAACTTTCTGCTTCCTTGGCAGAACCGCTGCCTCATTTAAAAACATTGTTTACACAGAAAGTAGAAGTAGAAATGTTTACGCCCCTGGCAACAAAAAAAGCTCAGATGCGAGACAAAAACTTGATATGTGAATGTCTGTGTCTTGATACAACCTGTGACCCATGAACCACAGTACAGTGAGTCATCAGTTTTAGCTACAGTGGCCCGATCTATGAAATGCAATCTGATAGATGAGATTAGAGTCAGTCGTGTGTTTTTTCAACTGAAATGATCGGTTTTGCTTGACTCTGAGTTGTTTTTCTTCAGGCTGTAGTTATAAGTTGAATTTTATTACATTGCACAGTATAATGCATGTATAAAATCTCCCCATCCTCATACATATAAATGGGGTTGACAAAGCAGTAGAACATTGGTGCAGGAGGGTGGAGATGCAGTTTGCTCACCCTGCCTCCATTACCTTTTTTTGTTTGCAGCAGTCAAACTTCGACTAACTTCGACTACTTTTTCTTCCCCTCTACACTGACAGCCTGACCGCCTTTCTGTCCATCTATCTGTCTGTTTGTCTGTCTGTCTGCTTTGCCCGTAGCCTATATCTATAAATCCTCACTCTGAGCATATAGTATATGCCGCATCCTGAAGCACTGTCAAATCTCGGACATTCCCCAGTGGGTTGCTCTCACTTATTTAAGCTTTAGGTTGACTGACAGTTTCACGCAGTGTCAGTATGCAGCAAAACTTCATCACATATTTATGTTTTTGAGTACCAAAAAAGTACATGTACAGTGGGTGAGGATGAAAGTGTTAGGCTATGAAGTAAAAAATCGCACAAATACGTACAGACTTCAAAATGAAAGTATGAGTCGGAGGCACTTCTTCCTTTTTAACCGTTTAATGTCTCTGTGTGTTTTTAGGTTACTTCCTGGAGCTGCTAAACCACTCCTCAACCAGTCTTCAGGAGACTTTCACTACATCGTGGGGCTCCCTTTACTCCCAGAATTCCCAGGTGTTCACTGACCTGTATACAGACATTAAGCACTACTACAGAGGATCCAATGTCAACCTGGAGGAGGTGCTCAATGAATTCTGGGCCAGACTGCTGGAGAAGCTCTTCTTCCAGGCAAACAAGCAATATTTCATAGGTACAGCTAGCTTTTCCCCGTGGAGTAAAAGCAAATGAACTCTATTCTTTATGTGTATTCTGTGCTCATGTGAATAATTCATTGAATGTGTATGTTCATTGCAGGTGAGGACTACCTTGAGTGTGTGTCTAAGCAGATAGAAACACTGAGGCCATTTGGAGACACACCCCGTACGATGAAGATGATGGTCACGCGCACATTTGTGGCAGCCCGTTCCTTTGTTCAGGGGCTGGTGGTCAGTGGGGAGGTTGTGCGCAAGGTGTCCCAGGTAAAAAATCTTAGTCATCACTCAAGATCCTAAGCCGTTCATGTTTCTTAGTATTTTGCTTCCCCTCTTATGTTGCGTTCCAGTTACCTCGGAAGTCGGAGCTGGGAATGACGTTACACCTGAGTTGATGGCGTTTCAATAAACAAGTGGAAAAACCAAGATGAACAGTTATTGTTAGCCGTTGTTAGCTGTTGTTTGCAATTGTTAGCTGTCGTTAACAGTTGTCAGTTGTTGTTAGCTGTTATCAGTCATTGTTAGCTGTACCAGCGCATAACCTGGGATTTCCACCGCATCTGAAACGGCTTTGATCCGGAACAGCGGCGATATTTGCAGTAAGCCAATTCCTACCGGATCAATTTTTTGAGGGGAATTTCGTGGCAGATTACAGACAGCAGAAAACATGAGAACTCTCAAGAACCCGTTGATTCACGTGCAAACGCGTGATAACAAGTTGTCTTTAGCCACATAGGCTAACCATATAAGCAGTAGATTGTGTCCCTCTGGAGGAGGAAATCTACCTCTAGACTTATAAAATCAGCATCCTCTCTAATGCTATCTAAAAACCCTTCACTTTTTCGTCCCCACCTGTTTGCATGGTGTGAAATACAATTCACCTGAAACACGTGTTTTACTTTGAAAAGAAGCAGGATGTTTTATTTTGTGTCCGTGCCCAACTTCCTTTCCCGCACAGGTCAATCTGTGATAAATTTATCCGGCATGCTCTGGCGTCCAGAAAAAATGGAAATCTTGCGATAAGCCGCGTAGTCCGGTGATCCGCAGCAGAACGGAAAGAAGCCAGTGAAAATTGACACATTAACTTAAATGGTTACAATCAGCTACGATTAGCAGATACAGCCTTTTCGTAGATGTTCGGGATGCGGTGGAAATTGCCAGTAGCACAGTTTTTTACTCTTACAAACACTATAGTACTGTGTTCACAGTTAGGCATTGGGCAGTACAACATATACCACTTATTTAATTTCACAAAAACAAAACAGAAGTGCTAATAAATAATACATTACGAGAGCTTTCACTGTTACTCTTTACTGTTGATGCACTGCGCTGCCATCTTGGATTATGACGTTGTCGTCAAGTCGGGGTTGGTGAGAATCGTCCAACTTTTCGAGTCGGAAATCCGACTTCTGAGGGGCGTTCCAGATCAATTTCCGACTCGCAGCTCAGAAATTCCGACTTTCGAGTATAACTGGAATGCAGCATTATTTTGCATGGTATTCTCTCCCTCCAGTAATTATAGTTAGATCCTTTCCTCTAAAATGACAAACATCTTCTTCTCGTAAGTTTTATTGCTTTTGATGAGAGCCACATTAATTTTTACTGCTGTGAAGCTAATGCTCTCTGCTCCGATCAGAGGTTCATTGGTATTCCTTAGTTAAGGTGTATTCATCTCTGCGCAAACGCCTGGATTCATGATAGGCCTGCTTCTACCAGCATGTGCACACAGTATAAAGCGGTGGCAGATCAATGTTGGTGGAAACGAGAGGCTCCATAAAGCATGGCCTGCGGCTCAGACAATCAGCCCCTGCAACAACAGTTAATGTCAGCGCCTCGCTGAAAAATGTCTCCCCAGGCCACGGGGAGGGTTAATATCTCCCATGAGGAATGGTCCCCTCTGTGTATAAGACAGGAGTAAGGTTAAGATCAGAGCAAGACAGAGAAATCATTTGAGCTCCTGAAAGGGAGGTGGCCGGTATTGATGCAGCAGTGAAAAATATCTCCCATCAGACACTGGGCAGGGAAAGTGCCGAGAGCAGTGGACCTTTGAGAAATGCATGCATCCTTTGACAAAACAGATGCTGTACACCGGATGAATATTACAATTCTTGCCTGCTGAAAAATCACAAGGTCAGGCTGTGTGTAAGCACGAGAAGATAAAGCTTGCGGGGAAAAAGCTGTAGCATGATGACAGAAGAGGTTGTGTGAATACGAGGCCACGCGTTTGGATGTGTGTCAAATAACGAACCTACATGATCCTTTTCACTCTGATTTATGTGCTGTAGCTGAAATTGTTCGGTACAAATACTAAGCTGGTCCCAAGCATTACTGTCAGGCAGCCTGGTTTTGCATGTCTCCTTCTCTCTCTCTCTCCAGCCCAGAAAGTGTCAAACTTACACAATAGAGCCCGCAGACATCTCAATTAGTACCTGAACGCATTGAAACTAAGCAAAGCTACAGCTGCAGAGGAGTAAAGTCAAGAATAGCCATAAAGACGGATCACTGAGAGAAGCAGGTTGATAGTGGATAAAAAGACACAAGCAGTGACAGCGACGACTTAAACTGCTTCACCTGAAGCTACAAGGATCACGGCTCAATTAGAGACATGATGGCTAAGACACGGACAAAAAAGAGGGGTCTAAGGTGGTTAACATGGTTGATTTCTTGAAGTGATTCAGACTGAGGGTTATGCAAAGATTGGCATAATTAAGAGGTAGAGTTGATTGACAGGTGGCTGTGATGTAACTGCTCGCTGCGAAGCTCGCGGCCCGCCTCAGCTCCACCTCTTTGTCTGTTTCTAGGTCAGCTCAAGGTAGGGTTGAGTCAGCATTCCCAATTTGTCGTCTTTGATTGGCTTCAAAACTGTCTTTCAGTTACCGGTGGGTAATGTCCCTGAGACTGTTTTATGCAGTTTATGATTCCTATATTCAGATCAAGGTACAGAAACACACCCACACCTTATCACGCTGCTGTAATTTCCCCCCAAAGAAGATTTGCATAAATTACCTACGTGTGGATTCTTCCATATACCCTTTTCCTTGTCTGACGTGTGTTTATTTTTGCTGAAGGACAGTGACTGATGTGTTCATTAAGCAAGCCTAAGTGTGGAGAATGTGTGAACAATTAGCACAGCTTTTACAAAATTACAAAATGTCATCCCAGTGATAATGTCATGCCTCTGGAGCCTCTGTGAACGAGGTCATAGTCTGCCTTCTGCCCAGCTCACAGTCATCGAGACTCATTTGTGGTAATACACACTCTGTATTGTAAAAATAGAGACCATGAAAGAGTCGTTGAGTCTCTTTTAAAGGGAATTTCTAAATAAGATTCGCTGAAATGTTTAAGAGGACAGAATGTCTGAGTATCTCCGAGACATTCAAGTCAAGGCCTGTTTGTTACAATTTTTAAGAAGTAGAGTTTCACCAAATGTTCAATTTCAAATCCATCATTTGTAGATCAGGCTGTGTCCCCGTCTTCCTCAACACAGGGCCAGAAGTGTGTGTTTATGTAGATTGGAGCATGGCTGTGCTGTGATGGGAACAAATGAGTGAGGAAGAGTGAGAGGACTGTAACAAAAGACTGCTGCAAACAGCATCCTTTCTTGTCACTGTCTTATTTACTCACTGCTTTATTCTCCACCCTTTCTCTGAAAATTGCACTGCAACATTTCAGTTGATATTTCTCCAAGCTGTGCCCCGCTTTGTCCTCTCTCTCTCTCTCTGCTTTTAGTGTGAATAGCTTGGTATCCTAATTTGTATCTGAGTTTTTTCCTCCTTTCCTCGGTAACTCTGTCTACGATTGATTGGGCCCTAATGAGACAACTGCTCCTATTTATAGCTATGAATCGCCACTTTAAGGGCCAACTGACTGAGGATGTTTACCGCAGGCTGCTGCAGCGCCTGAGTGAAAGCTCGAGGAAACGAAACTGAGTTCCCTCCGTCGATGAGTGTGCTCCAAATGTTTTTCAAGGAAGTCTGTGTTTGCTACCAACTTAGCAGAAACATGGCGTGCATCCTTGCCATGTTTAATTTGGATTAGCTAAGAAAAAAGGGCGTTGAAAGAGTAGAAAGGAAGCTGTGTTTATGGCGGAGCAAAGAGGAGTGGGACTGGAGATGCTTGGAAAAGGTGGGCGAATTTAAAACAGAGAAAGAGACCTCAACATTCAGATACAGTCTATCTTTTCGGCATCAGATCAATTCCTCCTTTTGCGTCGCTCCGGGGCTGCACCAGTTGCTGTGTCCTCAACTTTTCTCCAAGCCTGTTTTTATTCCTCGGGGAATGGGAGTGGAGGAAATAGGCCACGCGCCACATAGCTCACTGTGGAGGCGAGGAGTCAGGATTGGCTCACTCAATAACACATGGGGGAGAGGTCGCTCATATATCCTTACTAATTACAGAGGAGAGACAAGCAGAGAGAGAGGCAGAGACTAAGGTATGATTGCTGCGGGGCGAACTATACAATAATTCTGACAGGTATGGGGAGAGTATTATGGAGGTAAAGTAAGGACAAGAAAGAGCATAGGTGTTTGAAAGTAACACAGTTAAGTCAGAAAACCTCACATGCAAACCTGTTTGTGTGCCTTCGTGTACATTTACTTGTTAGTTCAAGGGTTTTCCATCTCCTGAGTGATGAAAATGTGGAGTTTCCCTTTTTTTATTTCACATTTTTAATGTTTTAGTTACTGGTTTCTGTAACACTAACACTGAAGATTGCACTCAGCAGAGTTTCTTACTCACTCTCAAAGTGGGAGTTAGCAAAATACGATCAATTGCAAACATTTACAAAGCTGCCATGAGTGGATTAACCCACCAGGTCTGAGAGCTGATTGGTCAGTACGCATGGTTTTAACTTAGCCCTGAAAACATCATGCTCTGAAGTAGGTTAGGCGTTAAGTCAAAGTTACCATGGTGATCTACCCCACTGGAGTGAACCACCTACGTATGTAGATCTGAAAACCTGGGGTTAACCCTGAAGTTTCATAAATAATAGAAACGAAAATCCAGCTTCATAGTATGCTCCCGTGGTGCAACACCTCTTACTTTAATCTGACATGCAACCCTCAAAAAGAAATCATTACAAGAAGGTCAATACAAGAAGAGTTCTAAACACAGAAAGTTTATGAACAAAAACATATAGATGTATAAACACTAACACACACAAACCCATACTCATTAATTTCCATTTCTGTTTCAGGATCATTATCAACACATAAATCAATTGAAACTGGTCCTTTGTTGCAGCTGTACATCTTTTGGGTCTCATTACTGTGCCTTAATTTGACAGCCCCTCTCTCACAGCCCCCTGGTGCAGCTCAGCTTCAAGGTTACAGAGGAAGTTGTCAACATGAACCTCCAATTAGCACCACAGAAGAGTTACACACTGTTTCATGTCTGCCATGCCCAGCCCTGGGATTCCCAGCATTAATCCTTTAGGATGGATAATATAGCACACACTAGATTAATGGCTGCCTAGTCTTAATAAGTATCTCAATGACATTACCCTGTTTTTTTTTTCACTTTAACTCCCCTGCCAACACCCCTCAGTGAATCTTGTAGCTTTCCAAACATCCTCCTGTATCCCTCATTCCCAGTGTTTTCCTCCACTCATCCCTTACTGCACACTCCCTTTGCTCGCTCTCCTCCCTCACCAAAAAAGCATTCGACTGACTCATCTCTGGATAATGAGTGGTAGGGCAAGGATTGGAGGAGGAGGAGGAGGATGAGGAGGAGGGGGGCAGAAGTAAAGATCTGACTCATGTCTCATATGACTTGAGATTAAGCCTGGGAATGTGGTTATTGCTTTCTTCTGTCACTTGTTTAACTTTATGCTGTCCTCCTTGTACAGCCCGTAAGAAGCTGTTGGTTTCATTTTTTAGATTTAGGGATCTTTTGGCTTGTGTTTTTTAGATCTTATTAAAAGTTGAAAGTTACTGTTTCTAATGTGGGTGAGAGATAATTACATTAAATTTATGTTGGGTACAACACTCATAAATAGTGATGGGATATAGCCAAGAGGAAGGACTAACAACAGATCAATGACTTTTTAAAACACATATGAAAACTGCTAACATTGCAAAGTTGCACAGACAAATTATACAATGTGACAGAGGAACTGTCTTTGTTAATGATGTCTCTTTTGTTTTGGTCCAAAAGTAATCCTCTTTATATTGTGATACGCAGAGTAGGCTTGAACTCCGGTTAAATGTTTCATACAACTTTAAAGTGCTCCAAGTGTCTATGATTTATTTTCCCACCTGATCTCTTCTGTTGTCCTATTTCCTATGTATATTTGTTAAAAGCTGGATTTAGCTGTGTCTTTGCTGTTGGAAGAACAGTTTCCAGGAAAAGCATGAAGCTGGCCCAGATGTCAGCTTAGAGGAGCTTTGTATGCGTAGCTGGGCTTGTTCCACCTCTCTTTCTCTCTCTTTCTCACACACAAACACACACTCTCTCACTTTCTCACACACACTTCTTGAGGTTTTGTATGCATAGCTGTACTCTCTTGTGAACAGAGCTTACTGGTATTAACCCAGTTTCACTTTTCATGCACCAAGGCCCTTTCCTCGGGGAGCAGCCTTGTGGGATAGTGAGAGAAATGGAAGAGGCAGGAAGGATGGAGTGAGGGTGTGAAAATACTTGTATGAATGTCAGGCCCTTTTCATCTGATCTGAAACAAAAAGAGAATTCTCCCAAAGTGGTTTCCAAGGAAACTGTGCTGAATGAAAGTCTGGTGCAAGCTGAAAAAAAAGGTCGCCATGGGAGGTGACCTCCCACGATTTTGTAACTGTCATTGTCTGGCTAAAGGCTTTTCCATCTTCACATAACACTTTGGTAAAGCGTGTAGCCCTGTACAGTCGCATCAGAGCTATTTATGGTACCTCTGGTAAGTTTGACTAACGGCTGCTCTGATTTACATCTTTTAGATGTTCAGATCAAATATGCTCGACTAAAACCTCATGAATCACCCAGGTGCCGGATATTTATTTCTGTCTGTGCCCTACCCCAGGTGCAGCTGAGCCAGGAGTGCATGCGGGCCATGATGAAGATGACTTACTGCCCCCACTGTCGCAGCATGGCTTCGGCCAGACCTTGTGCCAACTACTGCAGCAACGTCATGAAGGGTTGTCTGGCCAACCAAGCTGACCTCAACACTGAGTGGAGGCATCTGGCAGGTGGGCAGCACACACACACACGCATTCACCCGTGCTTCCGCTTCAGCCAAACGTTTGCTCAGAAGTTGACCCAGCACATGGTGTTACTTTCTTCTTGATGTAAAAATGTTCAACCACCGCTCTTTGTATAAAACCTTTCCTACTTTGTTCATGCTGACTGTTCCTCCTGTCTCTGTAGAAACAATGATGCAGGTGGCCGATCGCTTTGATGGTCCGACTGGCGTGGAAAGTGTGGTCCTCTCTCTTCCCTCTCGCATATCAGAGGCCATGTACACCATGATGGAGAATATAGACACTATCAACAGCAAGGTCAGAGCACAAATCAGTGCATGCATGAAGCTTAATAATACAAGTTACTTGTGCTCTAACAAAAAGGAGTTTGGTGTGGTTGGGCAGGGAGGACTAACACGTCTTCCTGCTCGAGTGTTTCGGCCACAAATGTGGACGTCACTTCAACATCTAAAACAGGTCCAATAATGATGTCTAAATCTTGGATCCATTTTGCATGTTGTGCCGATGTCTAGAGTTGGCCTTCAGATGATGTCCAATTTCTAAACATCAGAGCAACATCTAAAAAAGGTCCAATTTGGACACCGAAATTTCTCATCTATGTTGCACGTCGGACTGACGTCTAGATGTGGTCTTTGACAGACCGACCCAATACCGACTTGATCTGCACGTCTCTTCGACATCCGATGTTTGGTGGGATGTCACCTTTAGAAGGCTCAGAGGTGACATGGCTCAGCTTAGCTATGCCAGCTTTCACTCCCAAACTGACCCATATGCAAAGAGGGAAACGAAAGAAAAACAGGCGGAAGAGTCTGTAGAGAGATGCAGGAGAAGACAGTGAAGTAGGGCAGAGTGGTAAACCGAAAATTTACCGATACCGAAATTTACAACGATAACTGACAATTGCCCGTATCAGTATATTCAGTGTCGAAATTTAAAAAATTAAATAAAGGTTGGTTTTGGATGTGTGTTGGTGGGCTGTGGTCTCATGTCCCTTTAAGACGTTGTCCCATGTTGGAGACATGACTCCACCCCATCCAGTCCATAACAAAGAGGGAAAGAAAGGTGAGGAGATGGAGGACGGTTCGAAAGTTGTAGCGGCTGCTGAAGTAGACGAATTTAATGTGGGAGGGGATGAGCAGCTTGTGGAGTAGTTATCGTCCAGTTATCGTTATGGAGATGAACTGCTCAATATATCGTGATTTTGATTTGAGGCCATATCGCCCAGCCTTACAGTGAAGGCATATCCAGAGCAAGAGGCCTACATCCCCACCAGATTAGGCTGCATGATCTAGCTCCCCCTGCTCTCCTGTTTTATGAACTGGACGAGCATCAGTGTGTAAATGTTCCTGTTAATGGGTAAAGGACATGTTATTGTCATCCTTCAATATTTACGTGTAAAAAAAATTATTAGTGTGACAAGTACCACTGCTGGATATGAAAAACCTCTGCTTGGAGGAGAGGAATACACTTTTAGGTTTGCTATTTATAACATAGTGAGGTGGTGTTAGATGTCATGTTATTGTGTTGCTCTGGTAACAGAATCATTATATAAATTAGAAATATTAAAAAACAGATTTTTAAAACAGATCAAGAGTTGTGCTGCAAACTACTTTAAAAAAATAGCATCTCAAGCCAGCCCATGAGAAAGAACGTCCTGGTACACACTGGCATTGTACCTGTCTAAATGGACTAAAATAAGTACATTAAATATGAACAAGAACATTTACTTATTTCCTGTTCAAGTCAATCAAAGTTCAGTTTGACAAAAATATATTTTGATTAAACTTTTCTTCTGAAAGTCCCTCTTAATAGCTTATGAAGCCCCCCGACTGTCACTCAAATCAGTTCAAAGCACTCCCACGTAGTCCCACTGAAGGAGATTAGCTGGTTGTTGCATATTTAGTGATGAATATTTTATATTATAGACAAATACTGAAGATTGAAACCAACTTTTTTTTGGATGGAGTGTAAAATATTTATATTATTTGGTCAAGCAAAAGAAGCAGAAGTATACAAATCTGACATATATAGGCTTTCTTAAGGTGAATGTGTAAACAGATACACACACCCTTTATCCATCAGCTCAGAGATTGTCCCCAACTATCCTCTGTGGACTGATTCTCTCATTTGTTTGTACATTTAATACCTTTCCAACCCTTAAATTCATTCATTTGCTATACCTGACCCACCTGGTTTGAAATAAAAGGATGTGAGTCATGATGAGACCTGCAAGCCAAACGTTTACTTCACTGTTTAATGGGGTTTGAGCTTTGTTCTTTTTTTTTATTTGATCCTTAAAGTCGGTTTGTTAAGGTGGGAAACAGTGTAGCGGGTGAGAGAAAACACAAGGCTCCCTCTGTGTTAGTTTATTCTTAAAGAGCTTGTCTGGCTGAGGTGAACCATAGCCTGGCTGACTGCCTCAGACTCGGTTCACAAGTGCGATCACACACAGCTTCAGCTTGTGATCTTCATCTGCAGGGTGAAGAGCTGCGTTGATCCCCCAGAAGTCCATGGTTTGTTTGGTGTAATATTACGGACAACACAGTGTGGGAAAGATTATCTCTAATTTACATAATCTCCCATCAAACCATATGTTCTGTTACGTAATTTTTCCACAAAGACTCAAACACAGAAAGAGAAACTGCAGTATGCATAATTAAAAGTGCTGTAGGCCTGTATATAACACCCTGTGCTGCACAAACAAGAACACACTCTACCGTGAACCAAACAACTACTCCGACTTCTACTGACAGACACAAGTGGAAGCTTAAGACGGGATTATTTTATGGTTATATGTTAAGGTTCAAAGGCTTGAGGCTCCTCTAAGCGGGCCAGATTGGATGACAGATTGACTGCAGTCTGACTGTATTCCCTGGGCTCCATTTATAAAATGTAAGCCCTGTGGGGACAAGTTGTGCTTTCTGCGCTGTGGATCATTCAGCTGCAGCGGCGCTGTGATTGACGATCGGGGTCAAAGAGTCTCACTTGTCATTGTTGGTTTTAAAAGGTGGAGATTTGTGTGTACTAATGTGCTCTAAGCTTCCCTTCCTACTTACAGACTTAGAATTGATCTTACAAATTGAAAATGTTTTGCTAGTGTGGTTTTAGTGTGGTTTTCAGACTCTATTCAAAAAGCAAGATCAAGGTTTAGATTTTAGTCTTGTTGCTCAATCACCTATAAAGAAGTCTGAATCATTTCACTATATGTAAGCTGTAGAAGACGGAACAAATCGATCTTTTTGTCCTTTTCTTTACTTCCTCTCTTTCTATACATAACTGTTTCAAGTATTTTTTTCTCCTCCTCTGACCCCAGTTGTTCCAGGCATGTGGTCACCCCAGAGAAGGAGGAACTGGCAGAACAGGAGTCGATGATAGCCTGAAGAGAGGGAAAGTCACGGTGGAGGACAGGTTGGGATCCAGCAAAATGGACAAACTGGTGAGTGTTTACCCAAACTGAACCCATTTCCTGCTATTACTCTCTGTGGGTCTAGTAGATGTTGCTTTATGATACAGGAACCGTTGGTCATCGTGGGTTGTGAAACCTAATTTTGTGTAAATGTGTACCATGCTCAGAGGGATGAATAAATCAGACAAATAAGTGCTGCAGTTGGTTATTTCTCATTATACTGCTTTTGTCTCCCTCTGTGTCAGGTGTCTGATGTAACTATAAGACTGAGGGACATGCAGCCGTACTGGGTTTCTCTCCCGAGTATTCTCTGCAGTGACAGAGTGGCCACAGGAACAGGGGCCGAGGAAAAATGCTGGAATGGCATGAGCCGTGCCAGGTAAGAAATATACACCTCTGCAGAAATGTTTTTTTTTCTGAATAACAATTGTAGATGAAAAAAAAGCATTAGGGCTAACATTATATGATTTCTGTGGTTATATTGGTTTGTTTTCATGAATATTGTTATTAAAGCCTCACATTAAACTTGAGTTATGCAAGAATAAATTCCACTTGTACATTAGCTTGTGGTCATACATGTTAAAACGCTTTATATTAATACTGCTTTGTACAGTATGTGGTGTTAAGATGATGCTTCAACTACCAGTTGTGTTTATTTTTCTGTTGCTGTCTAACCAAAGTGGAGAGGAGACTTTTTTTTGCTGCGGATAAATCTGTTTTCTGCATTTTTAATGACAAAGAGCCACAGCTAGGGATGTATTTAACTGTTTCAATAAAAGCAAGATGAGATTTTTTTTTGTTGAAAAAGAAAAATAATTTTAAAACTTAATTACCAGGGACTGCTGTTACATTTGCTCACCTCTGTGTTAAGTCCTGTAATGAAATCTGAAAAAATAACAATTTTCAAGAAACACCAGGAGGGAAAAACTGACAATTTTTCTGTCATCTCCAATTGTGACCAGTTCATCAAAAGACGAAATTTAGCAACGATAAGATCATGAATGGTTTGAAATCTGTTTTTCATGTTTACCAGGTACCTTCCAGAGGTGATAGGCGATGGCCTCGCCAGTCAGATCAACAACCCCGAGGTGGAAATCGACATCACCAAACCAGACATGACGATACGGCAACAGATAATGCAGCTGAAGATCATAACACACCGCCTGCAGAATGCCCTAAACGGACAAGACGTGGACTTTCAGGACACCAGTAAGTACTTTTTCATCCTGGTGCAGAAGTTTGTTTTAAGAATTCACGAGAAGAAAAGCTTTTAGAGAGCGCTGAATTAAGGAAATAAACAACTCTGTTCTGTTTGTGCATCCCTGCAAAATAAGTTTGAAGTTCAGATGGAGGTATAATAAACTCTGTCGACATCAAAGTGCCTGTAGGACTAATTGAGTTCATGTTTTATTCCGCACAAATTAAAAAGGTGATCCTGGATTTTTATCCTTTTCTAGAGCTACCATATGTACACACTGTGTTTAATCTAGATCTTTACGTGAAAGCTATCATAACATGTTAGTTTAAATAATGCACAGGAAGCACCGATTAATGTTGGACTCACTTCATATTCATCCTGTCCTCTATCTCCAGGTGATGATGTCAGTGGTTCCGGCAGTGGCTCGTGCGCCGACGAAATCTGTTCCCGAGGTCCACGCGTTCTTACTCCCATCACTGACCAACCCAAAGTCTACCCCCTCAAACCTGGAAACAAAGGGCCGACAGGCTCGGCCAATCAGAGCCTGCCCTGCATCTCCATTTACCTGCTTCCAGTGCTAATGTTGCTGCTGCGGCGATAATTGAGCAGGGGGGGCTACACCAACTGGGACTGAGTTTGGGACACGTCGGGGGGATCGGGTAGAGTCTAAAAGAGGGAGGAAGGAGAAGCTGGGGGGTTAGTTACTTTGCCAAAACTAAATAAGTATACTGAAAATGACAAAAACAACAACAACAAAAAATCATGTGGATGGACTTCCTTTTGGTTTGTTAGAACAAAGAGGAATAACGAGTGTTCATAAATGTTTTGGTTCTGCTCTTTTCTTTTGTTTCTTGCTATATTGTGACACTTTTAGAGCTGGTCTTTTTGCATCTTCTAATGTTTTTATTTTCTGGTGTTTGGGTTCTCTGAGATTTTATCTGTACCTAAGACATGTGTAAGACTATATTGTTAACAGTATGTTGGTGTTGACACCATAGGGGGAGGGAGAATGTGGCTTTGCAGTGGCGCTTAGATTCATATGTTATCTCACTCCTTTCAAAAAAAAGCACTTGAGTCAAGTTGATTGATTTGTTCATGAAGAAGTAACAAAAGATCCCACTCTTTTACACCGATAGAGAAGTAAAGAAACCAAAAGCTCGTATACGAATTTAAAACCAATGACTTCAGAGGAGGATAATCTGGCAACATGACCCACCAGACCTCTTAATACCGTTACACTTAAACACTTTCTCACAGCTGAGATGAGAGCCCTCTACGTCAGCACTTTTCACCATTTCACCATGTAAGCTGTAATAATGACTGTAATCACATTCACACTGACATAATATCCCAGTGCAGGAGTCACATGACCCGTCCACCAGCCCATCCGTCCAGCTATCCATCCCTATATTGCCCCCCCTTGCCGAGGCAGATCTCTCCCTCCCTCCCTCCTACACCCCACCGACTGCGTGGGATCAACTTGAGAGTCTGGTGTTAGCAAAACACACGCTCAGCCAGGGCCAGGTCTCAGATGACAGCAGCTTCCCACTATAGAGCCCTACATGTGGCGTGGGGGGGTGTCGGTTTAAGATTGCAGCAAACGATTGATGGTTCAGGATTTTGGAAACATGTAGCAGTAAAGAAATGTACACAGAGGCAGGCGCAAACCCTGCTGTCACGTAGCGCTTTAATTTCATATTTTTATTTGCACATTAGAGCAAAATTTTATGTGCATTATTGCGTGTTCTCCCTGCAAAGGCCCAGTGCTCCTGTAATTTGCATTGTAATTGCAACCAGCAGTGTCATAATTTCTTTGTTTAATTGCAGCATCGATCCGTATCATGGTACAAACCCACACCGTGCACGTCTTTAAGTTGTACCGCTATTTCTGTCAGACACAAAGTGTACATATTTTTCTTATCTAGAAAAAAAAAATAGCAATCAGATTTTATAACAGCCAAATTATTGTATGCTTTAACTCTTCTTTCATTCATCATCTGTCATAGTGTATCCATATCTGCCTTCCATTTTTCTGCAACTTTACTGTCAGTGCCTCTTCCTTCCTCCCTATCCCCTTCCACCTCCTCCCCTCCATCCTTCTCTCCTCCTCTCATCAGTTATAATGACCTTTAAAGCGTTTCTCCCACTTCTACATGATGGCGAGGCAATATGACAATGACACAGTGCTTCATTACGTGTCAACCTTACTGGGAGATGTTTGTGGGAAACACGGTGTGAGGCTTTTCCTGATGAGAAAGCTTGCAGTGGGGAAGGAAACGCGTACCACATTTTTTAATTCAAAGAAATGTCAAAGCTCTCATTTGAGAACGCAGCGTGCAAGATGATGGGACAGTGTTTGAGAGTGTTTGCGTATGCCTGCGAATGTGTTTCTTTGATTGGTATAGAGAACGAGGAAAGGACAACAGAGCCTTTTATAAATCTTGTTTTGGATGGCAGAAATGAAATGTATTGAAATCTACTGGACTGACATCATATGAGCGACTGACAGCAGCAGGAGGAGATTAGCATAGCTCGATTTAAAAAATGGGATTTTCTCTTCTATTGTGATAATTCCTTGTTTGTGTTGTGTGTGACGCATAAATTTAACCTGGAGGACAGGAGTGGACACTGTTTTTTTTTTTATTTTTGGTATACATCATCGCTTCAGTTGCACGCTAGGACAATCCACTCTAATCCGTCTGATAACAGTTTTTTAATACAGCAGATCCAATTAAACAGTTTAGGGGATCTGTCGAAGTTTCAGAAGCACATCTGTTACAAACTCAATGAACCACTGCTCTGAAGATGGGTGAAGTTGTTGTCAAATGTGTTACCTGACAGGATTTTCTTTTCTTGTTTTTGACCTGCTTTATTAATGGATGCCGTGTGTATGTGTCTACGTGCCTGTGTCTGTCTTCCCTGGTAACAAATTCTGCCTGTGACTGCCTTTGACACTTTGTCCAGAAGTTAGGGTCAATTTTGAGATTTAATAAAATATCAGATATTAGAGAATGAGATATTAGATTTCCCAACGGGGCGAAAAAATTTGAGCATTTCGAGCAAAGAACAATTAGCAAGAGCTCCAAGGGGGGGTCTTCTTTTTTTGTGTGACCCTCCTGAAATGTCTGAATGTGAAAGTGCACATGACGTCCTATAAGGGATGAGAAGTGGCTCCAACTGTGATGGTGACATTCCAATTCAAAGACGACTCCTAACACCCAACTTCAGTTTCAATGACTGCCTCACAATGTCATCGGCTGAAATTTGCACAACCCCTCCACCTCCCCCAACCCCACCCCCCTTTTTCTCTCTCTCATCCTTCACCTTTTGATCTCATTAATTTGATGCTCACCCCTCCCCCTCCTTTTTATAAAACCTGCACTTTTATGAGGCCAATAAATGGCATTGTCTGCACAAAGACATCACAAGATGGTCGATCGATAACGCGAGTCAACACCCTCTAGAAACGACTATTGATTGGAGATGTGTGTATGCAGATAGATATGGCCCAGCAAGACGTCTCCTATTCAACTTTGGTCAAACAGTGTAAACACAAAGCTGGTGTGTGTGTGAGACGAAGAGGCGGCAGGAGAGAGGTCTGTCCAGAGTGCTGATCTAGAGTCAGTGTGCGCGTCTCAACCCTGCCCTTCTTCATCAGGTGGCAAAAATGCAACTAAAGACCACTTCACTTTACACCAGGTTGAATACGGGAGGAATTTCTTAAAGGTGCCAACCTATGAGGAAAAAAGTATTTTGAAATTTTTTTATTTTTCTTTTGGTTTTGTTGTAAACAGAAATCTATGGAGAGTTTGTGCTTATGGTGAAGAAAGATGCCAGAAAGAGGTTGGAAAATACAAATGTCTCATTTGCTGTTGTACCTGAAATCTTGTGTCAATTATATACATTGTAAGATTTTCAACATGCTAGTGTCCGTGTCTTTGATGGGGGATCATGCGTGAGTTTTCGCATTTACACAGAGGAAATCTTGCTGTTTTTATTCTAACATCTGGTGCTACTACAAACCATTTAACTCACACAAACAACATGCCGATGCGACTTATTAGGAAAAGGAAGAGCCTTCTTTTTTTCCCCATTTCTCCATCCAATCTGCCAAAGTCATTTCCCAGAGCGCAGCGGGGCAGGCTGCCACCTAAAAAAGGCCAGTCCTCCAAAAATGATGTCAGGGGTGACAGCTGCTGTCTTGAAAAGCTGCCACATGTTCAGAGCACACTAAGTGCTTTGTCTTGTTCTGTGTGTACACAATGGAAAGATCATCCCCAGAGTGACGTTTTAACAAGGTGTACTTGACCATGATCCTATGGGAGACTGGAATACCGCACTAAACATACAGCTCTGCTTTATGCAAAGTGCTTCAGATGTGTAAATAGTAGCTAAGAAGTTTGTGGTTCTGCTGCAGAGCTGCACTGTTTCCACATCTGTCATGAGGTTGTAAAATTATAGAGGTGAAAAATACAGGCATATGAAGCTAAGTCACAGCAGAAGTCGTGTTAAAAAAGAAAAAGATTATGAATATTTAAATATGTCACAATAAGTCTCTGGTGCTGCCCTCTCACTCTCTAAACAGTGCCAAAGTATGTAAAGTCTGTTTTTGTGGGTTGACCTTGTTCGCACCAGCGTCTGTTTGAAGTCACAGCACAGGGAGTTAAGACAAACTCAAGCTGCCTGAATAACTTAAAAAAGGTTTTGGAGCTAAATTCTCTGTATTTATCCCTTAAAGTTAGCTTGAAAGTATCATACAAATATTTACTTAGTCTTTCTGACCTTGAGATTATTGACATATGATCTTAGAAACCTGTATATTTTAAAACCTCCCTAGTACCACTGTGTCCATCCACTAAGAACAGTCTGCTTCAGGACTGGCTGTACTTTCAAAAGTAGAGGGCTGCATTAAAAGCTTGGTCTTAAAGGGATATTCCGGCATAACACCAAGTTAGACACCCCCTTGAGAGATGAATGTTGCCGACCACTTGCTTCTCTAGTTAAACCAACTTTAGTAATGACCGCATGATAGCAATACACAGGGGTCTCAGGAGCCATGCGCTCAATTATAAAGCCACTCTATAGCCACAAATAATGCTCAGAACAGCACCTAACTTCATCAACAGTACATATAGGGTCCCAGCCACAGCACTAGCCACCAAACATATTTTTAGCTTTGCCTAATTTCTTTAGCAAAGAGACTAAACACAACTCACCTACTCTCTTCCAGCAGCCGCTTGTTTGTAGCAAGACCTCAGGCAAGTCCAAACTGACTGCAGTGGGGTGACGCAGCTCAAGGAAGAACATTAATGATCATTACTTTATCATTTTATTAAAGTAATAATCATCAAATTAATCATTTTGCACTGCAGGTGCGGTAGTTCTTCTGCCTTAGTGTCTCAGTCTGATTGCATTTCCACGAAGAAACCAAAAAACCTTTTTGGTTGAGCATGTGGCTCTTGAGACCGCTGTGTATTGCTATTGTGCGTTATCATTACTAAAGTTGGTATAACTAGAGAAGCAAGCAGTCGGCAACATTAATCTCTCAACTGGGTGTCTAAGTCGGTGTTAAGGTGTGTTTGACCCTAATTTAATTAACAGTCTCATACGCATTATTGGAAATGCGTGCCAGTTTGATTTACTTATTTGGTGATTACCAATATTTAGTGTTTCTCAAGACAACTTTAGGTACCACTTCAGACATGATAACTGTGTTTAATTAAATACTATTTTGTGTCGCCATGTATGTTTACAATTCTCATAGCAAATTTTGTGTTTCCACCCAAAACAGAGTAAAATCTATCCATCATTGCCATCATTTACTGTCTAAAGTAGACGATTGTTAAAAGGTTAATTTTACTGAAATTGTAAGACATCTCTCTAAAGTCCTTTTTCAGTAACCACGCATATACAGGGACACACACTCAAATCCTTGCCTATTGATTGTGTCCAAAGCTCTCACCTCCTCTCTCTCTTTCTCTTTCTCTCTTGCTCGCTCCCACACATACACACATCTGCAAAGCTGTGACTCTCAGCCCTTTAGCTTGTCCTTTGCTCCACGGCACTTTTATGACTGACTGCTGCGCAACCTTGGCAGGTCTCTGTGCTGGAAATATCAACTCAACAGGTCGAAACACTTGTCAGTAAAAATATCTGCTCTGCTCAAAACGCCCTGCACTGTTCATGCCTTCAGGCTCCATCATGTACAATAACCAGAATTTTGTTGATAACAACACACCAACACACCAATCACATTTACGGGCATCAAATGTGGAAAATTATGTGCTACATGAGAAATTACATACAGTTTTATTTCCATGTGAGTGGCACTAATGGGAAGATGTGGGAGTCAGAAGAAATCTCTTGAAATGAGGAGAAAACTGGCTCCTCTACTCTGAAGCAGGTGCTGTGCTGTACTTTCAAAATCCTTTGAAGCGACGTTTCGGCGCGTGACTGTTTGTTAAAAATAAACACGGTATTTGTAGTTCTTCTTCTATTGTCTTGGCTGCTCTATCTAGTCTATTTGAATTGGGATCACGCAAAGAAAGTCTGCAGAATGCCACATAAAAACGCCAAGGTTTCTCAAAGTTAGAAATCCAGTAGTTTTTAACAAGTCCTGAATTTGGCCTGAAATACCCTGAAGTAGTCTGTTCTCTACCTAAATCTCCCCAACTGCCAGCAAATGGGTACTATGCACTTTTGCCTTGCGGCTTATTAGACAAACTCTCTCAGCCTTTTACTCTCTTTGATCCACTTTGAACAGAAACCTCACGCTCCCTGTCCATTTCTTACTCTCCCTCTTTTTAGTGCTGAACTGTCTCTGTGTTGTATAATTTTACATCAGTGCTCATTTGAGATCAAGGTCTTCACATCATCGCCTCTGTCAGATGACTGAAGCTGAAATGGGTCAAGGTATAAAAAGAACTTAGAGAGACTCGGGCGCATCAGTGCAAAGGTGCATACTGTCATCTAGTGGGGAAAGGCTTTCATTACATTTTAGAGAAAAAATTCTGACAATTTCTAAATGAAGAAAAGCTTATGCTGCAGGGGTAAGAGAGAAGTAAATACTCACCTGTATCTAAATTAGCATGAACAAAATATTGGTCGCCTTCTTGGTAATGATGATGCTCCCTTGAAGCCAAAACAGAAGTGAACTTACTGGCAGCAATTTGTGTTTTTTTTTTTTTTTAAGTCTCCTAAACTCTCCAGTTTCCTGGACTGCAGTGTTGCTTCCTGGTCCTCCTCGGCTCTGCAACTACTCTGCAAATATGCCATTGTTGCACTTGACTTCAAACATGCACGAGCCAACATTGACCTTACCTGTTGCAGTGTCTTCAGGAGAATCACTCTGATGTTCAGTTTATTGGCCCATAAAGAAAAGAGTGCTTCTTCTCGATTACCTCGCCTGTGTCTGATCATGCAAGTCTCAGCGTCATCTAGTGTTTCACTTTCAAGCCACTGCAAGCAGCTCAATTTTGTCTGGCCCCGACTGCTACAGTTTTTCTGGAAACGGAATTCATGTTTCAAGACTGTATCAGGGAAATGCAGCCCTGGTAACTGCACTGCAGGGTCAGATACTTGTTTTCAGTACTTCCTTCACATTCTTTTCTTGTTTCTTGTTGGGTCGGTTTGTTTTTTTGGTCATCAACTTGACTCTAAGTGCTCCTGCAAGTGAAAGGAACTGGTTCCTGATTGAAAGCCGGTTTCCTGCTGTCCTCTTTTAGTTATTTTGCTCTCTTTAGGATGGAATATAATGTTATGAAGAGTTGCTTGCCATGTGCATCTGTTTCATGTAGGGAGAGCAGCAGTAAGAGCAGCAAAAAAAACACACTGACAGATCTCTCTGGCCCCCATGTACTAACTTGAAAGTGCCAGCAGGGGGACAAAGCTATGCAGCTTAAACCACAGCAATAACATGATTCGCTGAGGATAACTACTAAAGGTACTAAACTGAGATGACATGACTAGAGAATCACAAAGACAGCCCAGGTGGTTATGCTACAAGATAAATATCAGTCAGCAGTTTAGGTGCACTCATTACTTCCATAAGCATGCCTTGAACTTCATAACAAAGTTGACATTTGTTGGTTTTTAGTTCTTTGACCATATATTAGAAGAACATAGATTATTGACCCCCCCCAAAAAAAACCAACAGAAATGCTGAGTTTGCAAAACTTAATGGCAGGTATAAAAGAATGAGTTCAGTGAAAGCTTTTTTGGGAACAGGGCCATCACAGTTCAGATGAATTACCAGATAAAGAAGCTTTAAGATTGGATTTCCTCATGTGACTGAGATTTTTAAGCTTTATATTAAATATAATGGCATTACATTTTGTTTCATTTCCTATTTTGATTAAATTTGAGCCTGGTTTTATTTGTTGATTTTTGGGGATTAAAATTCCTTATGCTTATTTATTATGATAGATCACAAACTTTTTCTGGTAGAACTTGAAGAGTGACGAAAACTGCTCTTTTTGTAATCCAGATCATTTGGCCCTGCTCACCTATGAGACCTGTCTCTACACAGCACTTCCGCTCAACATTAGGCAATAAAAAGGCAAACCAGATGTCAATGAGGGGCAGGCCAATACCATTCACACATGAAATGTTTTCCCAAGATGTCCACAACTTTCCCTCACTGTAAAATCAGTGAGCAAAGCCTCGGTATAATCAGCAAACTGAACAGGGAATAACCTCAAAGTTTAAGACATTAATTATTCCTGGAATTCTGCAGTCTGGGTGACTGACCATGTGGCTTCAATGTCGGCTTTGTGGAGGTGGACCAGTAATGTGACTGCAACTCTTCAATGCAATCTTTAAAGCCTACAGCTTCCTATCAGAGAGGCACTGAGCAGAGAAGGCCAGAGAAAATGGAGCAGCTTACTGTGGCTGTGAAAGTGGAAGGCTAGCTGAGGCAGAGACTCATGTGGTCACTGTTTTTTTTCCCCCTGATGCCATGGATGGATTTGTGTACGGATATATCCATAAATAACAGTTTGCTGAAAGGAACTACATCAGGGATAGCAGCTGGATGTCATTGGAGGCACGTGGCCTGTTTGCATATAGGAGCAAGAGTGAAGAAGGAACACTTTTTCCTTATTGGCCAGATGATAGGGCATCAGAATGAGTCAGCTGACGTCGCTGCAACAGGTAAGGTAACATTTAACTCTTGCTATAACACCATCTCTGACCTTTGCTAATTGGATGGAAGAAGGTTATCTAAGTTATCAGCTGATATCGGCTGGCAGGATGGTTAGCTATACAGCAATGTCAGCAACATATTTATAGACTTATGTGTGGGCAGTAGTCGAGTTGTGAAAAAAAATCGGGGGGGATGGTGGATTTGATTGTTTGGGACAGATATTTTGTTGTACTGACAGTGCACATGGTAAGTGAGTGTTCTTGCTCAAACAATCAAAATATAGTGTGAAAACAAAGGTGTAGTCACAAAAAATATGGTGATGGTGGTATTTATTCACAGCCAGCCTTCCAAGGTGCAGTGCAAAATTATTTACAATGGAGCAAAAAAATAGTAAAATACTACTTACAAAATGGCAACAAGACAGGGGTCTCACTATAACTTGAGAAAAGAAATCCGAGACACAGCAGCAATACAAAAGTCAGTTTGATAGTTACTTTCCATGTAAAAACAAACAAACAAAAAAAAACCTTCAGACTCAAAGAAAGGCCCAGGCAGCCCTCCTAGCCCCTCCCTGTTGGTGTTATTAATGTAGTTTAAAAAAATAGATATATTCACATTTAAACCTTTTTTTTTTAATTTTTTTAACCATTTTCACTTACTTTTTATACAAATCAATGGAGAATTATTTTGGGGGATTCATGGCAAACAACAGGGGAACTAATTTTTCTTGCATCATGTGACCACTTTGACCCGCCATACCCACCTACTTTACACCCGGAAATCATACGTTCTGTTTTTCATTTGGAAACATAAGCCGGCATGATGGCGTGAATGGAGACCCGACAGGTAAGTGGAAGGATGAATGTCCATGTGAATGTATGTTTGAGTTAACCTACAGAGCTCCAAGTGTGCGCCCTTGGTTACCGAATCCAACAGAGAAAAGAGAGGGGAAATAGCGCTGTTTAGTGGGGAATTGGCGATGCTGGCGGGGAGGGAAAGGTTTGGCGTGTATGCAGGTATGTGTGGCTCCATGCGCTGTCACACCCCTTAAACGTAGAAATTGTGGTAAAATTTCTAATGTTAAAATAATAGTAATATTTCCACATTCATTGGCCATTTTGACCATTTTCATTTCAGGGGGGATTTAACTCGAGTAGGCCTACTGTGTATGTGTATATATCTGGGTCCTCCATAGGAGCAATAGACTCCAAATTTCAAACTCTCCAATATTGTATTGAAGCGCCCTCCTGTGGACAAAGAGGTTCCTGTCATCTCTTAAAATCTATAGCCCTTCAGACGTTATCAGGTGTGTTTACATCTTGTTCAGGGTGATTTTTTCCCGGTTGGGTGCTCTCTGAGTTGTTGTGTTGGGACCCTGGTGCACCTCATCCAGCAGGTAGGGCAGTGTCAGAGCCAGTCTGGGTGTTGGTGAACAGAGGTAAGTATGTTTCCCTGATATCCTGGTACATTTGGCAGCTGGTTAAGAAATGCAGCTCTGCTTCTCCCTTTTGCTGGCTGCAGTGGGTGCAGAGTTTGTCCTCTTTAGGGATTATGTCTGCCTGTGGTGCCTCCTCTCTACGGCCAGGCTGTGCTCACAGAGTCTGTATAGAGACAAAGATGGTCCAAGTTTTGGATCAATAACAATGCTCAGGTAATCTGCCGGTGTGAAATCTCTACTTAGGCCCAGATAACACTCCAGCTTGCTGTGGCTTTCGGTTGATTCTTTCTAATGTGATAAATTTTGTTGTTGTTTGACAATTTGGTTCAGTCTCATGGGCTTTTTTCAGGGCCTCAGTTTGATGGACATCACAACTCGACTTTTTAAAGCTATATCTAACATCTAATACCTTTTATAGAACTTTGATGGATTTGTGTTTGTATTTAATATCTTGGAAAGACACCCTGAGGGCAACTTTTCCACATTTCATAAACTAGAAGGGCATCTAGTGGGTACTTTTTTTAAGTTTTACAAACTGGATAGGTATCCAGAGGGCATTTTGTTAACTTTAGAGGAGTAGCTTCTAATAAGAATTCCAGTCCTATCTCAAAATATTGGTGTTCATAACAAGTCTGAAAGCAGAAAGAGAATCTAAAACAGCAAACATTGAGAAGTGATGAAAGACTGAGGCAAATTTAGATTTTTTATGTGTGTGTGTGTGTGCTAATATTACCTCTGGCAGCTTTTGTGTTTTAATAAGATTGTTTCTGGGTGGGCTTTTGGGAATACATCTAAAGAGAGGGATGTATCACACACTCACATTAATAAACACAGAGACTCACATCCACATCGAAACAATCAAAATCTGATAAAACACATGCCATAACTATAAATAACATTTAGCACAAACAGAAGAGTTGCAAGAAGTTTCCGCCCTCATCTGACTCATTAAAGCTTATATTTGTATATATTATATGAGCTGACTAAAACACACATCTTAAAGAGCTGTCCTTGAATGTGTTTAAAATAAAACAAAGAAGTGTCCGAGTTTTGAGACGCAGCAGCTGTCGTGAGCTGAAGAAAAGGAAATGAATTAGCTACACAAAAGCGAAGACTGTTTGTGTAAAATGTTGGCGTTGCAACATTATCCAAAGGGAAGCAGATAATATTGTCTGGAAATTGGAGACAACAGCATGTAATTGGATATTATCTGTTTTTGAAGGAGAACAATTTGACAAAATGAAGGCTTAAAGCAAAACTGCTCTTGATAGTTAAACAAGAATTATGAACCAGTTCCCTTGTTCCCTAAAATATCCTTTGTCAAAATGAAAAACTAATTTAAACAGAGTAATTTAGCAACAATGAGCCAAAAATGACTAGAAAAATCACCAACACTTTACAAAAGGGTTTATGCTTAATGCCTGTTGACTCTTATAGTTAATGAGTGGATTAGGTAACTCCTCATTGATTTTAATTATCTGAAAAGCGTGTCTTTGCTGATTGAAGTGTGGAAGAGAGAAACCTTCCCTTTTTGGATTTTCAGAATCGTCTTTAGCCCATAAACCCGCTGCAGAAACCTAAAATGACTCCTTAAGCCTCCTGTATTCCTCTTGACATCTGGCTGGTTAAGCTAGATGTAAAGCCTTATTTTGAGAGTTGCTGCGTCTACTTGCAGTGACTGACTTTGGCCACTAGGCAGCACTGTGGCATCACTACCTGGCTAAACTTGGTGGTAAAACAAGTGTTGTTTGGCACCACAGGATGTGTTTTCACTCTCTGCTGGGAAGTGGTGCTGCTCCACTGACCGGCCTTTGCTCATGCTGCGCACAAATGAAAAAAAAACAAACTAAAAATATATTTATTATTAACACAAATACTACAGTGTCAACACACTTTTCCCACCGCAGCCTGGAATGATGCTTCATGACACTTCATGCTGACATTTGAGGCACCCATAGGACCAAAAACAGCCATCCTTTGTGACCTTAAACAATCTATAATGACCTCTGACCCTGACCTTCTCAGTTGTCATGTTGCTCCTGGTGTTTGTGGTTGGTGTGGATATGGGCTGATGGCTGTCTGGAGGGACTATGATAAAGGACAGTTCGCTTAGACAAGCCGATCTCTTTTGAGGGATGCAAGATATGTGCAAAGAGTAGTAAAGCAAAAGTAAACAGTGACTTTTATTAATAAGAAAGTCTCTGCAGTTAAGGAAACATGGAAGATTAGTTGAATCGAGTGAGGGCACCAAGTTGTGCTCATAGTCGATTGTATTGCATACAGAGTGATTGCTGTGATTTTCACATCAGTTCAGGATTATGTTTTCCTTTAAAGAAAAAATAATAGTTCAATCTGTTGAGTTATAGTGAACTGAAAATCTGATATTTGGAATTAGTTTCAGAAGTGTATGGACAGACTGTGCTTGACTTATTTATGAGAAGAAGGCAGTGTTTGGATTCTTTGGCTTGCTCAAGTTTTCCCAGCTCCCAGCTCTTCTTTGCATCATTTTCACGAGTTTTTAGAGTTTAAAACTCAAAACTGCAAAGCCTTTTGTCAAATGAGGAATTTTGTGTTTTGCAAAGATCTTATAAGATGACCATCATCAAGTTTGCTAACTCTTTTACATCTTTGTAATGTCATTTTTTTCGACTTGTTAAAGGTCGTTAAAAGGGAAACATGATTGTTGAACATACCTCACACTTTCAAGGTCATGAAAAACAATTCATAACTGGAAACCATCCTTCAGTAATTAGAGATTATCAATACAGAATAGAATAGAATAGAATATTCCTTTATTGATCCCCCATGGGGGAAAATTTTTTTGTCACAGCAGCATCACAAAGAGTGCAAAAATGCAGTTATAAAAATAAAGATCCTAATATTAAGAACTTAAATAAATGTAATAATTAAGAAAAAATGTAAAAAAGGAAAAAGGGAGAAGAAAATATGGATATGAATTCATCTTGCTCTGTTAATTTTATCAATCGTATACACAATTATCAACTAAAAAGATCGTGAAAAATGACTGAATACTTTTTGTCTGAGACATACCCCAGTCCTTTTGACACCATCCAGATTTTAATGACATTTTACCAGATTTGATTTGCCTTTCAGACTTGTAATGGCACCACCTTACCACCACCTTTTGTTGAACTCCTAACAGTTCAGATTGAAGCCAAAGCACTGAGGTCAACCAATCAGCTGTGCCTGGAGGTGCCTGAAACATTGCTGAGAACTAAAGGTAATCAAGCATTCACAGGAGCTACCGATAACCTGCAAAACAGCCTACCACTGCAAACAAAAAGGTCTAACCCAAAAGTTTGAATGTCTTAAATCAGTGTTGGAGACCATTTCTTCTCTTTGACTGTTCTTTCAAGGTGATAACATTTAGATTTTACTATCATTTCTAATGATGTTTTCCATATTGTCATTATTTTTTGTGTTACTGCTGCTTTAACTCATTATTACTATTTTATATCCAATAAATGAAAGCAATCAATAAAGATGCCCCACCTTTGAAAGATAAGTTCTTGGTGACCACTACCCACTAGCCCTTTTAACCTGCTTTAAAGCCACATGTATGCAGTTTTCACATGGGGAAAGTAAGCCCTATGTAAGCTCTAGTAATACCCCAACCCACCCCAACACGTACACCCCCACACACGCCCACTCTCACACAAATGTAAATTCGACAGGTCATCCATCAAGCCCTCAATGAGCTGAGGATCTAGGGAGAGTCGACTAAATGAGAAATCATTGACTGGGGAACTGTGTGGTAATGGGGTCTGATTCTGATAGGATGAGGTGATAACACAGAGAGAGGGCTGGGCGGGCGACACACATTGTTGGTTTGTAAACCAAAGATGAGAGGGTGAAGTAAGAGGGGAAAAAAGACAGAAAATAAAGGAGAGAGATTTGAACGGTTACTCACTTTTCTCACTTCTCACCACACAGCACAAAACAGTGATTAACAATTAGTAATGGCCAACAAGTCAATGCTGAGTGATGGTGTTTGGAGAGGGTGTATTACACTAGTAATTACCAATATAACACACATTCTGCGTACAGCACAGGCGTCTGACATTTAGGATCTGACATGGGCTTTGTTGCATTTCTATGTGTTCATAAATGTGTGGATGCCCTATCACAGAGCCTGCAACAGGCCGATAATGCTCCGAGCATCACCTGGCGGCTATGTTTATTGATCTGATGATGCATGCTGGGAGAAAAGATTGCTTTCAAAGGTCAATGTTCATATCAGAAGGTCATCGTGTTAACTCTGCGCTGTTGTTTGTTTGCATTGTGTGCATGGCT